CCAGTCCAACTACCTCTCCAAAGTGGTACCGATTGAGAAGGCTGAAGTGTTGCAGTTTTTTCACGACCGCGACACTGCACGCACGAAAATGCAAAAGAAGGCAGTACAGAATCCGTTTCGAGGACGCATAGGTGAACTGTTGTGGAGCACCAAAACCGCAGCTCTCATCCTGTGCCTGACGAGCATGCTGGCAAGCCAACTCATCCCAGCGGAACAAGCAAACAGCTACGAACAGGTTGCAGATTATGTCTGCGACATGAACAACCTGATTTGGTACGCGAACGAAATGGACTGCGCTAGCCGGAGAGTAATGCGGATTGGCGACCTCCTCCAGCACTTTGTCATCGGATGTGCGGACGCATCTATGTCGCGGGTCGGCGGCACGGTGAACCTAGTCGGCCCGGAGTCCGATTTTATCACAACTCTTCTTGCTTTTTCAAAAAGCCCGAAAAGAGTGTTCCATAGTTCTACGGGTATTGAACTACTGGGACAACGACTGCTGTGTTCAGAAAGTTTGTATCTGACACAACTCGCGCTGGACTTGCACCTTACCAGGTTGGGCAACGTGCTCCTCCAGCTCACCGACAGTCGCAACTGTCTTGCAGAACCAAAAGAGAAAAATCTGCGCAGTGACTACATGAACATTTTACAACTTCAAGAAGGCAAGGTCATGTCCATCGCACACATAGCGGGAAAGAAAAACTGGACAGACGCGCTCACCAAGGAAGTTCGCCTCGTCGCCGACGCACTGTTGCTGCTCCTCTCCGTGTGGGGTGTTGCGGACGAGTCTGTGATGAAGGTGATTCGAAAATTTATCGCCGAAGAACAGAAGCGATTCGCAACCAAGTGTGCGAATTTTGAAGCAGGAGAGCTGCCCGCTACTGGTATGGACGTGGAGGAAGAGGAAATGGATTTGAATCCGGAACAAGAAGACCTCTTGCAGGAGCCAGCAGCTACGCAGGCTGCGTTGTCGTATGTTACGGCAGCGTCAGCGGTAGGATGGACGGAAACAGCGGAGCAGTGGATTTATCACCATGGAAGTGAGCCGCGACGTCACCTGTTACATCCTCAGGAAGAAAAACAAGATGTGAAATTTTTGAATGAAATTCCACCAGTAAGGAAGAGTAGCGGAAAGTGGGACGAGGGAGAAGATTATGTTGTCTTCTGGCATAACGACATGATGCAGTGCTCCAGCTTTTCCCCACCGCAGCAATACCTTCTCAGCGCCGGCATTTTGCTACGCGGAGAAAGGCAGACGTTTTTATCAAGAACTACCAGTACAAAAACTGAAATCCGGAGCTGCGTCGATACCTGGCAGCAATGCGGTACGAAAAACCGCGGAGAACTAGATGAACTTCTGCACAGCAAGTTTTTACCTATCTGCACCATTTTCTTCAAGGTGCCGAAAGCAGTACAACTATCCAATCTCGACCTGAAGTACGGACCAGTTAGCAAGAACCTTTTACCACAACGCACTACCCACTTCAAGATCACGCTGCACGGGAAGGAGATACAGCACCACGACGTCTGGGATGGACCGAAGACCTCGTTTTTCATCGACGGAAGACCCTTCTGGGCGGTAAAGACAATCTTCTACAAGCGACGTGTGGGCTTCTTTTCCGCGGGAGAACAGCAGTAGTGACGGGATTTTCAAGTACTACCAGTTTCAGAACGATTTTTGGAAATATCTTGTGTTTCACGAGTAGCCCCGGATCACCATCGACGAAAAAAAGAGGTGTAACAGAAATGTAGGATATTTCGATGGTGATGCGGGTGCTGCGCAAATTTCTACCACAAATAAACCACCAAACGGGAATTTTATGGAGTCAGATCAACAACTACCCCTTACCGGCGCGGTGCTGGTGCTTTGTGTTTTTCCTGGTGGAATTGAATTTGGCGGTTGCGGTTGGGAACAGTTTGGCGGCGGTCATTCTGGGATTTTGCGGTATGTTCCTGGTCGCGCGGGAATATGCAGTGAAAGCGAGGTGGTGGAACCAGTCCAAGCTTTTCCGGGGAAGTTTGCGTTGCTTTTGCACCGCAGTAGAAGGTTGTAAGAAGGCGGAAGAAGCAAGGCAAAGGAACTGCTGCTATTTTAGAACTAGTTTTATTGCATTTCTACAGTTTTGGTTTCGCACTATTTGTAGGTCGTTTCGCACTACGTTTCGATCTTTGTTTCGCACTGAAAAATGCACTACTCGCAAGGAAAACAGGCTTTTTCTATCTCTTGTCGCACTGTGTTTCAATAGGCTTTGACCGAACAAATACGACGTTGCAAAAGTAGAATGCCATCGTTTTTTGAGCGAACAAGTTAAGTATTTCGGTCTACTTTCTTCGAACTTACCATGCAAAAGAGCGAGCAGAACGCAAGAATTCGGACCTTTTCTTAGTTGTTTTTGATCGTAGACAACCAACAAACACTACTAGAAAACACGGGAAAGAGAGACTTTTTGTTGCTTGTCACTTAGCAGGAAAAGCGAAGGAAAGCTGAGAGAAAAACTCACAAACTAACGATGATTTTGCCCTTTGTTTATGTGCGCCGAGGTTGGCTCAAGATTACTCTTGACCTTCCGAGGCGAAGAATTAAAACCAACGATAGCAGGCTGAAGAAACTTTTTTGTTGTTAAGGGAAACAACGAACGCGGGTTCTAGACTGAAAGGAAAAGACGAAAAGCGAATCGGTTGAAGCAAAAATCAGTGTACATTTGAAGTCGGTTTTGGAAAAGAAAAGCATCTCGTTTTGATCGATCGCTGAAAGAAAACAGTTTAGGATTTCTAATATATAATAATGGAAGAACTGTGATTCTGGCTCTTTTGTTGTGTCGCTTCCAGGTGATAGGCTCCAATTTCGTAAATTTTTTAGCACACTAGAAAGATCAAAAATTTTAAAAAATTTCCACGGGGCTTCAAAGATGCCAGAAATATGCTCCAGATCCAGTCTCGTGGATGTTATCTTGATAATCTGAGTGATTTTATCAATCAGAAGAATTAAGCTACATACTCTTTAGTGAGTTACTTTTGAAAATTGCAAAAATAGAAAAAAAATGAATGCGCACCTTTTTGGGGAAAAATGCCCTACATGAGACAACCCTTGGGAAACGACCAGGGCAATATGCTCTTTGTGGTGGATTGCTTGCTTTTTTCACTGATGCAGATTTGGTGGATCTGCCGTTGCTGCGTTTTCTTGGTTTTCGAAAAAAATCCAAAACTACAGTAGCCTAATCTCTACCCTTCAGGTATGTGGAAAGCATACCAGGAAGGGTCACCATCTGCATACTATTGCTCGTGGTTTTACTTGGCTGAATGCGATCAACTCCGCCCCTGCAGTTGCTCTTTGAATTTGGGAAAATGTGAAAAATCCGGCTTGTCAGCCCCCCCCCTCCCCCTTCGTCACCCCCAGACGATGGTGGCCCCGCTCCGGAATCGGGTGCGGGCTACCGGTCCAAGGCGCCCTGCCTATCGTTGTCCGCCCGCAGATCTGGCAACGATCGCGGACGCTGCCGCCCCGCGGTAGAACACCCCACGTCCCTAGCTTGGGGGCGCGCTTCGGCGCGGGCCCGGGCCGTCGGTACACAGGCGGCCTGTCCGGGTAACGGAGCCAATCAGGGTGCGGACCGCTCCCGGGCGGTGCGCGATGCAGCGGACCGATGGCAAATGGTGAACACCAGAGGCGCAAGCGGGTGAGCATAGTTGGGCCACCTTTAAGGACAGGCGCAGACGCACGCGCGAGGGCGGTGCATCTATCTTGCATTGCCATACCAAGCGTTTTGCCTGTGGGGCTCCCACCTCGTCGTAAGACAGAAAACCACTGCGGCCCCTTGCAAGTAGAGCCCCGATTCTTCGGATTTTTGAAAAGTGCGAAACTTTGGCCCCCGCCCCCCTCTGCGTTTCGACCCCTTTCAGAGCGTGGGGAAAATAAGGAAAGCGCCGCGCAATCGCTCTCCGCTCCAGATTGCGGCTTGGAGCCACTGCAACCCAAGGCGGACGGCCATTTCGATTTTTGGAAATTTCGAAACGCCGGCTCCTGCTACGGTGCCGCACTGACTGCGCTCCACAAATCCAAAAAAAGGCGCAAGACCGTACGCAGATCGCCGCGCGGCGGTGTTCCGCACCGGATTGCGAGATCTTCGCCGCGGGCTTGATCCGGTAAGCGGCTCTTCCGCTTCCCTCCCGCGCGAGCGCGGTAGCCACACTGTTTTCGTCTTCGGCGGTGAAAAATTTCGCTTTTCGCCCGCGCCTGCCGCACGGAGCGGGAACGTGAAAAGGGCGGCGCGTCGTGAAGTATGTTGTTTTTCGACAAGGCTCTACCTACCCTCCATCGCGCACGCTCCACGTATCATAGATTAGTAAATGCGCTATGCAGCCGTAGGCGTCTCGTCTGTATGAAAGCGTCGCTTCTCTGGGGGGCAAGACAAAGCTGTACTTCGTCCTACGCGAGACAAAGTTGTGAATTATCCGACACCGTGACAAAAGTTTGTGGTGGGTATCGATCGCGGTAATGATCTCTGCCTCGCGGGTAAGAAAGTAAATGTTCGAAGACCACCTGGCAAAGTGTAGCGTTGTCACGACTTCTCTGTCCCGCCTGCGCGTGCAGATTCTTCTCTGACGCTTTATATCTCTTGCCGTCTCGTCGTTATGAAGAAGAACTTCGTACATTCCTGTGTACATCGTGGAACGCAAAGTGATGCATCTAAGATGTCAAAGTCGTGCTGTCATCCACTTGGTTTTCGACAACAACAAAAAACAATCGTCAAGAAAGAATTCTCTCGTGCACAGCAGACGTTGTTCAGCTTTTCTATCGTGACTTTTACGTACGTGAACTTCATCCTTTCTCGTGCTGGTTGCAAGATCAACGTCAATTCGTGCTTTTAATCGTAACACCGATTCGTCCAAAGCTAACATCTTCGTGCACCCATGACACGTCGCACTGTCCCTATTACTTAAAACTATCAGTGGAATCAAGCAGACAGAACGTTCTTTTTTTTTCAAAAATTCGATACCACAGAGTCAGAGTTCACCGCATTCTTGTCTCCCCTCTTAATAGAGCTAAAGCTGCAGCTGGCCTGCACGCTTTTTGCTTTTTGAAAAAAAATTTGATTCTACTATTTCTCTTGCTGAAAATAAATTTACATTCCAAAATTTAGCTTTTACACCATAAGAAAATGTCATCTTCTTCCTCGTCCTCTTCGTCGAGCAGCAGCTCCTCCAGCAGCGGCTCGTCGAAGAAGAAATCCAAGCAGTCCAGCGATTCCAGTAAGAAAGACTCGCCCCGCTACTCCTCCGCCGGGCCGGCGCAGAGCAACGAACCCGGCACCATGGCAGGCGGGTTTGCGACGCTCGGCGCTACTCGCGGTTCCGCTGCGGAAGCAAGCGAACCGGCGGAGCGCAAATCCCGCCACAGCTCCACCGCGGATAAAGAGGGAAGACTCCGCAGGCCAACCGATCAGGGCTTGAAGTCCTCGGAAATTAAGAAGACGAAAACTTCGATGATGCGGTTTTACTTACAACAGGTCGAACCGCGTTTGGCGACGACAAAGCTCGATTTGTATGATGTCGACACCGCGAAGCAGGTCATTGATGTGATCGAGCCTGGGGAAGTCGTCGAGGTCAACCCAGTGGACCCGCAAACGGGGATGTTTTACGCGAGGGTGCAGACGATCCACGGCTTTTTACAGTCCAATGAAAATCTCCACCCCTTCGACTCGGCAAAGTCGCAACACCTGCTGGAATTACCGTTGGCCATGACGGTTACTCTATTAGACGACATCGAGTCCGACCGGAAGGAGGCGATCTCCGCCACGGCGAGGATTTTGCTGTTGCTCTACTCGGAGCTGAAGGATTTGGAAATGGCCTTGGCGACGCTCGCCTCCCGCTTGTGGCACATGATGCTCTTCGGCCCACTCGGGTTCGTCCCGGAAGGCACGAAGCCCCAGTACAAAGATCGGGACTCGGCTTTCAAAAAAGCCAACCCGTTTCTGCAAACTTTGGTGAAGCAAATCTACGACGAGATCGCGCGGCAGCACCCGAAAATCGCGGACAAATTCGAGTACCAGAACAGCATCCAGGCGGTGAAAGCCTCGATTGCGGTGTTGTTAAGAAAGGACAAGGAGCACATGACCGAGCCGGATTCTACTGGGAAAAAGTTTGTCACGGTGAAGGGCCTATCAAATGCAAAAATGTCTGTGTCGGGAAAGTTGGAACTTGTAATGCTGGTCTTGCATTCCTGTGAAATCTGTATTGCATGACCAACAAAAGTGGCAGCCTCTCACGTCATACAAAAACGGAGTTTGTCATGCGAACTGTGTATGATAAAGCGTTGCGCAGATGACTTGTCATGCTTTCCTGCATGAGGAAGCGTTTTCATCATGCACATTTTAGCATCACAAATTGAAATTTCCAGACCCAGAGATATTTGCACTTGATAAGGCCCTTTAGCCTTTCTCGAACCGGAGCTGGTGCAGAGACTCGCGACTTTGGATGTCGTTTCGCTCGAAACGTCGTTACTCCAATCGGAGGAGATCCACAAGAACGAGCAGGGGACGTTCCAAATCGTGCCGTACGGGAAGAACGCGTTGGGCTCTATCACCGACGACAGTTCCTCGTCTGTTGTCACCGATCCGAAAAGCGGGGTGAAAGGTCTCTTCGACGATTCCGACTTACGGTCCGACATCAAACGCGCGAGTGACTCCGCGACGAAGATCTCCCCCTACATCCAGCAAACGATCAAAAAATCCGAGGACGGCACCCACTGGGTCTTCACCGACCACACGGAGCAGGCCCAGGAGTTACCGTTAAAGCACCCGGCCGAGTTGACCTTGAGCTATTTGCAGGATGGGAAGCCATCGGAATTAGTCCGCCAGTGGGACTACATGGCAAATGCGAAGGACGCGGACTCCGTCGTGGATGACACTTCCGCGGGGGATTCCTCCGCGATCATCAATCAGGAAGCGGAGAAGCTTCGTCAGAACCAGAAAGTCCTGATCGATGTGGACCCGAAGTTGTTTGACGAGACGAACAACCTCGGCGTGGATATCTACGGCGCTCGGAAGGACATGAACATGTTTGGCGTGAAGGACAAAAACGCGGGGTCGTTGTCCTGGTTGTACGACGAGGTGGATTGGAAGGCCGCGGTCGGGGACGGCGGGGATTTTCTGTACAAAAACCCGAAAGAACGGTTTTCTCGGATCAAATACTTCAAACAAGCGGAGAAACTGAACCAAGTGCCGGGGAAGGGCAAACCGAAAAAATCGCTCCGCGGTCGGAAATATCAAAGGCAAAAGTATCGCACTCGTAGAAATTGCAGTCGTGCATGACAAACCTGGTTCCTGAGCTCATTCAGCATTACAAATTCCATTTTTCCTTCAGGAAAAATTTGTGCTGCTATTTCTACTAGAGCGATACTTTTGCAATGCATAGAAAAATCGGTGATGGCGCGACGGTGTACGCGACGCAGGGTGGCGGTTTAGCGATCAGCGAAAATTCCCGGGGCAGCATGGGGAAGGTACTATGGGTTATTTGTCATGCGTAATCTGCTCCATGAATCATGAGTAGTTTTATTCGCTTTTGTGATGCAGAAATGCCGAGTAGAGGTTGTTTTGGTTTCCAAAAATTTCGAAATGTGTCATGCAGGACAATCCGCACATTACCCTGTTTTTGTCATGCACCAATTCCAAATCAATATCAGTCCGCCTACGAGCGCCAGCCGGGTTTGCAAATCCGCGACTTTTTCAACAAGGAAACGGAGGACCAGCAGGGCGTTTGTGTTGCGACTTTCCATATGCATTGCAAATATGTCTGGGTCTGGAAAAGTGGAGCTTGTGTCGCGGGTCTAGCATTCCTGAAAAATTTGTGTTGCATAGCCAGCAAAAGTTTTGCCTTTTTGTGATGCAAAGACGCAGTTTGTCATGCGTCATACGCATCAGTCGGCGCCAAATAAACCTGTCATGCTTGGCTGGACTTGAAAGCACCAGGCTCATCCATGTTTTAGCATCACAAGTTTCATCCAGACCCAGACATATTTGCATTTGATATTCCAACGAAGGACACAACTTGCCAACATGTTCCTAGAAGCGACCAACCGATATTTCCTCGACGACGTGAGGCGACAACTGGTCATCGAGCAGGTGGCTAAGCTCATGCAGCACCCGCCGCACTTTGACTCGACGTTGCCGTTAAGTCACCCCGAATTGGTGAAGCAGGAGATCGCCGATGATGTGATCCATTTGTTGAAAACCGACGGGACCATGAAGAAAATGATCGCCGCGATCGACGAGGGGGAATACGATTATTCGGAATTGTACAGTTGTGGTGAAAATCTGTACAATCTCTGTCGCGAGCACCCGAAATGCTTAGTCGAAGATATTTCCAACGCGTTGGATTATACCCTGAAACAATCCGAAAACGAGATCACGCGGGTGGAGACGGAAGCGGCGGCGGACCGCGCGGAAATGTCCGATGTGGAAGATGAAGACGTAGAGCACGTTATCAAAATGAAAAGTGCAGCTCCCACCCCAGAAAGGGAAAGTGTTTGTATTGCAAAGGTTGCGAATGGAAAAACTCTCCATCTTGCATATTCCCGCAACACAGATTTAAGTATTTCATTGAGGAATTCTAGCACAAAAATCTGTGTTGCAAAAAGGCCCAGCAACAGTGGGGCTTGTCATGCGAGAGATGCTCTACAGGACTAGAATCTAGATCGGGGACGAGACTCACTCGTGGTCGTTTCATGCAAGACAAAACTGATTTCCATTCGGGAATTTCGCATCAGAAATTGTTTGCACTTCTGGGGCAGCGGGGCACTTTTCAAGTTGATACACGTGCCGATCGACGAAAAACTCGATCGGATCGCGGTCTACCACCAAGATCTGACCGAAGTGGTCGTCAAGCTCGGGATCAAGGGGGGCCGGGAGGATGTTCTCTCCAAGGCCGAAGTCGCCTTCCAATACATCTGCGAGTCGGCAGTGAAAATCGTGCAACTCATGATCGACGAGCGGAAAATCGGGCGGCACACGAGAACAAGCGAGAGAGAATTCTTAGAAGCGGTTCTGGCGCACGTGACGTTGAAACTGGTCGTCGTCGCCGCTTTTGAACACTACGACGCGATCAAGCACGACGAATACACGGATCCGCGGGCGAAGTTCCATGACCAGATTCTCGAATCTTCTCGGAAGCGTGCGACCGATCTGTTGAACGTTTTCCGGAACACTTTTAACCAAATGGATTTGGATGAGTCGCTTTTCGACCCCATCCGGGAGAAATTGTATTTGGAAATCAACGACGCGGTATTTTTGCTATACCAGGTCACGACGGAGAACACGCAGCTACCCATGCAGGTGGAAAAGTTGGAAGACAGAACCCCGTATCAACCGCAAATGCGTCTGGGTCTGGAAAGTTCGAACTTGTAATGCAGGTCTCACATTCTTGTAAAATTTGTGTTGCATGACCAACAAAATGCGCAGCCCCTTTTGTCTATACGAAAACGCAGCTTCTCATGCGGGCTACGCATCAGAAAGCTTAGTGGAAAGTTGTCATGCTTGGCTGCATTCGGAATTGCTTCCATCATTCACACTTTAGCATCACAAGTTTCCAGACCCAGACATGTTTGCAATGCATACCCCGATTTCCTGGCGGTTTCAATCTGACGTAGACATTTTGGTGGAGGCGGTTTTGTACCAAATTGAAAAGCGGATTTGGGATGACAAAGCCCGGAAAAGCAACGTCGTGGCGGAGTTTGAGAAGGTATAGGGCTTTTTAGTGGGTTTTGCATGACAAATTTTGCTTTTTTTCTGCATGGCCAAAGTTTCTGATGCTGAAAATCCAAATACTATTTGTCATATGCAAAGCTACCTACGAAAAAAAAAAAACTTTATCAAAGGTCGTCTCTTCCCTCGCCCACCGCTCGGTCTGCGAAAAGCCCTGCTTCTACGTCGAAGCCGGGGTTGGCTACCGCCCGGAATTAGATGCACTTGTGAAGAAATTGAACATCGAGCTGATGCCCCACCACGCCAAAGCGATTGCTTCCGTCACTCTTGCCACCCTCTGCGTGCACCATGCGCAGTACTTGGAGCGGATGCAGAGCCCGAATGTGGACTTAGTCGATCGGGTCACCTGGACGAATCGGTATGAGCATTGCCGGTTGGCGACACTAGATACTCTAGTCGCGGTGATGAGCAAATTAATCCGGGATTTGGTTGAATCTATGGAGACCAATGCGGAGAATAAGAAGATGATCGAGGAGGAGATTCTGAAACAGGAAGAGATCAAAGACAACGCGGATCTGGCGTACGAACGGGCGGAACACTTATTGAAATTCCTCGTGTGGAAACTCCATTCCGATCTCCTCGACGCGCTGGAAATCGGAATTTTAGAGCATATCAAATGTAAAAATGTCTGGGTCTGGAAGATTCTGCGACTTGTCATGCATGTCTGACATGACACGAGAATCTGTAATGCGTGGGAACGAACCGGCTCTCCTATCTGTCATGCAAAAACGCAGTTTCTCATGCGGAATACGCAACACGTAGCCGCTCAAAAATTTGTCATGCTTGGCTGCGTATTGCAGTCCGGCTATCATCCACTTTTAGCATTACAACTTTCCAGACCCAGACATTTTTGCATTTGATAGAGCAGCCGCAAATGCAACTGGTCCCCAACCCGGAGATTGTGGCGAGCGAAATCCTATCAACTGTAAAAATGTCTGGGTCTGGAAGATTGCGAGATTTGTCATGCTTGTCTGGCATGGCTCTTAAATCTGTCATGCACGTTACCCAAGAGCTCCATTTTTCTGTGATGCAGAAACGCAGTTTGTCATGCAGAATAGGCAACACCTAGAAACTCAGAAACTTGTCATGCTAAGCCAGCATTTGTGGCCTCATCATGAGACGCCACCCAGCATCACAAGTTTCCAGACCCAGACACTTTTGCATTTGATGAATCCTGATGCATTTCGGCAACATGCTGGAGGAAAGAGTGAGACGGTTGCACATCCGCGACGCGTTATTGTTGAACAGTTCCTGGCAGAACGAGTTCGTGCAGGAGTTGGGGATGCAACTGCGGGTAAAAGGGGCGCAACTCTGGGGGTCGATCGAACTCATGCCGGGGGTCGAGATGGACATCGACCCGGAGCAAAGGAGGAAAAGGGACGAAAAAATGAAAAACGACAACCTGTCCGGGCAACCACAAGACTCCGCCTTGTTGCAAGACCTCATGGGCCGCGCGGCCAAGCAGTCGCAAACCGACATTTCGTGCACGCGTGGGGATAAACTACCCGCGGAAGCGCGATATCTCGCCACCGGAGAAATCGGCGCGGACAACATGGGGGACATGGAGAAGGAGCAGAACTCCCCCCCCGCGAAGGTCTCGATCTTGCAATCTCGCGACAACCACACGATCGTGCAGGTGGCGGGGGATCGGACACAGTTGTTAGAAGTGGTCGGCATGAGTCAGGACCGGCATTTGCCCCGGGTCCCCGGGACGGAGCCGCACCGGACGCGACGGGACATTGTCATGGTGATCCCGGACGAGACGAAAGTTAGTAAAACGAGGGATTTGTTGGAAATGTTTTCCTCGTTCTGCGACATTGAGGACGCGTTGGACTTACTGGGCCCGGAGAAAGATAACGATGGGACGATTCACGAGCAGATGAAAATCGTGATGATCCACATGGACGATATCATGACACTTGATGAGGGTGGGATTGTCGACATTTTATGCTGCACCGGATTCCTAAAAGATGCGGAGCAACTGCTCGTGATGGAGCACGAGATGGACCGGGATGATAGGCTTTTAGAGTGCCTCTGCCACATGATTGTCGACCCGGAACTCGGCGACGTGATGGTGATCGAGTCCGACCACTCCCGGGACGAAGTTGCGTTTTTGACCGAAAAGGACAAACACGCCCAGGACATATGAACTGCAAAAGCATCGTACTCGTATAAATGCATTACAAATTCACCTAGCACTACAAACTGAAGCTGTAATGCGGATTTGCCTTGATAAAAAGATTTGTAATGCAGAAACGCAAGTAGTACGAGTACGATACTTTTGCAATGCATAGGACAATTCCATCGATAACTTCTACAAGCCGAGTCGTTCTTCTGATGTCTTCGGGGACGGGAAGTTATGCAAAGCAATTATGCCTTCTGACTCAGAAATTTGTATTGCAAAAAGCAGCCTCTGGAAAGGATAAGCAGATGCACGGGTCGCAAGACAAATTGATTCAAGATTTTGATAGTGCGTCTTGGTCTCAGCGAAGGCAGCCTTGCAAATTTCGCATCAGAGGAGACAATGCTGAAGTACTTCTTGCATGACAAAAACTGGGTCGTGTGGGGGCATATTTGTATTGCATAAAAGCTATCCGCACTGTACCAAGCGGCGGACGTGACCTACGTGCCCGACGCGAGCTTTCGTTTGATCGAGCCGGAACGGATGGCGCAGCTGCGGGGGGAGGAGCAGGAAAATATTGAAAACGCGATGGAGTCGATGGGAATGTCCAATGAGCAGATTCTGGGCGCGGGTTTAACCGGCGCCGGGTTGAGCAAGTTGCAGTACAAAACGCCGTTGGAAGACACGGACATCGCCCGGCATTGTAAGGTCATGAAGCCGACCACCTCCAACAATGTGACGAACTTCAAGCTGTCCAAGGCTCTGCGGACCAAGGACATGGCTTCCAAACCGGATTTCCGCCTCGCCTCCGAGGGGATCGCGGAGCACTGCATCGCGGGAGTTCTTGGTGAGAAGTTCCAAACGCACGAAAGGCTTGCGGACTTACTATCCCGGTCCGGCGCCGCGTCGGTTGTCGCGGCGGCCGAAGGTGCCGCGCAGGTGCAGGGGACGGACCCGATGTTTCCGAAGGACGGTATTGCCGATGACAAACAGGTCACGCCCGACGCGAACATTACCGTTTTGGAAGAAATCGGTCGGTTCGCGGCACGACAAGCCCTGTACTCCGGCGCGATTGACAAGGCGAAGGCCAATCTGAACCTCCACACCGTCGCGGAGGCGCTGATTATTCACGCCCGGGTCGGGGCCAGCAAATTTCTCGGCGGAACCGCGGAACACCTCCGGGCGCTCGGCGTCGCGGATTTATTGGAACACGAAACCGGCGTGGCGGTCAAGGCTTTGATATCAAAAGGAAAAATCCCTTCTCCCCATATGAAAACGAAGTTTCTGATGCTGGATTTGAGTACACAAGTCAGATTTGTCTTGCTGGACAGGACTGCAGATGACCCATATCAAGCCTGAGTAGAGAGGCTTTAATCTAGGCGCTTTTTAGCATGAAAAACGTCCGTGCTGTAGCGCTTAACAGCATGTTGACAAACCGCCTGCATAATGCAGCGGAGCCGGTGGAGTTGCCGTCTTGCAACACAGACACGATTTGTGGTCACATATCAGCAACGCAAATTTGCGAAAACCTACCGCGTCAATATGGGGAGGGGGGATTTGTCATTGCGATATTGGATCGTCGCTCTCTTCGGCCGCGCGGCGCTGCAGGAGTTTATGGGCAGTACCATTGCAACCGCTTCTGAGGTATGGATTGTAAAAATGTCTGGGTCTGGAAAGTTGTGATGCTGGGTGGCGTATCATGAAGAGGCCACAAATGCTGGCTCAGCATGACAAGCTTTTGAGCTTAGAGGTGTTGCCTATTCTGCATGACAAACTGCGTTTCTGCATGACAGCAAAATGGGGCTCTTGGGTAATGTGCATGACAAATTTAAGAGTCATGTGAGACAAGCATAACAAACTTCCATTCTTCCAGACCCAGACATTTTTGCAGTTGATATGAGGGGGATGTCGGGCTGTTGGAAGAAATTTTACAACGTGCCGCCATGAAAGCGGTCGTCCGCCGCATGTACTGGCGGGGCGAGCAGCGGCTGCGGCAGAGGACGGAGTTTTTGGCGAATAAAAGGCATGACATGCACGGGATGTTCAGGCGGAACATGCTGCAGAGCTGGACGGAGGGAATTGAAGAGGACGAGTTGAAGACGTTGAAATCGGTATTGATAGTGTGGTTTTTGCATCACAAAGTTTGAGTTTTTTCGGAATTTCCTGCAACAGAAGTTTCATGATCAAAATGAAAGTCCTCCGAGAACTTGTCATGCATCAAAGCCAAGGGATGATATTCAAAAAACCTCTACAACTATCAGGGCCTCTCCCGTCGCGACTACCGCGGAATCGCCGTTCTCCGGGACATGAACGCGGGAAACCGCCGCCTCCACCGGGTTGGCATGCACAAAGATCCGATCACCTCCGACATGCTGGTTCGCAATTTCAAACTGGGTGACCACATGGACGTCTTACGCCCAGGCTTTGGCACCACCACCCACGGCATGCTAAAGTGCAACGCCAAGGACTGCCAACAATTAGTCCATGAGGTTGTCGACGTCGCGAAATATTTAGACCACGACCGTCTCCACATCCAGTGCGCGGATTTCGACGCGTTGGCGCGACATCTGGTTTCCTCCGTCCACAAAGTCGTGACCCAGTTCGTCCCGCCAGATTTGGTGGAGCGAAACATTTCCTTAATCGCCACTTCCAAAACATTATACGGTCTCAACGTCGTTGTCACCCAACCGGGGCCGGATGACAGCAAGTGGCTGGCCGTCCCTAAAGTGACAGTCGCGGTCCGGCAGATCGCGGATATTCCGTCGAGATTGTTACCAATAGTGGAAACGGAAATCGACGCGTTAGGTGCGATCCACGACATGGCGGCTGGATGCGCGTCGTCCATCATCGGCAGGGGGTTGGCTTACTGCCAATTCCCCTTATCCCGCGAGGCGGTCCAAACGAGTCAATCGTTGGCGAATACGGTCATCACGTTGATTGAGAGGACGAATTCCGTGGATGGGGAGGTCCTAGAGGATTTCCAGGACTCGTTGAACGCCAATGTCGTCGACGAAATGTCTTTATTGCAAGCCTGTCGCTACGTGCAGGCCTTCGTCGAGGGCCAGTGCGACATTATTAAACGGACGAAGTTGGAAAACGTGGATTTAGAACTACTCCGGAAGGTGGAAGTGGGTGTGAAAGTCGCGAAAGAGAACACGATCTTAGGGGGGATGAATTCGCACAAGTTGATGAAGGCCAAACTCGCCTCTGTCGACGTGCTGGTCGCCGAGGCCATGAACGCTTTGGCGCTAGAAGTCCACCGATCTTCAGAAATCGAATTAATGCAGCGGGCCTTGAACGCCCGGTGGCGGTACGCGCCGGTGAAATTGGTTTGCAACGTGGGTGATCAGATCGAACTGATGGCGATATCAAATGTAAAAATGTCTGGGTCTGGAAGGATGCAACTTGTAATGCTATTTTTGGATTCTAAAAAAATCTGTGTTGCATGACAGGCAATAGGAGTCCAGTCCTTGCCACGTGGACGAGAGGGCATTTCTCATGCAGGATATGCATCAAGACGCACTCAGAAAATCTGTGATGCTAGGGCATAGATCACAGCCGTCATGGGTCATGTCAGATGTGCATGACAAATCTTCCAATCTTCCAGACCCAGACACTTTTACACTTGATAGGCGAGCCACCCGGATAACATCAGTGTGGAGGAGTTAGCGGGGCTGGAATCCTACCCAGAGAACGACGCCATCCGGGTGTTGAATGATGTCATCAAGGACGTGATTGACAGGAGGTGTGAAACTTTTCTGCAGAATCTGTCCGCGAATCTCACCCGGCAACCAACCTCCGATATCGACGCCGGCTTGGTGCAGGATTTCTTGGAGAAGCTTGCGACGAAACTGGACAATGAGCTGAAGGAGAAACTGAAGCAGGAGCTGTGCAAGCCGGAATTGAAGCCACACACACCCGACGCCCTTCCGAACGACGTCACGGTTTTGGCGAATTTCTTGCTGAAGACTTTGGAACTGGCAAAGATCGAGTCGCGGAAAAACCCGAAGAAGGATTTGGCGGGCAAAGCGCTTTTCGACACTTGTGACTTCTTAGCGCAGCGGGTTTTACAGCAAATTGAGCACGAGTTTGGAACCGAGCAACAGTTCCGGAAAGTGATCTACGAGTTGGTCGGAATTCTCACCGACGGAATGGTGATCAATTCTCGGGATCAAGAGATCGCGGAAGTCGTTTGCCACTTCATCGGCCACGTGTCCAATCGCTGCGCATTGCAAATGTGTCTGGGTCTGGAAGAATGCAAGGTTGTCATGCTTGTCTGGCATGACTCTTAAATCTGTGATGCATGAACAGGAAAACAAGGGCCTCTTGCCTGTCATGCAAAAACGCAGTTTGTCATGCGAAAAACGAAACACACAGCAGCGCAAAAACTTGTCATGCTAGGCGGTATACTGCAGTGCGCCCACAATTCGTAGATTTGCATCACAATGTTTTTCCCGACCCAGACATATTTGCAATGCATAACCGCTGCGCGCAGACCAAGTTCATGAAGCCGATGAACGCCGAAGAGTCGATATCCTATGTAAAAACGTCCCCACCCCAGAGTCAAGATGGGGATTTTGCAACACAAACCTTGAAGTTTTGGGAACCACGCATGACAAATTGCAGACTGTAGTGTAGTGCAGTTTAGCAAGGGAAGCCGCATAGCAAATCGATCTCCTTATGCTGTTTACAGCATTACAAGTTCCAAAACACGATTGATAATGCCCCTCATGGGATCGCGCATTACAAGCGCTCTTGTGCTTGCAGATCTGCATCACAACTCTGGGGTGGGGACGTTTTTACTCAGGATAGTCGATGTGGCTCCGGAACCGACAGCTGGGGAGGAAGAATTTAATGCAGTTGATCGTGAAGGAGCTGAAGTCCGTTTCCGCGTATGACGGGCAGTTAATCACGGACTTCTGCGAGCGCATCGTCGAAATGATGGAGAAGGAGGCGAACTCCGACGGCCCGGCGTACCATTCCGGAGAAACGATTGAGGAAGCACTTCTCCTCCATTCCCACCACGTAAACAAGGAGCTCACGCACGCGAACGTGGCGAATAGGCAGATGTTTGTCGTCGACCAGGTCGACGTGTTTGAGGAGTATTCCCTGTTAACCGAGGACGTGATTGAAACCGACCAGATTGAAGCGCTTATCAACTGTAAAAGTGTCTGGGTCTGGAAGAATGCAGCGCGTCATGCTAAATCTGAAGCATGCAAAAATCTGTGTTGCATGATTACCAAAAGTCGTCCAGTTTTGATCAAGTCGGAAGGAAGTTTCTCATGCAGGATAGGCATGAGAGAGATCGCGCAGAATCTGTCATGCTAGGTCCTGCATTCCAGACCTCATGGGTCATGGAAAAGCTGCATGACAAATCTGACAATCTTCCAGACCCAGACACTTTTGCAATCCATAGCGTTGGTCAAGCAGCACTTCGTCGACACGGTGGGGAGAAGATTATATCCTGAGTAAAAACGTCCCCACACCAGAGTTGTCATGCAGATTTGCAATGACAGGAACATTTGTAATGCGCATCACCAGGAGAGGCATTTTTAGTCGTGTTTTGGAATTTGTAATGCCGTAAACAGGATGAGCAGGTGGATTTCTGATGCAGCTGGCCTTGCGAAGCTGCACTACACTACGGACTGCAACTTGTGATGCGTGACCCCCAAAAGTTCTAGGTTTGTGTTGCAAAATCCTCATCTTGACTCTGGTGTGGGGATGTTTTTACTCAGGATAGATTAACGGAAAATTTAACCATGCGGGAAATTCGTCGGGTGAATTTAAGGGATGAAGTGATCAACCGGTTGTCGATGCGCGGCAACATGCAGAGTTTGAAACCGCAACACAGAACCATGCAGGCCGCGACGAAATTGTTTGAGCAGTTGAAGCACTTCGTGTTGCAGCATTTGGACAGAATTGCGCAAATGGACGCGTACGAGCTGATCTTTGTGGAAACACAGGTTCTCGCGAAGAAAATCGCGGATAAGATGGACGAATTACTAGATTTGGGGATCAGCAACGAGAAAATTTTGGAGTTTATCGACGCCATGGAGAAAGACTTGTTCCTGCTATTAGAAAACGCTCTCGTTGAGGACCGGCCGAAGGACAGATTGCAAAAACCAAAAGCGGTGAAGAATTTCCAAGTGTCGTCCGCCACCGGGATCACGCCGGACGAGGCCGCCGGCCACATCGTCGCGAAGCCGGGCATATGCATTGCAACTTTGTCTGGATAGTTTGGAAGATTGCAACTTGTCATGCTCAATCTGAATCATGGAAAAATCTGTCTTGCATGAGGGCCAAGAACCGCTGTCCTCTTTTGACCAGGTTGAGGGGGACGAGTTTCTCATGCAGTATAGGCATGATAGAGACCTCAAAGTAGAATCTGTCATGCTCGGTCCCCCACTCCAGACCTCATGGGTGGTCGTGGAAAATGTGCATGACAAGTCTTGCAACCTTCCAGAGGACCCACACATATTTGCAGTTGATACGGCACCGCCGGGTTCGGGGCCAGTTCGATTCAGGACATGCTGCAATCGAAACGGGCGTCGCGGAATATGAAACAAGGAAATCCCAACGCGTCCATGCCGCGGGCGCCGACCACCGGCGCGACGGCCCACGGGATCGAGAACGAAATGCGGAGTCGGGATCTGGAACTGCAGGGCTACGATTCCATGCCGTCCGACCGGGCGGGGGGCGGCCGGGTGCGGAAGAGCATGGGGGATCGGATCAAGAACCGGCGGAACGTGAACGACACAACCTTGCAAAACTTCAACCTCGGCCCGCAAACGCAGGTGGGCGGGAGTCTATCAAATGCAAATATGTCTGGGTCTGGAAGATTCTGCGCCATGTCATGCTAGTCTGGCATGACTCTGAACTCTGTATCGCGTGCCCCCGAAGAGGTCTGCTTTTCTGTCATGCAAAAACGCGGTTTGTTTCTCATGCGGAGTACGCAACTCAGAAGCACCGAAAAACTTGTCATGCTGGGGAGCGCATCACAGTGTGCTCACTATTCCCTTCCTTGCATCACAGGTTTCCGGACCCAAACATATTTGCAATGCATACAGGCCGGACGGGGCTTATTTTACCAACGCGGGACAAATTGACGCGGTTCCGTATCAGATTTCATGAGTGGAGATGAAATCAGGGGTGAAGTAAGTCTAGCAGGAGATGAAGAAAGAAGCTCTCGCAACCAAGAATATTTTTGATAACCGTGAATCTTTTTGAAGTTGGTTCTTTACAGGAAACAATCTTTTCTCGCAGAACGTCAGCTCAAGGCTTTCCGGCGCTGAGTCCGCATGCCAAATTGTTTTAGATCAGATTTTACGAAAAACACAGTATCAGACGCGTGAATCTTTTTGAAGTTACAAATTTTCGTTCTTGTATCAGATTTGTTTTAGCATAACCTAGTTTTACCAGTATTCAAAATCATCCAAAATAGCATCTTTTTGAAAAATCAGACACAATTTTATCGCTTTTGCATTTGTAGAATTTCAAAACTCAATGCTACCCTTGTGACGTTGTTTTTTGCACGAAAACAAGCAAGTCGTTCTCTATCGTTCCCCGGTGCAGTAAAACTGTAAAGCATAGCACAGCTCTAGTTCCGCCTCGCCCTAGATAGATTCAATTCGGAAGAAAGTTTTCAGTTTCAACAGACAGTTTATTTCATGTACAATAGCAGGCTTTTTTATTTTTTGACAATACGAAAAGTTCTACTTGACCGACCGTTCTTTTTTATTAGCATAAAGTACACCAGAAAATATAGGTTTTATCCACGTTGAAAATCTTCTGTATCTCGAAATCATTCTTAGCATGTTCTCTATACAAAACTTTTTGGAAGTAGTAGTAGAAAAAGCACCAATTCCCTAAAATCCTCTTTCAGCATAACCCAATAGTTTTTTCCGCTCATAGCCTGAGACTCCGCCCACACGTCGACCCCAATTCCACCTGCCTTGACAACATTTGGAACAAAAAACTTTTTGTTTTGGGAAAACGCAGATCAGAAAAAGGGAACGCGTCAGGCTGTGCATGACTTGATTGTGTGTAACAACAGTCTGCTTCGGCCCCATTTCCAATTCAAAAATATCGTCGTACAAGAAAGTGCAGTGATGCAATTCGGTTTTTTTGTCCTCCCTGATGCCATGACAGCGGCGGTCGGTTTTTGTCGGAAATTCTTGCTGCGAAAAGTGGTCGGTTTATTTTCCTCGTCGGCTCGCAGAAAAACTTCGGTACTCCGACGTCTCACCTACCAGCCGTTCAGGCGTGAAGGAGCATTCGGTTTGTTTTGGACCAAAACAGTTAACCCGTCGGTTTTATTTCACACTATTCCTTGTTCGGCGTTTCGTTCTTGGCCGCTTATTATTTCATTTCGGTAACAATTATGATACACCTAGAGTCGCAAAGCCAAAGTCGGAACAAAGGCAAAGTCATCGTCCACTTCATCGCGTGCTAAAGCATTTTCTCGTACAACCTTTAGACATTTCGTGCTTAAGATAAAAACGTCCACTTCCGTCCGACTTACGTCTAAGTCTGCAAGGTACTTTCATCATCAGTTTCGGTCACAATCTAGCTTGAATGACGTGCCCACTGAGAAACTACACCAGGTTAAGCAGTTGTACACTCCTCTTCATTATTCACTCCCTTTACGAGAAATAATCCATGCAGTTTCATCTGCGTTAGTGACCTATGGACGACTCGCAGGGACCACCGTAGCAGCAGCAGCAGGTGTTGCACGTCCCTCCGTAGCTTCGATTTTTAAGGGACGGAAATAATATTGCTAAAGCACTTAATTTCCACATACACGGCTGCTAGTTAACTGATCGAATCGCCACCGAAACATGATGCAGCGGGCCGCTTGGCTAGTCCTGTCGGCGGTGCTGAGACAGGAGATTTGGTATCAAATGCAAATGTGTCTGGGCGGGGACACTTGTGATGCAAGCCAGAGATGAATAATGCGTGCACTGTACCAGCACGTGGCCAAGCATGGCAAGTTTTTGAGGTGCTATGTGTTGCGTATTTTGCATGTTGGCAGACTACGGTTTTATACCCTCGACAAGACGATTTTTTTGCACCTACGCACGACAGAGTCCTGAGTGGTGTATAAAGACAGGGAAGATGACCACGAGTCTTGGAATCCACCTCCAGACAACCAGACATATTGGCAATGCATACTGGGCCTGAGGACGCGGTTCTTCTTGTTTCTGCTCAAGACACAACTACTACGACCACTACTACGACCACTAGTACGACTACTACCACTAGTACGACGACCAGCACTACCACGACAACTACTTGCGATGGTGCATGCCCGAGTACGACTACTACGACCACTACTACGACGACTGGCGATGCGTCGAGCGCCACGTATCCTGGGTGTTTCACACGGTCCTACTTTTTTTTATGGATCTCCGCTGTTCATCTGCCCTTGCATAGTACACGAAGGTGGAGACAAATAAACTCCAGCTGGATATAGAAAGCAAGTGTGCAGCCGGTAGGCCTGTAGCAAGGACGAATCTACTTAAATTCGGCAGGCCTGCTCGGAAAAGGCAAGGTCAAGGTTGTCAAGCAAGCCTGTGCGCGACAAAAAGCGCAGCGCGTTGTTCTAGGCAAAAAAAAGGAAGTGACATATTGCTAGAGCGGAAGCTGTTTTGTAAAGCGGGACCAGTAGTGTTACACTTCCATACTCTCGTCTCCACCACGACCACGACTGAGCAAGAAGATTGGACGACTGTGTACGTGGTCGTCGCGCTCTTCATCCTATCAACTGTAAAAATGTCTGGGTCTGGAAAAATTCATGTTTGTCATGCTTGTCTGGCATGACTCTTAAATCTGTCATGCACGTTACCCAAGAGCCCCGTTTTTCTGTGATGCAAAAGCGCAGTTTGTCATGCAGAATAGGCAACACCTGGGAGCTGAGAAACTTCTCATGCTGAGTCAGCATTTGCACCCTAGCATGAGACGCCACCCAGCATCACAAGTTCCCAGACCCAGACATTTTTACTTTTGATACATCCTCATCCTGTTCGGATTGGCGTTTTATTACCTGAACTACCGGGCCGGGCAAGTGCATGGGGGTGGATTTGACGAGTACTACGGGGACCACTACGGCGGGTACGAGGATGACTACGGGCATTACGATGACCACGGGAAGGGTGGGAAGAAAGGCAAGGGCGGGAAAGGAAAGGGTGGCAAAGGAAAGGGTGGCAAGGGCGGGAAAGGTGGCAAGGGCGGAAAAGGCGGCAAAAAGGGGAAAGCAGGGAAAGGCGGGAAGAAAGGAGGCGGGAAGCCCGATCCCTACGCTTACGACGAGGATTACGGTCATGATGATGGCTACGGGAACGATGATGGCTACGGCCAGGATGACGGCTACGAGCACGATGACGGTTACGGCCACGATGACGGTTACGGCCACGACGAGGGCTACGGCCATGATGACCACGCCTACAGTGCTGGCACGGCGAAGGGCGGTGGTGGCACGACCAAGGGCGGTGGGAAGCCGCAGATGGGAAAACCAACAGTGCAGACCGTGCAACCGATTTCTTTGTGGTAAGAGCTGTACTGATTTCTCTGGTGGCGCGGAAGTAGAGGGGCAGCTGCGCAGCCAGATCCTTTGTTTAACAGTATCCCCTTTGCAGCGACACAAGTACTAGCAAATGGTCGTTACAAAACGACCTTGAGCTGCCACTCTCTACATGGTTCTACGACGAGCACAGTGCTGTACTTAAAAAAGGCGCACACACGAAATTCGCACGCTGGAACCACCAATACCTCTTTCTGAATTGCAGAACTACCCCAACAAAGGAACCCAAAAAGTAGGAAACAGTATCTCTGCTACTCCCTCTACTGATACCTTGGTTTGAGGTGTGGCGAGATCTATTCTTTCCCCAGTTCATCCACTACTTCCTTCGACCTGCTTTAGCTTTACCCAACCGAAAACAGAATAAAGGTTCGAGATGATGACGCGCATTGTAAATCTGGATAGTAGATGCTGAGAGTCGGAAATCGCTCGAGTAGTTTCTTTGTGCTAGAGAAGAACTTGTGCTGAAGCTCGGTTTTGCTTTTGCCACTGTTCTTTCGCTAACACAGTGGGGGCTATTCGGCTTTTCGTTTTCAGTGACGACCTTTTCACACATTTCTCTCTCGAGAGAAGCAGTCTGACAAAATCACCACAACAACTACAGCTGTGTTGGAATTGGTTTGCGTAAGCAGAAGCCTGGATGCAATGTGTTTGGAGTTGTTTTTTCATCTTTGAGTGGTAGCTAGTAGGATTGGCCTGGAAAAGCCCTGAGATAAATTGTGATTCTCCCAATGTTGGAATCTGAAGTACTAGCTCCGGACTGCACAAGTTTGCAATGAGATCATACAGGTCGACGGCCCTTGAGATGAAAGATCAAATGTGGTAAGTTCAAGAAGTTGTAAACGGATCTCCTCTATCGCTAGTGTGCAGCAAAGTAACGCCATGGCTTTTTTTCGGTACCAATACAACGATCCTGTAGTAGAAACAACAGATCCAAGGGCAGCTCATGGTGAATTTGCCAGGCGCGATCCGATTGAAAAGATCAAGTTTCTCATGCGTGATCTGCAAAAATACACAATTTGTGATGAGACAAATTTTTAGATGACGAGTCGGACCATTCAACAAGCGACTTGGAGAAGACGCGTTCTGCGTTTTTTCCTTTTCGCGCCCACACGTCATGACGAAAATCGAGGCATTTGTCTGATGGTTTGTATTTTGCGTAAACAGCTGCATCATACGCGGATCAAAAAGTTTTCGTGCGGTAGAAATTCTTCATAGAGATGAATTATCTTTTTCCAGAAGTGACTCTCGCGAAGATCCCAACAAGGATGACTGTTTTTACCGAATCCATTACTAATTAGATGTCCGAAGTTACGTTGTACTTGCGCTTTTTGACTTTTGCCTAACGTTCGGGATGGGTTTTCCTGTTTGTCAGGCGGGATTTGAATCGCACGGGTGTAGTGGCGCTTTGACGACATTCTACAAACGAGGCATTTGTCTGATGGAATTCGAAAAATTCGCTGGTAGTTTTCATGAGACAAAATGATCCCGCAGATCTACTTCAGACACGTTGAAAAAGATCCGTTCTGCTCATTCTGCCACCCTTTGCCTCGAGGTTTTTCTCAAACTTAGTTCATAAAAACACTCGACTTTCTGGTATCGTGGCGACACAGATCCATTATGCGGTTTAATTAGCGTTTCTACTTGGCTCTCTCGAGTGGCAGGTCCGTTTTGGATTTGTTTTGCTCTCTTCTGGCCCACTAGTAGCAGACGTCAGTCGCCTTGCATACAGTTTTTCACGACTACTTCGAGCTGTCTGTTTTGGCAATGCTCTATGATGAAAAAGTACAGAAAGTACAACTCCGCTATGATGACCAAACTACACAATCCATACTAATTAGATGTCAGACTTTTGCACGCGGTGCGCGAATTTTCTTTTCTCTACCAGCTATTTCCACGTTCTGTGGTTTTGGCTACTTGGGTTTCGGATTTTCACGTGCGCGCTGTGTGCGCCTTCTGATGAACTTTTACGAGGCATTTGGCTGATGATTTCCTTTCAACTTCGAAAACAAGCTAGGAGTCTTTCAATTTCGATGTAAAAATTGTCGAAGATGATGATCATGACTGAGCACCACATCAACGAGCTCTGCATGGTATTCCATCGAAATCTAAAGATCTGTGAGAAAATCTAAAGGTCGCTTAGGGGACACAAGATCACAAGATCGAAAATCTTTTGCGAAGATCTGAAAGGGAAAGTTCCACCTCCAGCACTGCAAAAACTGAGTGCAACTACTACATCGCAAAGTTCCTCTTCACCAAATCAAGCAAGAGATCCTGATTTTTCTAGAAAAGACGGAATGTGATCAGTTGATCCGTATGCACACTGACTTGGTCGTGTCGGTGTCACTCCCACTGTCATCTTCCATTCTCTCCGTTGTGTATCTTAATTTTTTCCACCATTCTATCAGGGACTTCAAACGGGTTAGTAGCCTAGTTGAAGGATTGAACTCACAAAATGGCCAAGTCCAAGAACCACACCAACCACAACCAGGGTCGCAAGGCCCACCGTAACGGGATCAAGAAGACCCGCACCCCGAAGAAGATGTCCACCAAGGGTATGGACGCCAAGTTCCTGCGCAACCAGCGTCACTGCAAGATGGGTATAGGTTTTTTTTGTCTTGCATAGACCTGTAATGGACCTGGGTTTTCTCATGCAGATTCTTGTGTTATAGAGGTTCGTAATAGTAGTTGCAGCTTATCAACCGATAATTCCGCATACCAAAACCAAGCTATCACTCTAAATGAAATCAGGTATGCACAAGAAGCGCGAGTCGGAGTAATTGTGGTGCGTTTTAGACGAGATAAAACGAAGCGAAATCTGTGAAACGCGTTTCTGTCTGAAATGTAAAGCAGATTTTAGCTCTAGTGTAAAAGAACCGACAAAGCCATGATTTCAATCCGCAACTTGTAAGTTTACTTCTTTTTCAAACCCCGACGAAAAAAAAGCCGACTTGGTTGTGACACAGCGCTCAGGCTCGTGTTTTTCGTTTGATGCAGGGAAATAATAGACTGTTCGCTCGATACGATCATGCATTCGTTTCCGTTTGTGCGTGACAAAATGCAGCATTTTAAGACCAGTTTGAGGGAGACGAGAGAGAGCGTGATCGTTTTGCGAAAATTCATGCGAGAGAGGATGACATTTTTGTTAGCCGTTTCTTCAGCGAGTGCAACCTCAAAATCGCGTTGTGAATGTACAGAAGCTATAGGGAGAATTCTTTGTACTCTTGTGGAGTTGCTTTGCTAATCATGCGAGTCAGAAACCTCTCTACTACATCCTCCGCACAAAGTAGAGCATATCTCGTAGAAGAAAGCGGAAAGTGCGTTCAGGAGGGTCTAACAGCATTTCACTGCACAGAACCTAGCTCACGAGCACCTGCGAAGTAGACCAAAACATGTGTTGCCGCTCTCCGGGAATCAGAAGTTGCAGTTGCGCAGGGACGAGATAGTGGCTCCGCGAGTTTCAGACGGCGCAATCGCAGCTCCCAGATTCTTCGGGATTGGCTTTCGGCAGCACGCGACTAATACCGAAACCGAGCCACACATCGGAGCGTCGACTCCTAAACCGCTCAAGCTGCAGGTCTTGCGTCTTTTCGCGGACGCTTGATCATCAAAACAGCCGTCTGCTACGTAGCCACCTTCGTGAGGCTCGTCGGCCAATCGTAAGCCAAGATGGGGAAAAAAGGTAGATATTGAGCAGGTCGTTGTGATGCAGTGCGTGCATGAACGATCAACGTGCGGATATGTTTTTCGCATGACAAAAGTGGCTTCATCATTATTTCCGAACCATTATCAGGCAAGAAGAAGCAAGAGGAGGAACCGGAGGAGGAGATACCGGAGGAGTTTTATCCTGCTCTAAAGCTTCACCGTAATTGTAGTTCATTGCAAGCTCGCATGACAGATGTGCTTTGTGAACCTGAATCCGCATGGCAAAGTTGGTTGCTCCTTCTATCAGTAGAATCTGCCATGCAATTCCCACTACTTGCGCGGTACTTTTGCAATGCATAAAGTCAGGGATTTGTCAATACCAATGCTCACAGAGAAGATTCAGGGCCTGCAGTACAGGCTAGTCAAGGTGGCAAAGGAAAGGAATTACATGCAGCTGGAGAATGACATGGTATAAAAACAGAAATAATTTCGACCGCAGTTCCACTTTGTGTTTGAATGAGCATGCCGCATGACAAATCGCCTCTACCATACGGCTTCTTGCATGGGGCAAAATGTGAATTTTACCAAGAATCGTTCTCTTTATCAGGTTCACCGGTTCTACGACATTACTAAGCACGAGGTCAAGCAATGCGAGTCCGAAATCGCAAACAAGTGCTCGAAAATGGAAATGATAGAACGGGATCATAGGACGCACTTGAAGGTGCACGAGCAGAAGGTTTTGAACCTGGAATACGAGCTATTGTGAGGAAAAATCCCCCCTCCCCATATCGAAAAGGAAACTTGTGATGCTGATGCGTGGCCACAAATCAGCTCTGCCTTGCGTACAGGGCAAGCGGCACCCATGTGGCGCATTGTGTAGCCAGTCTGTCATGCGTTTTCGCCTATCGCAGCCTCGTTGCTCATGCCCAGCTGCTAGCCGGATGCGCATCCGAATGGGCTTAGAATATGCCGACAAGCTCTCGCTGCAATACAGAGCTCATTTGTGTACACAAATCCAGCAACACAAATTGTGTTTTGAGTATGGGGTAGGGGCTTTTTTCACTTGGATACGAGCACAAAAACAACCGAAGACTAGTCGTGGCGGACGGGGAGGAGAGTATAGCGGCGGAGAAGGATATGCGAAGAAAAAAGTGTTACAGTTACACATTGTAGTGCGAAACAAGCTAGACAGGCAACCTTTGTCATGCACGAAATGCTTGCCAGTTTCATGTCATTCTATGTTTTCCCTTATAGCCTGTGCATCACAGGTTTTCTTTGCCATGTCGAGCAACTTTGTGATGCAGAAACTTCAACAAGTGTGTAACTGTAACACTTTTTTCGTGGGATAAAGGAGGTCCACAAAACGAAGATAGCGGGAATGAGTATAGGAGTTTTTTGCTTGTGTCGACTGTTTTCAAAAGAATTTGCGTTTGTTATGTGATGCTGCGCTGCATCTTTCAAAACCGATGTACTCATGATGAGAAAAAGCGAAGTTTCTCACGATGGTCATATGAGGCGAGAGCCTCTGAGTCCATTATCGTAAAACCCAGCTCACTCTGACAATTTCTATTGCAAATGTTACAAGTAGACCTGGATCTGTCTTGCCAGACCGGCACAAATTCTATGTGATGAGAAAAAGCGATGTTTCTCACGATGGTCATATGAGGCGAGAGCCCATGAGTCCAATCCGTAAACCCAGCTCACTCTGATAATTTCTATTGCAAATGTTACAATTTGTCAGTGATCTGTCTTGCCAGCACAGCGTGAGACTTTATGTGATGAGAAAAAGCGATGTTTCTCACGATGGTCATATGAGGCGAGAGCCCATGAGTCCAATCCGTAAACCCAGCTCACTCTGATAAAGGTTTCTCTGCTTACTACTGCCGCGCATGATGCACTTGCAGCGACAGATTCTCAGTTCTCAAATCACCGGAGATCCACGGTATAGTTTCGCATGACAAGTAACCACTTTTTTTACGCAAAATCCGCACATATTACAGATACCGCAAAAGACGGCCTGAAGCAGGACGGACAGTCAAGAAAATTGGCGGACCAGGAGGATCTGAGAATGCTGAAAGTGGGGTTTGAAAGTATATATAAGCGATTTTTTGTGTCATACCGAAATCAGTTCAGAATCAGAATCAAGACTTGCCAGGCAGATTGCCATCGAGAAGGTTGAGAAAAAGATAAATCAAAAACCAAGCTGCTTATCATGATGCTTACACCGGGTTTTCTTTACCTGGTGCCCTTCCGCTGAGGTAGATTCCGATGAAGTCAACCTCTAATCAATTCCTTAAAACCTTCTGACAGCAGTAGAGTTTGTGATGCATATTGCCCTTGATAAAAAAAACGGTCTGACAAGTGGATCTTGAGTAGAGTCTGTGATGCGTAGAACGGGATCTGGAACCTTGTTTGTCATACAGAAGTGCGACCACGTCAAAGCCATACAATGATGCTCACGCCGGTCATAGATGTCCGGTGCCCTTCCACTGAGGTTTTCTTACCGCTGAAGTCAACCTCTAATCAATTCCTAAAAACACTACTGATTCACGAAAATGGTTTTGAATACGTGTCGTGACTGAAGAAGCATGACAAACTGGTTCTTTTATGCATGATGAAGTCGCATGTGAAACAAACGAAAAGATCTTAATCTTATCCTCCGACGTATCAGACTGGCTGGACTGGTTTCTGTGTCCCGTCAGATTGGAGTTAGAAGAGGGAAACTAAAAATCTGTTTCTAGCTGGAGTCCCTCTCGATCGTGCCTTCCGGTGCGTACCGATGAGAGTGGTCGCCTTACCGAGTTACAGACAAGCAAGCATTTTTGCCTTTTGTCGCACTACAACAAGGTTTCCTGGACTATTCCCTGCATGGGAAGACTCTTGTATCAACCCTCCGAAGTATCAGACTGCAACAGCTGATTTCTCATGCTGTTGTGGATTGGAATGCGAGAGGGAAATGAAATTTAAGATTCTAGCTGGAGTCCCTTTCGCTCGTGCCTTCTGGTGCGTACGGATGAAAGTGGTCACCTTACCGAGCTTCTGACAATTTGGTCTACGCTTTCCGCATGACAAATTGCTTTTCCTGTACGCAGTTTTCCGCATCACAGCTTGCTTGTTTTCCGGGCGCTTTCGTTTTCCGCATCGCCACCGCATTTTGACCGAGCAACATGATCATTTCGACGCGGAACTACAAAGCCCTTCCGTAGCGATCGCCGCATGACAAGTTTTTTCCCCCCGCCCATCCTCCGAAGTATCAGACTGTAGCGGCTAGAAATTATTTTCCATGCTGTTGCAGATTGGAATGTGAGAGGAAAAAAAATCAAGATTCTAGCTGGAGTCCCTTTCGATCGCGATTTCAAAATCGCGTACCGATGAAAGTGGTCACCTTACCGAGTTTCTGACAATTTGTTCTGCTGTAGCTTCTGCAACACAAGTTCGCTTTTCTCCGCTCCTTCCGTCGGGGTTTTTCAATTCTTCCGCCGGGACCGCTGACCCGAGGAAAACATAGTCCCCGCTGAAGAAACCGCTCGCTGCTCGCCGCTTTCTGCATCTCTCTCTCACCCTTGCCTCCCTTCCTATAATTCGGCTCCTACTTGCCTTGTCGCGCATCTCCGGATCTTGAGTCTTCTTTATCGCTCTCCAGCATTCTCATCTCATCCCGGCCGGACTGCTGGTGTTCTCTCTCACCCACGATAGAAGCGAGGCCACGCCATGGTCCCGTCTTACCGTCCTGTTTCTCACCTGACAAGCTGTTCCTACGGTCGTGTTTCTTCCGCATGTTGAAAAGTTGTTTTTACACTTGTATTCCACCTTGCATGACAAGTTTCCTTTCCTCCGAAGTATCAGACTGCAACAGCTAATTTGTCATGCTGTTGCGGATTGGAATCCGAGAGGAACACGAATACCGATTCTAGCTGGAGTCCCTTTCGAATTGGAATGAAAGTGGTCGCCTTACCGAGTTTCGGACAGTATCCGCAGCTTCTTGATGCACGACAAAATCTTCTTTCCCACTCCCGTTTATATTCTGCATGACAGTCTACTATCATGATGCAATCAATGGCTCTCTCTCCCGAGGATGATTATCTGCACACCAGCAGACTCTCTTCTGAGGCACAAACACCACCGGAATCTTTTGTTTGGCTGATAATTTTTATGCAGTGCTTGTTTCTGTTTGTGCACGACAAATTTCTTCTCTTTTTCTTTCCCGCATGACAAAGAACAACTATCATGAAGATGCAGTCAATGGCTCTCTCTCCCGAGGATGATTTTCTGCACACCAGTAGATTTTCTTCTGAGGCACAAACACCACCGGAATCTTTTGTTTGGCTGATACAACTTGTAGTGTAGAAGTAGTTCATGTGCAGGGTAAAATTGTGGTTTCGTGTGGCCGCCGCGCCACCTAGGGGACCTAGCGCATGAGGAATTCGAGGTATAATTTTCACTATGATGCAATCAATGGCTCTCTCTCCCGATGTTGGTTTTACACACTGTCGTTGTTCCAACGCGCGAGGCAAAGCAACCACCGGAATCTTTTGTTTGGCTGATAGTTTTTCTATGCAGTTTCTGCTCGACAAACCCTTTCTCTGCTCCCTTTCATCCGCATGACAAACTTTCGTCTGGGCAAGTAGCAAAATAATCAGTTTTTCCTCTCGATGTCCAAGGTTAGCACCATTTTAGCGGTTGGAAGGAAGAGATATCTCTCATAGCGGAAGTGCATGGCAAGTCTTGATTCACAGAGCTAAGTTGTGTTGTGCGATGGTTTTTTGAACTTTTCTAAGTGCTGAATTTTCGACGTCTTGTGATGTAGCTGTAGAAGTACACCTTAGGGCTGCCGGGATGAAATTACTGACTCAACAAGCCAACTGCTAATTTCTGTCAGGAAACCTGAAAAAGCTGCGAGAAACCTTCGAGGTGAACCACGGGACACTCGAGAAGAACTACGAGGAGCAGATAGAAGAGCTACAGAGGGACCTGGAATTGAAGCGAAAGTGCGAAATTCACGAGATAGAAGAGAGGAAAAACCAGCACATAAACGTATCCTGAGGAAAAAAACGTTCCCACGCCACATTAGTTGTGATGCAGATTTGCCATTACAGGACCACTTTTCAATGCGCATTTACCTATGAGAGGCATAATTTCCCGTCGTGTTTTAGAATTTGTAATGCTGGGAACAGGATAAGGAGAGGGCTCTGTGATGCGGCTGTCCTTGCTAACTTGCACCACCGTGCAGAAAAAGCTTGTCATGCGTGGCTCCCAAAAGTCCTGAATTTGTGTTGCACAGAGAGTTCGCAACTTGAGGTGGGGACGTTTTTACTCAGGATAAAACGACCTGCTGTTCAACCACCAGGAGGCCTTTGACCAGATAAAGGGCTACTACAACGGTATAGCAGAAGGAAGATATTTTGATGTCATCATGGGGACTACACGCATGAGAAACAGAGTCTGTGATGCGAAGTTCTGCATGACATTGTTCTGACTTTTCAACAGCGGGAAATCGAAATTCTATCAGATATTACTCACGACAACCTGCAGCTCATAAAGTCTTTGAAGGATGAGATCGCCGAAATGAAAGACCAGGAGAGGACCAACCTTCAGAGAATGAAGTCATTAACACTCGGAAACCAAAACCTTGCGGAGCCACTGAATATCCTGTGCAAAAGTATCGTACTCGTATTGCAGTCACGTATTACAAATCTTGTTCTTAAGGCAGCTTAGCATTACAAATGTCATTTCTCATGCTGAGGAAATTTGTGATGCATTTATACGAGTACGATGCTTCTGCACTGCATACTGAAGCAGAAGGAGCAAATGAGGCAGGAGCTGCAGTCGCAACTGAAATCGTAGTTATTTATTTAGCGATGTGAGTGTAGTTTCGCGCATGAGAAACATGATTCCTGTGGTGTTTCGCGCATGAGAAACATCTTTTATAATTCCTGTAGCCCCTGTTGTATACTGTGCATGACAAATCACCTCCTACTTTCAGCTACGGCAAAGACAAACTGGCCCTGAAGAACTTGATCGCGCGAGCACAATCGCTGGAAAACGAGCTGAAGGAAGCAGGGGGCAATTGGAGGATGGCAAACGAAAAATTCACGAAAGTGGAAAGGGAAAGGGACGAGCTCTACCACGAATTTGCCAAGGGCGTAGCAGACGTGAAGAAGAGGAGCGAATACAAGAACGTTGTATAATAGAAGTTGGCATATGTTGTGTTACTTCATTTTGCATGTCGCGCATGACAAACTCGAGCTTTTGCTTGATTTCACGCATGACAGACTTCTGTCAAATTTCCGCACTTTGCAATGCGAATGCATTCAACACGTGTAAAAAACAACCCCGTCAGGTTCTGGAGCGCAAGCTCGAGCTTCTCCAGCACGAATTCCAGCAGAAGCAGGTCCAGCTTTCCGAAGTTTTAGCGTCCGCCAAACTCGACCCCATGGTGGTGCAGAATGTAACGCAGAAATTGGAATCTGTGTTGCTGCAGAAAAACACGCTGTGCAAGGACCTGGAGTACCAAATTGCCCTCGCGACCAAGCAGTACAACGATTCTCTCCATGTGTTCGAAAAACGGTTAGTCGACTTCGGGGTGCCCGTGGAGGAGATTGGGGTGGAGCCGCTGGATATCCTGTGCAAAAGTATCGTACTCGTAGTAATCGCAATCATGCATTACAAACTTCCATCCCAAGGTCAAACAGCATAACAAATTACATTTGTCATGCTGACCGAATTTGTAATGCGATTTCTACTAGTGCGATGCTTTTGCAATGCATACTGGAGAAACAGGTCGGGAGTCTTGGGGTGGTCAGCGAAATGCCGGCGGGGCTGGTGACGGCGAAGAGGTAAAGGAAAAAACTTCTCATGCGGATGGACTAGTACGACGGCGAACTATGGGAAGTTGTGGTGACTACATCCTGCTGTGTAACGATGCGAATAAGTTGACGATGTTTACGAGACAAGTTGATGCTCTTTCATACTCAAAAAAAGTTGATGCGAATTTAAAGTTGATTTATACGATGACGATCTGGTGCTGATGACACACAGGAAAGATTTTTGCAAATTCTGCAAAAGATAAGTGCAGAAGGCAAAAGCAGTGCGCGCATTGAAGAAAAATGCGCAAATAATGCACAATGTTGAACTAGGAAAGACTACACTTTGTACCAAACCAATGATAGAATGCTCTCCAGAGCTTTTTTGATTTACGCGGAGGGAGCTCTGCGTCGAATTTCTCCTACCAGAGTAACAGTACGTTATACCGAAAACTGGTGTTCTACCGGCGCATTTTTTTTTCCGAATAAGTACACGCGGTCGCGGGTTGGCTTTCGTCGTCCTTCCAAAGATATTCATACTACAGCTATGTGGCTCTTGCTCTTGCTCTCCAAGAGATTATCTGTTGAGTGAAAAAACTACAACGCAATCTTCTCTCAACAAGATGGCTTTCGGCATCGTCAAGAAGTCGCTGTTTTCGCTCGCGGCTCTTCCCGCGTCGTCTGTGCACGGGCTCGTGCCCCCCCCACCCCCCCCACGGAGACGGAGTTTTCCGATGAAGGCGCTAGTGCCTCCCGCATTGCAACGGAGAGCACGTCGTCCGGGGACCTGCAAGCCGTCGTCGGCAGTGACGGAGCCGCTGCAGTCGGAATGGTGGAAAAGGAGAAGGCTCTTGTAACCTTGGCGTATGCCTCTGCGGCGATGTGCGCGACGGCTGCCGGGGGTGCGGTATATCCCATTAGGATTTTCACTTTCATTTTCGGAATAGCACCTAAAATATTTACTAGGATTACTATTTTTACTATATTTTACATGCTATTTCATACGGAGACGGGGGAATGTCATCGGTATTGACGTTCAGCTGATTTCTGTTTGAGTGCAAAAATGCAATCATACTATCGGTATTCGTGCAGAGCAATTTTAGTCGGAACATCGTACATTTCTCGTAGTAGCGCAATAGCATCGTACGCACAAAAACTAAAAGTAAGCAGCTACATCATGAGAACGTAAACACGATGAAGGAAACAAGAACACCGATGCTGGAATGATGATGGACTTTTGATTGCACGATGTCAGGTTTGTTTGTGAACCCAATATACGCGCAATACTGCAATTCACAATTGGTAACACCCCACTACGTTTGAGGATCGTAACCTCTATGAAAGTTTCCAAATTTGTTGTTCACCACGATCACAGGAAACTTCACAGGTGGGCACGGCTGCTGGTGCGGGGGCATCCGCTGCGCGCGCTGTATATCAAGACAGCACCGGACAAAGGAGTCTGGTGGTCGAGCGTACGGCGTTTGCCAAATGCACGAACTCCGCTGCTGCGCTCCCTTTCACTTTTTCTACCCATATCAACGACTCCGAAGCCGTGGCCGAAGCGAAAGCAGAAAAATATGCGGTGGATGAAGAAATATGCCGCGGCTCCGGCTCCTTCGAGTCGTGCGAATTGTGCCCCAAGTCGTGAGCAAGATGATGGAGCAGGATGATGGCTGATGGTTGTTGTGAGACTAGGAAAGACTACACTTTGTACCAAACCAATGACAAAATGCTCTCCAGAGCTCTTTTTCTAGAGCTCTTTCGATTTATGCCTTGCTTTCATGTCGCAGAGGAACTTTCTGTTCGAGCTACTCCTTGTCGATTATCGTATCGTAGTTCGAGTACTGTAAATCTGTTGTTTCTTTACTGCAATCGAGAGCGAGTAGAAAAGCAAGCAGAAGAGGCACTTTGTTCGACACAAAAAGGAACATGAGCAACCACCTTGCGCCACCCGTGTTAACGAGCTTCGGCTCAAGGCTGTGATAATGTAAACTGTCAGGAGATTCTTTTTTGGTCTTGGAGGGACCACCGTGTTCCACTGCTTCGCTTCTGAAAGATCTAGAAATTAGAACTACGGGAGCCCAGAAGCGACATCCTACCGGAATGAGAATATGTGATGCTGGAAGCTGTTCTACTGATACATTTTTTTTCCTCTCTCCTCCCACTAAGTAGACGGTCGCGGGTCGGTGGTTGTCTTTCTTGCAAAGTTGTTTTCTCTCAGTACGTAACTGCATGGCATTCGTTCCTGAAACTCGGCTTCTTCCTTTATCGTTTCTGGTTCAAATCAAGACCTTTTGTAGTGTACATGCACAGAGATACGAAAGTCCAGCCTTCTGCGGCATTCACGCACAGACGTGAGATTCGGATTTCGATTCGATGCTTCCCTCTCCAGGTCGATGCAGGTGAAAGAATCTTTTGCCAATGCAGGTGTCGTCGTGCTCTTGTTTTTTCTTCTTGCCGCGTGCATGGATTAACATCGCACTCGGTGTGTTAATGTTGAATATCATCGGTTGTGACGACGGTTTTGCAATCTTACCTGGAATGTTTTTTTCTTTCGCTAAGACGTGTTAGGATTCGGTCCCTGTTGTCGGTTTATCAGCAAACAGAAAAGTATGCGTATCTATCCAGACGGCACACTTGTTTTTTTTCTGTCTATGATCACGGGTGCCGCGCATGCGCAAGGGAGTGCCATGTATTTTCTCAGCTCTTCTAGTGTGTTTAAGGCGGTTCACAACAAAACCACGAAACTCCTGCTGAAGATAGTTTTTCCTTCCTATCATCTACTTGACTAGTAAGACGGAAAAATTGACGAGGTTTGAAGACTGATTAAAACTGTTCATCCCGATAATATCCCACGAAAAAACTGTTTCACTGTGATGGTTTTGCAAGATTCGCTTCACAAGTTTGCTACACATGACACAGAAAATTTGCCATGCGCGCTCTTTAAGGGAAAAACACGCTTAAAAATCCAATACCTTGCAGGTGTAGCAAGACAAATAGTTCTGTGCTCCATTCTATGCATCACAAGTTCACGTCAGTGAAGCAGTTTTTTCTTGCGATAGCTAAATGGCCTCGCGGTATCAGCCGATCTCTTCTCCAAGCAAAACCGTTTCTTTCGGAGGTACATATCAAGTGCAAATATGTCTGGGTCCGGAAGAATGGGATTTGTGATGCTAGCTCTCGATCATACAAAAAACTGTATTGCATGACCACCAAAACAAGGTGCTCAGATTTTTGCCACCCGGGTCGGGCATTTCTCATGCAGGATACGCATGAGAAAGCCTTCGCGAGGGCTAGGATGCTAGAGAATGCTTCACAGGCATCGTGGGTCAGGTACAATTTGCATGACAAACACAATCGATGGAGGGCGGGACCTGCACCGGCGACAGGCGCTACCCAACCAACCAAACACCCCAATCTTCCAGACCCAGACATGTTTGCAACGGATAGTACAACCAGCAAGACAAATCCCCGGTCCCCGCTGAACGCCACGCCTTCGCGGTCTCCGGGTGAATTGATCAAGATCGCGGAATATGGATTGCAAAAGTGTCTGGGTCTGGGAAAATGCCAGGTTTGTCATGCTCTGCTAGCATGACTGTCAAGTCTGTCATGCAAGGTACCCAAAAGCGCCACTTTTGTGTCATGCAAAAACCCAGTTTCTCATGCAGAATAGGCAACACCAAGCGACTCAAAAACCTGTCATGCTGAGCCGTCATTTCTGGCGTTCTCTTGATTCGCCAACCAGCATCACAAGTTTCCAGACCCAGACATTTTTTGCAATTCATACGGAATTTATCAACGAGCAGAGCAACACAAAAAATCCGAGTTCGTCGTGGGAACAATCTTCCAGTCCGAGTTACCCAACCGATTTATCGTCGAAAATGCACCGCCCGAATTCGGCTTCCCTCCCGAATAGCAGTGCCACGATTCGCAAAACCGCGGGGCACAGCGCGACCCTGAGTGCGAACCTCGGTGCGAGCAGCGTCGGATATCAAATGTAAAAATGTCTGGGTCTGGGAGATTCTAAACTTGTAATGCTGTGTCTGGATTCTAAAAAAGTTTGTATTGCATGACCAGCAAAAGCAGAAGCACTCCAGTTTGTGCTACGTGGAGAGGGCATTTCTCATGCGGTAGAGGCATCACAAAGTCTTCTGAAAATCTGTGATGCTAGGGCATGCATCACAGACATCATGGGCAATTCAAAATATGCGTGACCTGTCTCGCCTATCAAGATCCCTAATCCGTAGCTCCTAGACGTTGCCTGGCCCGCGAATGACTCCAGGGCAGCCGGATGACTGTGACCTGGTTATAAAGGGCTTCGTCGATCGATTGTGCCACTAGGGCCTTGTGTTCTGGCTACTCCGGATCGCAATCGATGGAGGGCGGGACCTGCACCGGCGACAGGCGCTACCCAACCAACCAACCAAACTTGGCAATCTTCCAGACCCAGACACTTTTACATTTGATATCGGAGGTGGAAATGCCGCGTCGTTGAAGGAGCGGAAATTTTCGCTGCTCTACCGCGATGTGCTGGACTGCGCGAGCCACGTATTTTCTTATACGACCTTTGAGTTTGTCTTTGTTTGTCATGCGGAAAGTGATAGATAGTGCGTCAGGTTTGATGTCTGTTGCGCGGAACAGGGAAAAAGAAGGAGGTTTGTCATGCGTGAATGCAAGAAAACAACGTCTCTGCAACACCAAGGTTCTCCGCAGCAAGGAGGAGTTTCAGGAAAAATACCGGGAGACGCAGGAGTATGAGAGGAAGCAAGGATTGTTTTCAGGTAGCAGTACTAGATTTTCATTTCTTCTGTGCAAAAAAGTCTGCCATGCGCCCCATCTTGACTTTCACTTTGTCATGCGCTGCGCACTAACCTGAAGAAATGCGTTTGAAAAACCGAAGCAGACTGCATAGAGATCTGTACCTTGTAGTTGAGGGAACAACCTGAAAGCATGAATCTTTCTTGTCGATAACAAACGGGTCGGGAAAACGGAGATTGCCATGCGAGACATGATTCTGGAGGTTGAGGACACGTGGTATGCGAATGTACTTGAGAGGACCGTGGTGGGAGTTTGTCATGCGAGAATCGCTTGTCGAGCATAATCACAATGTATGCTTTATTTCCTGATTTGCATGGGTGGGAGCAGGATGATGTTGATAATGTATGCGTGAAGACTGGTGTTCCTCGGTATTCTGCAGTTCTCGAAGATCCGTCTGCATCTTCTAGATCTACCATGACAAAACCCTTCCACCCACTCCCTTCTTCCCCTCCACACGGCCAAGTCCAAGCTGACGAATCAGCAGCGCAGCCTCGAGTCGAAGATGCTGACGAACTTCGAGCTTATGGATTGCAAATATGTCTGGGTCTGGAAGAGTGGAACTTGTAATACTGTCTGCGGATTCTAAAAGTAAAAATGTCTGTGTTGCATGAGCAGCAAGAGGAGTCAGTTCTTGGCACGCAGAGAGGGCATTTCTCATGCGTAATTAGCATCAAGAAGCTCTGAGAAGTTGGCACCAGCATCACAGACCTCACGGGTCATGCAAAATGTGCATGAGAAGCCCCGACTCTTCCAGACACCAGACATTTTTGCAGTTGATAGAGCTTCTCAAAAAGCAGCTCTCCAGTGAGGCCAACGAGCGGAACGCCGCCTGCGAGAAGCTCGGGATCCAGATATACCCCGCTCAGGTTTTACAGTCTCAACCCTTACAATAGAATATGGAAATCTGTGATGCAAGAGTGCATGATCTAGCCTGCTCACACAGGATTGCGCATGACAAGTTCTCGAGTCCGAAACCCGGCCAGAATCATCTGCTGAAATTTCTATTGCAGAAAATAAATGGAACGCTCTACGAGTCTGTCATGCTGGTCATGCAATACAAAATCCCGACTCTATTGTAACGTTTGAAATCATTGTAACACCTGAGCAAGCCATACCAGATAGAAAAGCTGAACGCGGAACTGCGCCAGTGGAACGCTGATTTTTGCAAGGACGTGGCGACCAAATGCGACGAGGAGATCCACTTGATGTGCGACAAGAACGAAAAGTTTTCCGAGGAACTGTCGATCAAACTCCAAGTGTCGAAAGAAGAACTGGCAAAGCAGATTTTGCTGTCCGAAGACGAGTTGAGGAAGGAGAACAAACTGAAATTGACCGATTTGACGGATAGCATGGAGAAGAAAATCCGGCTGCTGACCGCCAACTTTCGCAAAATGGAGGAAGACCGGGTGTTGGACCGGAAAGTGGTGGATGAGATCGAAGATTTGCTGGAGCGGAAAACAAACTTTCTGACCGAGAGTTCCAAGCAGAACGAGTCGAAGCAGTCCCAGGATTTCAAGGATTTGAACGATCGGTTGTCGACTCTGGAGAACAAAATTATCGTGGAAATGAAGGCGGACGCGAAATCGAACAACGAATTTTTGCTGAAGGAGGTCAAATATCAATTGCAAATATGTCTGGGTCTGGAAACCTGTGATGCTGGGCTGCGTATCATGAGGAGGCCGCAAGTGCTGGCTCAGCATGACAAGTTTCTGAGCTTCTAGGTGCTGCCTATTCTGCATGACAAACTGCGTTTCTGCATGTGGACCGTGTCTCCACCTAGGGGTATCGGCAGAGGCTAAATCTGTTCTAACGCCCAGGTATTGGCAGAGGCTAAATCTGTTCACACGCCGACCCGCCAGGAGTTAAATGGTACTACTACTACTACTACTTGCATGACAGAAAAATGGCGCTTTTGGGTAACGTGCATGACAGATTTGAGAGTCATGCCAGACAAGCATGACAAACATGCATTCTTCCAGACCCAGACATTTTTACAATCCATATCAAATTGCTGGATTTAAACGTCCGGGAGGAAATGAAAATCCTGAAGGAAAAATTCGAAGCGCAGATATCAGAAGGAAAAAATCCCCCTCCCCATATCAAAAGAAAATCAGCGAAAATTTCCGATGCTGGATTTGCGTACACAAATGTGGTCTCTCTCGCTGTAAGGAATTGCGGGCAGATTCTTAGGCTGTTTAGGTGCGCAAGGGTCTAGCTGTTTAGCATGGGAAACGCCTGCCCCGTAGGCCAAGCAGCATGACAAACCGCATCCATAATGCGGCGCATCCCTCACCGCTTGCCTTTCTGTAAGACAAAAATGATTTGTGGCCACAAATCTGCATCACAAATTTCGCGACGGATGCCTTTATAAAGGGAGGGGGGATTTTTCCTTGCAATAGCAGATCGGGAATATCCTCACCACTTTCGACCAGTTTAAGCAGAAGCAGGATTTGGTGAATAAGAAGTTCAACATATCCTGAGTAAAAACGCCCCCACCCGATAGTTGTCATGGCGATTTGCAATCGCAGGAATGTCTGTAGTGCGCATCCCCATGAGAAGCATTTCCAGCCGCGTTTTGGAATTTGTAATGCTGTAAACCGGATGAGTAGATGGCTTTGTGATGCTGCTGCACTCGCTAAACTGCACTACAATACAGAGACGAACTTGTCATGCGTGACTCCCAAAACTTCTCGACCTGTGTTGCGAGATTCCCATGTTGACTATGGGGTCGTGGGGACGTTTTTGCATATGATACAACACGTTGCTCACTTCCAAGTTCGAACTCGCCGGGAAGGAGGCAAAGGAACTGCTGGAAAGACAGTGGGAGCGGACGGAGCAGCGGGTGCAGGGGAGTATTGAGTTCGTGAAGCACGATTTGGTAAACCCGGTCAAACTGGACTTCAACTTGCTGCAGAAAGACACGGAGGAATCGATGAACCAGTTGCAGCTGAAAGTGAGCAGCGAATTGGAGCAGGTGAAGCAGAACTTCGACAGTAACCTGCAGACGTCTAACACGAGTTGGAAGACCACGCACGACAGTTTGCAAACGAAGTTGTTCGACAAGATCCTACCGGGCCTGACGAAAGACATGAAGCACATCGAGGGGAAATTGGCCGACCAGGTGCAACTGACCAATGACACCTTGACTGCGAAAATCGCGAAAGCACACACGGACAACGACACTCGCTGGAAGCAGACGCAGCAAACGGTGGAGGGAAACAAACAGCTGTTTTACTCCGAATTGAAGAAATCGAGCAACAATCTGCACCAGCAGATCGACTTCAAATTGGATTCCGTGGTGGAGGAGATGGAGAAGGTACAATAGTGGAAGTAGCTAAAGTCGGATTTCTTCGCAGCAGGCTTTGTGATGCTGAATTCGCAAATGTAAAGGTGTTTCTCATGCTCATCCTGCATGACAACGACACACTATCAGGTCAAACTGTCCGAGAACCGGCTGCAAGATTCGCTGCGGCAACACGAGTCCAACGCACTGCAGCTGAACGTATCGAATGCAAATAGCGATCTTTGTCTCGAACGATGCAAAGAATTTGTGTTGCTGAGTCTTGCATGAGACTTCTGAGGGGCTTTGTACTTCACTACTGCATGACAAGTTTTGCGAGGCAGCTTCATATTACGGTTCTTTACTTCCTAAGTCGCATTACAAACTACCTTCCAGCACGACGAAAAAACTACTACTAGCCAGTCCTGTTCATCGACAATAGAGATCCTGCTAAACTTTGCAATTCTGCATCACAAATCCAGACCGAAACGTATTTGCAATGCATAAAACGCCGAGATCACCGATCTGATCGAGGAAAAGCAGTCCGACCAGACTTCGAAACTGCGTATGGGATGGAGATGTTTTTTGTCGTAGGTTTTGTGTAGCATCCTTTGCATGAGAGCCCCGTTCTGTCATGCGCGCGTTCCAGCACACTACTCTGCAACGGATGTTAAAAGCCCTCAACCTGCTCGCAGATTCTTCACTCCCATACGGCAAAAAATTGTGGAAGAGATCAACCAGGCGATTGAGCATGTGAAACTGCAGATGACCAACGAATTCCAGGATTGGGGCAGTAACGTCGAGGCGAAGTTCGCCGAGGAAATCTCGAAGAACCAAATATGAAATGCAATTCTTCCTGGATGTCTGGAAACTTGTGATGCTGGTTGGCGAAGCAAGAGAACGCCAGAAGTGACGGCTCAGCATGACAGGTTTTTGAGTCGCTAGGTGTTGCCTATTCTGCATCAGAAACTTGGTTTTTGCATGTTGGCACAAAAGTGGCAGTTTTGGGTACCTTGCATAACAGACTTGACAGTCCTGCTAGCACGGCATGACAAACCTAGCATTTTTCCAGACCCAGACATATTTGCAATGCATACCAAACGGACTTGAGCAATTCCCTGAATCAGAACGTGAAGAAACTGCAGAACTCCATCCAGCAAGTGGAGAAGCACGACCTGCGATATCAAAGTGAAAAAAGCGTCCACCCCATATCGGAAACGGAATTTGTGATGCTGTATTTGAGTACACAAATCGACTTGTATTGCTAGAAGGCCAAGAGACGAAGCTGCGCCCCAAATTGCAGGCAATCTGTCATGCTTTTTTCCACTTCCAGTTGCCTCCTGTCATCCTGGAGCTGCAAGGCTTCCCCACGCTAGGCAGCACTACAGTCCGCATCTTTTGCCTTCCAGCATCACAAAGCTGATTTGTGACCACAAATCTGCATCACAGATTTGCGTTTTGATATGGGGAGGGGGCATGTTTCACTGTAATATGCGAAATTTGGAAAAGGCGAGCAAGGAACAAGGTTTGAAACTCGAAGCGATCGATTCAAAATTGGAACAACAATTCCTGAACAAGGTGAAACAGATGGAAAAGCGGCAATCTTCCACGGAAAAAGCGGTCGAGATCGCGGTTTCCCAGGATATCGCCCACTTGAACAGCAACTTACAAGAAATGAACACTTATCAAATGCAAATATCGATCTGGGTCTGGAAACTTGTAATGCTGCGTTGAGAGTAGTGAATGCTCTGTAATGCACAGCCAAGCATGAGAAATATCTGCGCTTCTTTGTGTTGCGTTTTTCGCATGACAAGCTGCGTTTTATTTGCATGACAGGCAAGGGCGTCTCTTCTTGGACACGCATCACAAACTTCGTGGTCATGCCAGACAAGCATGACAAATCTCGCAGTCTTCCAGACCCAGACATTTTCGCATTTGATAACACCAAGGTGCGAAAATTTGTCGACGACCAACTGCGGCTCTTCAAGGAGCAGGAACTGTCTGACAAACTACAGTATGCGTTACAAAAGCATCGTACTAAAAAACTGCTAATTGTAGTTTTGCATCACAAATCTAGTTGTTAACGTAAATCCGCGTTACAAATTCGTATGCTGAGCTGCCAAGTTGTATTGCAGTTTTCATTAGGCTACGATGCTGTTGCAATGCATATCCAGTCTCTGGCCGCGAAGTGCGAAAAACTGGAAATGAACGTCATCCCGGAGGTGTTTGGAAAATTTTCCGAGCAGATTTTATGACAGTGCACAACTCCCCCTCGTTCTCATTTCTCATGCAAAATCCCAAAGCCAGTTGTTCCCTTGTAACACTGTTATGCATGACAAATTCCGGGAGCCCAATCAGGACTACATAAGGTAAGTACTTAGATTCCGATTTGTCATGCATAGGCTCCATGTGCGCTGGTGTTTGTATTGCTGTTCATGCCATACAAATGAGGGGGAGGGGGATTTGTGCACTTCTAGAGATTTTTGAGAAAATCGAAAAGACAAACACGGAACTGGAAACTATCCTGTGTAAAAACGTCCCCACACCAGAGTTGTCATGCAGATTTGCCATGACAGGAACATTTGTGATGCGCAACCCCATGACAGACATTTTCAATCATGTTTGGGAACTTGTAATGCTGTAAACAGGACCAGCAGATCGATTTGTGATGCGGCTTTCCTTGCTAACTTGCACTACCTTACGGACTGAAACTTGTCATGCGTGACTCCCAAAGCCCCTAGGTTTGTGTTGCAAAATCCCCATCTTGACTCTGGTGTGGGGACGTTTTTAATCAGGATAGAAACCAAATTTGAAGATAGCAGCAAGAAACAGGGCACCAAGCAGGAGAAGGGGGATAGCAAACTGTTGCAACTCACCGCGAAGCTGACGGAGGTGGAGACCCGGTTGGGCGCGCAGATGGAGGGGCTGGAGAAGCAGTTCGTATCCGCGAGCGTGAATGGACAACTTCATGGGATGAACAGTAATCCTGCTGCGATGGTGCACATGATGAACACTTCTTCTAATCCGGGCGGCGTTTTAATGCAGCACTCGCAGCACCAGCAACTAATGCCACAACCGACCAACATGCAGCTACAGCAACCGATCAACAACGCCGGCACGACCCCCACCCGGCAGAGGAATCCGGGATTTGTGGTGGAGTCGCCGGTAACGGGGACAGCTGGAAACAACCAGCAGCACGCGATGTTTTTGCAGCAACCGATGATGGGTGCTTCTTCGTCCGCCCAGCAGGCCGTCGGGTAGTTAAGTAGTTACTCATACCTAAGAAGCTGTTTACTGCTTCCTTTCTGGTCGTGTGATGCGGGGCATGATGCGTAGCAAGTACATCAACCCTCGTCTCATGTTGTTCACTGCTCTCTTGCTCGCTGCGTGGACGAGGTAGGAGAAGTTACTGCTTGTCGGTCAAACCGATTGCGCGAACTAATTCATCCCAGGTACTCGCAACCACAGTCACCGAGCGTGATGCAGCACCAGCAATTTCAACAGTTACAGCAGCAGTACCAGCCAGGTTTTGTCGCGATGAATCCCAACGCGCCGGTGTCCATGTTCAAGAACGATGCTGGTATGAACAATAACCCGACCCAGACCACCGCGGCGCCGACTATAACCCGCTCAGGTGTTACAATCTCAAACGTTACACTAGAATCTGGAATCTGTCTTGCATAATGAGCATGACAGACTCGCAAAGTGTTCGACTTTGTGCAATACAAATGTCGCCAGAGTTGTGTAGCGCGGTTTGGGACCACGCCGGAACGTGTCATGCGCAGTCCTATGGGAGTAGGCTAGATCATGCACTTCTTGCATCACAGATGGCCATATTCTACTGCAACGTTTGAGATAGTAACATCTGAGCAAGGCATACCAACAAGTTTGAGCTTCTTGCTCTCCTCTGAGCAGCGGAGCTCGACCAACAGCAGCCGCAACGAGAACGGGGTGGATTAAGAAGTACTTACACTCGACGGCGGGGCTTCTGTTGTTAAAAACTTGTCATGCAGACTCGGCACCACGTCGAGGTCCAGCCGACCACCCGACGGGGGTTAGTACTGCTTTTTACGTAAAGAAGAAAAGAAGATCTACACAGCAGAAGTTTATTTGCATGGAACACTGACAGTAACTATCTGTAACTGTATTGTGAGAAAAATTATGAGTACAACATTGTCAGCATCGAAATGCAATGGAGCCACGGCGCTCCTCCGACATGGTTAAAGTAGAAGTTGAAAAGAACTACAGCTTGTTGAGTAAAAGTGAACGATGTGTACATAAACGACTGAAAGTTTTGTTTTTGAGATTTCCATACGAAGTGTTAGTTACATACCCAATGTTCGCGCTTTTGATGAGTTTGATTGGCAGCTGCATAATTCTCGTTGAAAAATGCCAAAAGTTTCAGTATCACCTTGAAGAGTAGTACTACATAGGAAAGTTTATAAAAGAAAAATCTTGGGCAGAAACAATTCGACTTGGACACTCAACCATGAACAAAGATAAAGGATCGAAATCAGCACAGCTTTTGTTGCTTTTGAAGCCTTGGCACATCACCTACAGGCTTCTCTGCCCTGTCGCGTTTGGGACATGTAGGCCGTTTTATTCTACTCTGAGGCGCAGAAGTTGCATCTCGAGGTCACAGTTGCACCACGAAGTTGGAAGAAGTACGGAGGCCTACCAGCATGCCGTCCGAAGCAACACCACAAGAGTAGGAGTGGTTCATATCCCGAGAGCAACGTGCCCAGGTGGAGCACAAGTTTTAGAAGTTGAGTGTACAACTATTCGTGTCAATCAGAACTGTATTATTCTAACGAGAGACCTCCACGCTGAGGAGACAGAGGGAGAGCGCAAACGGAGCAGACTGTGCTTGCGCAGCAGAGGACGACGTGTTCTGGTTTTCATCTGTGCCGCCGTAGTCCGAGCTTAATATGCGGCGCTGCATAAGACGAGAATAAGTACTTCTGAAACAAGAGCAAGCGCCAGTTTGACAAGAAAGCATTTCGGTTGATCAAATCATGTCCGCAGGGGTCGAACGGTGAGCGACGCCTGGGGCGGTGGAAAATACCGCAAAAATCACCATAAGATTTCATCCTGAGAACGAGTCGCGCAGCATCGGGTTACGAAGTTGCAATACCAACTGCAAAAATGTCTGGGTCTGGAAACTTGTAATGCTACGTTGCTGGGAATAGTGAATGTCCTGTAATGCACAGGCAAGAATGAGAATAAATATCTGCGCTTCTTTGCGTTGCGTTTTTCGCATGACAAACTGCGTTTTTGCATGACAGGCAAGAGGATCTCTCCTTGGACACGCATCACAAACTTTTTGGTTATGCTAGACAAGCATGACAAATCTATAAATCTTGCAGACCCAGACATTTTTGCACTTGATATGCAATCATGTCCGACAACTTCGCCCTGGCGCCGCTGCCGGACGCAGCTTCTGTCACTGCGTTGCTGAAAAACAACCCGAATGAAACTTTCCTGACCGCCCTCCGCCTCGACCCCAAAGCGGTAAATAAAGCGAAAGCAAGGGAAGAGCTGTTAGACTCTCTCCCGAACAACGCGGGAGGCAAGATTCTAAACGTCCATACGGAGCTGCAGAAACTCGCCGACACACTCGATGACCGGGTCGGCGCACTGCTGGAAGCGCATATTCTGAGTAAAAGCGTCCTCACCCCAAAGTTGTCATGCGGGTTTGCATCTACAGGAACATTTGTAGTGCGCATCCCCATGAGAGGCATTTGTTATTGTTTCTAATCGTGTTTTGGCATTTGTAATGCTCTCAACAGGACAAGCAGATGGATTTCTGATGCGGCTGTCCTTGCTAGCCTGCACTGAGTACACTACGGACCGCAACTTGTCATGCCTGACTCCCAAAACGTCTAGGTTTGTGATGCAAAGTTCCCATCTGTTCTTGAACTGCGGGGGTGGGGACTTTTTTCCTCACAATAGCGCACGAGCGGGATTTTTTCCTGGCGTACAAGACGCACATGATATATGCAATGGAAATTTCCTGTACACGTACAAAATGCATGACAAATTTCGCTAACTTGCAGTGTCCAACTTGTCACGCTACACTAGGATTGAAGGCAAGTTTTGTCATGCATTTGTACGTGTACAGGGAATTTACTGTGGATATGATATCAGTGCAGAAAGAGTTCGACTCCCTGAAATTGAAAGCGGATGAGCACGAGACGAAATCGAGAAGGCAAGCGAAAATACAGAGTCTGGAAAAGGAGCTGAGGTACTTACATACTTGGAAGAATTTTCTTGTTCTTTTTTGCACAGGCAGGTTTTTTTTCAGATCAGGTGAAAGAACTTCTGAAATGAGCGACATTCTATGTTTTGGTTTACTAGGCTGTGGCTGTCCTTGTCCAACAACAAAGAAGCTATCAGGTGGTTTATGAAGGAAGCGCTGCGGTTAGACGAGCTGTGCAAAAAATACCTCACGGAACTGGAGAAATGGAAACGACTAGCTGACCAACTGGATGACGACCGATCCTTCCTCGAGGACCAGATCAAAAAATCCAAGGCACAAAACCGGTCGCTCCGGCTTTCCGTGGAGCGAGCGCAGCAGCACGCCTACGAAGCGCTGGCAGCGTCGGCGGCCGGGGCGGGAAACAACACCTCAACCAGTCAGGATTTGAGCGGCGCCAGCGGGAGCCAGATGCTGGGGAACCTGGGTATGACCTGCTCAAACGTTACAATCTCAAACGTTGCAATAGAATCTGGATTTCGTCTTGCATAATGAGCACGACAGACTCGCAGACCATTCCACTTTCTGCAACGCAAATTTTGGCAGATTGTAATGCGGTTTGGGACTCGGGAACTTGTCATGCTCAGTCCTATGAGACTTGGCTGGATCATGCACTTCTTGCATCACAGATTTCCAAATTCTATTGCAACGCTTGAGATTGTAACATTTGAGCAGGGCACACTTGGGGCGGAAGGGAACGGAATGGAAGCGGAGATGGCGGCGTTAGAGAATCTAGGACTTGCAAAATGCTAGTTTGCCCTTCGATTTAGTGAATTCTCCTTCTGGATTTGCACAAGGTCGTCTTCCCTTGAGGGCACTGACAACTACTTAGGACAAGCCTGTTTTTCCTTGCCAAAACTCGTAATGCAGTTCATAGATCAAGTTGAAGGCAACCGATAAGATTAAGATACTGCGATCAAAATTTTGCAAAAATGCATAAAACCTCGAGCAGGGCGGGGCAGGTGTTGGCGAAGAGAAGGAGGGGGAAGAAGAATATGACGATATCAAATGCAAAAGTGTCTGGGTCTGGAAATTTGTGATGCTAAAATGTGCATGATGAAAACACTTCCTGATCATGCAGGAAAGCATGACAAGTCTGCACAGCGCTTTATCATACGAACTCCGCATCATGAGAAGTTGTCGTTTTGTATAACCACGTGCGAGGCTGCCACTTTTGTTGGTCATGCAACACAGATTTCACAGGAGTGCAAGACCAGCATTACGGGTTCGCATCCTTCCAGACCCAGACATATTTGCAATCCATAGAGGAGCAGGGAATGCCACTCCACAGCAACATGCCTGAAAAGATGGTGGAGAGGTAAATGGGAGATTTTGCATAGACGGCTGTTGTTGAGAACTTGTTTGACCTATCATGCATCCCCTCCGACGATCGCACGTCTTTGTCTACATCAAAAACCAAAAGGTATCGCAAGACCATCAAGAATTTGACGCAGCTTATCCTATTTAAAAACGTCCCCCCCATAGTTGTCATGCAAATCTGCATGCTGAAAACGTTTCTCATGTGTAGTCCCATGAGAAGCATTTTCTGAGCGTGATTTGAAATTTGTGATGCTCCAATCAGCATAATAGGCTACGTCTGTGATGCTGCTGAACTAGCTAAACAAGACTACATTACGAGGCCAAACTCGTCATGGGCAACGCCCAAAGCTAGCTGATTTGTCTAGTAGGTTCTCCATCTTGACCATGGTGTGAGGACGTTTTTGCTCAGGATACAGCTAGTCCAAGCGGAGAAGCGAAAAGTGCAAAAATTGGAGATAACACTGGCGAACACACTATGCAAAAAAAAAACACCATCACAATCACTTTTGCACATTTTTGCAATGCAAAAACTTTTGTCATGCGCAGAAATGCATCACAGTCAAGCGCTATAGGCGATTTCCCTTTGTGTTTTTGCAACACAAGAAAAATTTGTCATGCGAGACAAATTTCTGATGCAAAACCTCCTAAGTGTGATCGTGATGGTGTTTTTTTCTTGGATACACACCCGCACCAAAAGTTTTAGAGGAATACTTCGTGCACTGTATACAGAGTGTTGATTCAGATTGTTGGTCAACAGCGATCATTTTGATATGCAGAATAGATGAAAGTTTTCGACTTCTGATTTGCGGAACTAGTACACGCACGACAGTTACAGGACAAGATGAACCTCGTTGTACTAAGTAGAACGAGGATATTTGTAATCCGGGATTCACAAAAATATAAATAAGTCCCGAAGAAAAGGTGGATTTGTAATGCGGAATTCACAAAAAAAAATCAAAGGTATCGACGAAGCAAAGGAGGAGGTCGCGAATCGGAGAACGGTGTATGAGAAGGAAAGGAATTGGCTTTGTTTGTCATGCGCGACGAGCAGTGCAGGCCTGACAAGGGTATGGCGTTATTCGCATGACAAATTCACAGACTTTTTTCTTTCCATACTCGATCTTCAAAAACGATGCGACCCGCCACCGTCCACGATATCGAGTTTCTATCCACAAAGAAAATCATTCGATTTAGAGCTGTGGAGCTTGTCATGCAGAGTGTGCTTGCCTGGTATTGTTTGTCATGCAATTTTCCGAACAGAAAGAAAAGATAAAAATCACCTCAACTATCATGCAAAGACGCATGACAAGTTCCACGAAAAGAAATTTCTCCACAACGTGATACCTATCCGACTTCACTTCCTACGACAAGCGGTCGGTCATTGATTTGCTGTTCCGAAATCCCGAGTTATGATGGTTGAGAAAATGATCTAGCTCACTCCGATTTGATTTTTCGCACGCTGAAGACAGTACAAATCAGCAGGGTACTAGGTAGTTGGATGTTTTGCATATAATTAACGAGTTCTTCTTGTGTTGGAGCATAACAGGCTTCTGTGCCTCCAAAGTTGTGCTTGACGAGAACAACTTAGTGCAGCACTGGCGGAATCTGTGATGCATGAAGAATCATAGCGTCGCAATCTGTCATGCATAAAATAATCACACAGTGAAGATGTGAATCATTTTTCTCCCCCAGACCACCTCCTCGCATTGCTGGAGAAGAAAATGGAGGAGATAAACCAGAGCGGTGGCTAGTCGTGAAGGAGTTTGTCATGCGGTTGGCGGATGGAATAGCAGTCAAAGCCTTCTAGGGGTTGTGCTGATGTTGGGAATTCCAGTATTACATTACAGGTCCATGTTAATTGACGAGAGAAAACGAAAAGATCAGGTTACGAAATGATTGCAGTTCTAGCGTTTTTCATATTCATTCTCATTCAGCAAGATGTGCTGAAAATAGCGTGCTTTTGGCGAGGCACAACTCGTCTCGCGCAGAATAGATACGAAACGGTTTTAGTTGAGAGAGAATAACGAACAAGACATCTGCCTCTCTGTGCTTTTTGTTAAATGCGATCTGCAGTCCCGGACGGAGTTGAAAAAAATATATCCCCGGGGATAAAGATCAAATCCGCTTCCGTTCCTCTTCTTGTTCAGCACCGAATTGTTACTGTAATCATAATCAAACGACCACCAAGGTCGCTATTCATAGCCCGACCCGGACCCAGAAATTATATGCCGAGAGTTGTTGTAGAGTGAGTGCAGCTAATGTGGTCTGAGCAGGTGCAGTCACGATTTCGAGTAGTTAGAAGATCTTCACTCTTTTGTACCAGCTTCGTATCCTCGAAGAAGGACAAAAAATAACCTAAAATGACGACCGCGTTGTACAACCCGAAGACGATCACGGCATGACCAGAAAAAGGATCTACTTCTCTTTTCTTGCCTGCTGTGTGACGATCACTACTGACCACGGGTTGCTCGAAGGAGCTGAGATGAGAACACCTAAACAAGCTGATCTGACAAAAAGTGGGTCACATTTAGTATTCCTTTACAAAGTAGTTCTTGTTCCTGGCACGCAGAAAGCTCCGTTCCACGTCGACGAAGCATGGATGTTGAAATCATACATCCTTCTTGTTTGTCAAGCTCTAATGACACACACGACGACCACGAGTGCTGACAGTGTGTAGTTTTTACAACAACCGAAGAACTGATGAAATCTGCGATTTGAATCCATTTGTGGCACAGCGTCAATGCCGGACGGAGAGAAGTACTAGCGAGAGTACCAGGGAGGCAAGAATAAGAAAATTAAGCGACATCATACTAGCATCTTCGGATGTAGCACCGCAGTGAAGATTTTCATGGTGATAGAAAAGTTTCATTCTAGAAGTAGAGACCACTGATGTCAAGATAGTGAAGATAACCCGCCATTATACAACAACCGATTATAATCATGTGTCGCTTGTTTGAGGAGTTGTAGAAGCGGAACTGGTACAAGATTTGAACGACGAGTCAAGAACAGTTGAGCGCGCAAAAGATTATATACCTCTATCACCATGTTCGGGGAGATGCAGCAGTGGAAGTGGGTGGAAATCCCCCCGGAGGACCTGGGCCCAAACTTCCTCTTCTCCCTCCGCGAGCGCGTCGTGAAGCTGTACGAAAACAAAATTGACGTGGACGATGGGCATTACTGTATCGCCGTCGACACGGAATCGGTGCGGCTGTTGGAAAACCCGGTGGTTCAGGACGGAACCTGTCTGGCGCTGGCCCGGGTCGCATTTTCCTCCATATGTTGCCGCCCATTCAAGGACGAAGTGGTCTATTGCCGCGCGACCAAGCTGCATGAGGTAAGTACTTACTAATACTTGTTCCTGGAGAATGATAAATTCGATAGGATACTACACATCCTTTCTAGTAGCATGGTTTGACAGGATGCGCATGCGGAAATCGAAAAATAAATGCGAGAATAGAAAGTTGAGAAGTTTTTTTCATGCAGGAGCAGGAGGCAGCAGGCAGAAGAAAAATGAAAATGAAACCGCTCCAGTTTTGTTGTTGTCGCAGCTTTGTCGACATGCGCGCTGCCGTTCGTCGTACACGGACAGGAGGAAAAAAACAACGCGTTTTGTCATGCGCACAATAATAAAAGCTGCTGCTGTTCCCGGTAGAGATGAGCATGAGATCCTGTGGTCCAAATAAACTGACAATAACACAATGACCACTACAACAGGTCGGCATCCTGTCTGATTTCGGCCCGGTGCGAATATTTATCAGCAGTCAACAGATGAAGAAGTACAAGTTTGTATCCTGAGGAAAAATGTCCCCACCCCAGTAGAGTCAAGATGGGGACTTTGCAACACAAATCCACAGGGTTTGGCTGTTTCGCATGACAAGTTTGTGTCTGTAGTATAGTCGTGCTTGGCTAGCAAAGTTACAGCACAAATCTAGCCCCTCATCCTGAGTAGAGCATGACAAAGCCCGCCCAGACAGCATGGGAAAATGCTCCGTGTGGGGCCTGCGCATGAGAGATAATTTGGGCATGCAAATTTGCATGACAACTCTGGTGTGGGGACGTTTTTGGTCAGGATAGTTTGAACCAGCGACGCGAAAATTTATCCACGAGGAAGACCAGTCCGAAATAGCCGAAAATTCCCTCCTGTGCTGCCGGCTCGTGGGCGTGAGGACGGAATATCGAAGAAAAAAACGTTATTAGTGTAAATTTGTGATGCGCAACATGCAAAATGATTGCGTCTGTCATGCTTGGCATGCATCGCAGGGTCCATTAAAGGGCGTTTTCAACACGTACTATCTGCGCATGACAGGTTTTTGCTGTCATGCCAGACAAATTTGCAATGCTGTTCCTCCAAAAAAGTTACACCTACAGCGTTTTTTTCTTGGATACGGAAGAGTCGGACTTTATTAAGTTTCACGCTCTGGCCACGATAGACGAGATGGATCTGGGACCTGTAAAATACAACGAGACGAGGTAGAGATGAATGACTATTCTGTAGTAGTATCAATGTTGTGCTGCGCATAGTTCTTGTGTTGGTGGAAGTACAACTCAAATTTTAGGTTTTCGCAACTTCATAGATTGATTTTGAGGACTAAGGAAGTTTGTCATGATGCTATTTTTCATGATACGACAACAATCAACTAACAGATGTTGGATCGATCCCAAATGGGACCAAGATGGCCGGATCCACGAGAGAGAGAACGCTTACGAGCCCGGCAGGGCCGTATCAAAGTGAAAAATCCCCCCTCCCCGTATCAAAGCGGAACTTCTGATGCTGGATTTGTGTACACAAATCAGCTTTGTATTGCAGGATGGCACTGCTGCCAGATCCCCAGACTAGGTAGGGGCGTTGGCGTCTAGTTGTTCAGCATTACAAACGGCTGCCCTTTAGGCCCAACAGCATGACAAACCGCTTCCGTAATGGGGCGGAAGCTTCTGCCTTTGTCTTCTTGCAAGACAAATTTTCGGGAACATACCTCTTCAATATGGGGAGGGGGGATTTTTCGTTGCGATAAGCCGCCGCGGGCCAGGCCGGAGCCGGCATGCACCAGCAGAACGCGGGTCAGGGAATGAACCAGCACCACCTTGACGCCAATCAGCAGAAAAACCTCTTCGCGGCGCAACAAAGAGGAAACACGAATAATTTGGGGCAGATATTCAGAGGAAAAACGCCCCCTCCCCCAAAGTTGCAAGAATTTGTGATGCGAAGTTCCAAAAGAAGCCTTTTTGTCATGCATGAAAGGAGTATGAGTCTATCTTTCTGATGCAGAGTCTAGGCGTGTAGCGCATCGCTTGCATGACAAGCGGCGCTCTTGCTGGGATCTTTTGCAATACAAATTTTTGTGTATAGTTTACGATTGGAAACCTGTGATGCTGATAGATGCAAGAGGGCGAATGTTTCATTTGGCAAGGTTTGCAATACAAATGCTGCCAAGTTCGGGGGTGGGGGCATTTTTCATTGTAATAGCAGACCGGCCAGTCCGCCCGGGACCAGTTTTACGGAACGCCGGGCAACAACCTGGACGGAGGGGTCAGCGTGGGTATGCATTGCAACTATGTCCGGGTCTGGAAGGTTGGAACTTGTGATGCTAACTTTCGACTCTAAAAAAATCTGTATTGCATGACCAGCAGGAGGAGGCTAGTTTGGGCTACGCGGGGAGGGCATTTGTCATGCGGGGTAGGCATCAGGAAGCCTGCCAAAAATCTGTGATGCTAGGTCGTGCATTACAGACATCCTGGGTCATGCAGAATATGCATGACAAACCCGGCAACATTCCAGACCCAGACATTTTTGCATTTGATAGTGGGACTTCCCATGCAACGGGATGAGGACCGGGAGTTTGCGGAAAATATCAAATGCAAATATGTCTGGGTCTGGAAGATTGCAACTTGTGATGCTGTCTCTGCATTCTAAAAAAAACTGCATTGCATAACCAGCAAGAGGGGTCCACTTTGTGCTACATGGAGAGGGTATTCCTCATGCGAGATAGGCATCAGAAAGCCCACTAAAAATCTGTGATGCCAGGTTATGCATTACAGACGTCATGTGTCATGTAACATCTGCATGATCTTCCAGACCCAGATATTTTTACATTTGATAGAGAATTTTCTCACACCGGGCGGTGGCCCCATGCGGTCGGAGCAGTCTCACGACAGTAGTGTTGACAACGCACATCAGACGCGATCAAACATGCTGTACTGATGCTTCTCAGAGAAGAAGTTGTGGTTTCTGTGCTAGGGGTTTATTTTGACACTACTTAGTACGGGACCACTCGTGTTGAGTCTCGTAGACCACTTTGGATTTCCAAATGAAAGAATTTCGCCGTCCTTTAATTCGCGGACCGAAGACTATGTTCGACGCGAGCGTCTGCGTTAACAGGCGAAAAGATTAGTGCTGAGCCGGTGCCTGTTCGTTTTCTACACTGGTTGAAGGACCGGCGGCGATGTCGCACTTTTACTGTGCCGTTGTTGGTTTATTTCCGCTGCCAATTTGTATGAGCATGTATGCGCAGTGTTTCTCGTGCTGTCGCCTCGATGTAGGGGCGGAGTCGAAGTAGCACGTCGTGACGCGGCTTGCTCTTGTGGCTTGTTGAACTCTGAAAGAGGGGTGAAAGTATAGAGAAATGAGATCAGGAGGCTACTGAGAGTTTGTGCTGAGAGCAGCGTGTTTCCAGTAGCAGAGCGGGCGTGAGAGGAGTGGAGACGAACTGCTTGTTCGCGATCATTTGACTGTCTTCACGATGGACAGTGGCTCTCATTCGACTGTTTTCACACGTGCGATGTTAGGCACCGGTCTTGAGTACAGAGTGTATCGTTTTTAGGCAGTGGGAGCTGCACGCCTTTATAGAAAAGAACATGCGTGAGCGTCTCTCTTCCATTCTTGGGGATTTGTTCGGTTGGTCGACGACCGCGTCGACGACCGCGTCGACGGCCCCGCTAAGTGCGGCGCTTCGGGAGTACTTTGCTCGGGGAAGATGGATCGACGCCGGAAAGTTGAAGCCGGATCATACAGATCCGGCGGACGCTATCCGAATGCATCTTGTTGAAGGAAAGCGCATTGAAGATCACGCAGCTCATAGCGATGGAGGTGGCGGTGAACCTGTGAAGATTAACGGCTACATCGCGACGCTTCATAACATATCCTGTGTAAAAACGTCCCCGCCCCATAGTTTTCATGCATGTTTGCATCTACAGAAATATCTGTAACGCGCACTCGCATGAGAGGAATTAAATTTGTACGTCGTATTGTGAGATTTGTAAAAATGCTGTAAACAGGATGAGCAGGCGTCTTTGCTATGCGACTGTCCTTGCTAAACAGCGCTACACTACAGATGGAAGCTTCTCATGCATAACTCCCAAAGCGTGGAGACTTGTGTTGCAGACTTAAGTAGCAACTTGACTATCGGGCGGGGACGTGTTTGCTCAGGATATAACAAGGACGACGTCACCGTACGGACAATAGAAGAACTCACCGCTGAGGAAATCGTCCAAATCTTGGACGAGGTTCTGGGAAAGTTATCCTGAGTAAAAACGTCCCCACCCGATAGTCAAGACGGGAAATCCGCTAGACAAAGCAACAAGCTTTGGCTGTTGCGCATGACAAATTTGGGCACGGAGTGTAGTCGTCTTTAGCTAGTGCAGCAGCATCACAGATCTCGCATATTACTATGCTGATGCTAGCATGACAAATCTCAAAACACCAGTACATGAGAAACATTGCAATCATGGAGATTTGCATTACAGCTCTGGGATGTCAAGCCATCTAGGGCCTGGGGCAGAGGGGGGGGCAAAGTGTGCTGCAATTCCTTTAGCATTGCAACTCTGGGGTGGGGACGTTTTTACACGGGATAGAAGTGGTCTCTCGAAAACTACAACAACCTCAACGTAGCAGCAGGAAAGAGCAACAAGAAGCCGCTGGATTACAACATTGCGATTCGAGCACACGTATCCGCTTTGTACCATGCTGAACCTCCCAAATTCGGGTCGGTACCAACAAGAGAAGTGTTTAAAGAAAGAATGGTGCAGTTTTTGAAGGCGGTTATCCCCGAGAGGGACCCGGTCGACATTAACGTGGCCAATCAGACTCCGTCCGACTCGAAAAGCTGGAGAAACACGTACACGTACTACGTGGAGTCCTTGTCGAACCTGATCATCATGATCATCAACAACAGGATCAAGATCCTTACCATCATCATCTTTACGCCCATGTAGCAGAGGTATTGTGTCAACTTTATTACGACGATAGATCCGGTAGCGAGTTCATTCACGACTTGAAGACCAACTACGGTGAGGCGAAGGAGGACTTCCGACGCGTGAGACTGGCACTCCGGAAGAGTTTGTCACTCAAGACCGATGTCGTCGACGAACGGACCAAGAAACTTCTGCTCACGTTGATCGACAATCCGTGGCCGTCCCGTGGGGATGACTACGTGGAATTCCGGGAGGAGTTGATGGAAGTTGTACTGCGAGGCAAAAAAAAGAGGAGTAAGAAGGAAAAAGAACAGAACAACAAACAAGAAGAACAGAAGGAGGAAGAAGAGGAGAAGCGGGCAGAAGACGAAATCATAGAGAATGTCAAGGAGATACTACAGAGTCGGAAGACACACAATGAAGATAGTCTGAAGCACGTCACCATCTGGATTGAGGAGAAGCTAAATTTGGCGAAGAGGATTGAGGGGCTTTTTCCCGAAGAGGAAGAGTACGCAGGGCACTTACATACGGAGGGACGAAAAAAGAGTATCCTCTACGCCCAGAAGTACATACACGGGATATTGAAGGAGATACCGCGAGCAGAAGGCGGGACAAAGCCATCAAACAAAGAGGGTTCGTCTGCGCTCGAGCTTACCTTCGACGGTAACACTGCATCCCTTTCATCCCGCGCCCCCCTCCTCCCAAGCGAAGAACAACTAGCTGCGGACCAGGAACATAAAGAAGCTCAAGCAGTAGACGAATTGAAGCTCGCTGGCAGGAAAACAAGTAGTTCCACCTCGGAAACCTCCTCCGAGCAGCGCAAAGGTGGATCACCCGACGAGCAAAGTGTAGCGGTGACCGAGTTTGAGACTCACGGACCAGAAGTCGCCAGCTCAGAACCACAAGTCATCTCTACGACCGGTGATGATCGTGCTGCAGCGGACGAAAGTAGAACCTTGCTAGAAGTAACCACTTCGGCTTCTTCTTCCGCTGTGGCTTCTACCACCAGTCCGGGGGAGGCCGGAGGACAAGGGCAGTACGGCTACGGTTTAGAAGAATCCTCTGGAAACCACGGGATGAACAAGGGAAACTCCAGTTCGGAAAGAAGCAGGTCCACCCGCCCCGGGAGCACAAAGTACAGGGAAGAAACTTTCAACGTGCACACTTTCAATCCAGCCGACATGCAGGACTTGGCGCGGTTCGTGCAGAAGCATCCATGGGCGTTACACTTTGGCATTTTCGCCGCAGCGCCAGTACTGTATCGTAAAGAAAAATTTCCCCCCCTCCCCATATCGAAAAGGAAGCCACAGAGAATTTGCAATGCTGATTTGTGGCCACAAATCGTATCTGTCTTGCAAGGAGGCAATTGCACAGCCTGCGCCGCATTGAGCAGGCGGTTTGTGATGCTGTTGGGTCTGCAGTGTGGACCTTTGTAATGCTCGGCGCCTATGTGGTCAAGACCCTCGCTTCCCAGGGTTGGCATATGCCTGCAGTTCTCTACTGCAAGACAAATCTGATTTGTGTACGCATATCCAGCACCACGAGTGTCCTTTTCGATATGGGGAGGGCGGGGGATTTTTTCTTTTGATATCTTGGTGTTCGTCTTCTTTTGCTGGTACCATGGAATCTTTCGCTATGCAGTGCAAGTATCAGTATGTCTGGTTTTGGAAAGATGCGAACTTGTGATGCGCATTTCACATCACACAAAAATCTGTCATGCATGTAAACCAAAAGGTGCATATTTCGCGCCACCGAAAAAAGGGCTTTGTCATGCGGGTTACGCATTAGGAGACCTTCTCAAAACCTGTAATGCTAGGGCGTGCATGGTAGACCTTCTTGGTCATGCCAAAGCTGCATCACAAACCTCTGCATTCTTCCAGACCCAGCCATATGTGCATTTGATATTCGCCGGATCTTCGCGATCTGCTTTCGGTACTACAAAGGTGATGGCGGTGGAAACAGAAACTATATCCTGAGTAAAAACGTCCCCACACCAGAGTCAAGATACGGAATCTGCTAGGCAAATTAGTCAGCTTTGTTTGTTTCATTCGCATGGCAAGTCTGTCCTCGTCGTGTAATCCTGTCGAGGTAGTTTAGAAGCATCACAGAATTAGCATATCAGGCTGATTTTAGCATCACAAATTCCAAATAAACACGACTAGAAAATGCTTCTTATGGGGCTCCGCACGAGAAACTTTCTTGGCATGCAGACTTGCATGACAGCTCTGGGGTGGGGGCGTTTTTACACAGAATAAACTACGGATCGCCGAGGCGGGGTATGCATTGCATATGTTTGGGTCTGGAAGAGTACAACTTGTCATGCTAAGTCTGAATCATGCAAAGCCCTGTGTTGCATGATTACAAAGATAGCTGTCCACTTTTGAGCAAGCCAAGAGGCAGTTTCTCATGCGGAAAAGGCATCGCAAAGATCTCACAGAATCTGTGATGCCAGGGCATGCATCACAGACCTCATGCGTCATGCAAAACGTGCATGACAAACGTTGCACTTTTCCAGACCCACACATATTTGCATTTGATACGGGGAAAGGAGCAGCAAAGTGGTTTTGAAGAGGACAAACTGGCGGGGTCTTACGGAACGATGGCGGAATCTGGTTGGGACAAGGAACAGGCGGTAGGAGAAGAGGTAAGAATAGAAAGTAGACACATGTCCAGTGCGTTTTTTTGTGTATACTTGGGTGTTTTGCGTCTACGAGTGTGATTGTTCGCAGACCAGACATTACGAACAATTCCTCTTCGTTAATATCAGGCTCCGACGCACTCGCACGACACCCAAGCTGCGCTTGCTTGTTCTGGTTCGCCACCACTCACGGCACTCCATGGCTGCGGCGAAGGGGAGGGAAAGGTATAGCGGAGGTTTGTCATGCGTACTTAATGGCGTGTGACCACTTTGTGGTCCTTGCGAAGGTGAAATGAAGCAAGTTAGTATGCTGACTTTGTCGTGCAGTGTCGCAACATGCTTACTAACATACACAGTACAGAGCTTGTCAAAAATCTTCCAAATAAAGGTCTTGGCTTCGGAGGGGGTTGGTGCTGTGATTTCGGGCGAAAAATGCTTTACGGTCTGGAACGGGGTTGCGGAAAACGTACTTAGGTTTACTTGATCTGAAAGTTTGATGTTGTCATGCACAGTTTCTTTGCATTGTTTTGCATCACAAGATTCTTTTTTTACAGAGTTTTTCAAAAATCTCCAAAAAGGTCTTGCCTTCGGGGGTCAACGCTGCTGTGATGTCGGGAGAAAAATCGTTCACGACCTGGAACGGTGGTCAGGAAGACGTACTTACGTTTACTTGATCTGAAAGTTTCACTTTGTCATGCGCAATTTCTTTGCATTGTGAACACGTCTGTGCCTAGTGTGCGAACTTGTGCTCGTGCTTGAACAAGATCAAGAAGGAAAAAACTTCTTAAGTAAACAACAGGTCGTCAACAACGCGACGGTGGAAAACAAAAGCGCCGCGATGGATTCCGTACTGGGAAAGGGGAATCTCACGCCTGATAACGGCAAATGCGATCTATCGGACGGAAAAAGTCGTCAGTACATGCCTGTGGGTCGTTTTTGTGTCGTTCACATTGTTCTTTCAGAGTTTCAACGCATGAGTTGTATGTTACAAAAGCAGTTGCGTCTCACTCGAGGAACGCCTTCTTCATAAATTTTGACGCCGATTATGATGCGGCACAACTACGTTTTTAGCATGGAAATCGATGCACAAAAGCTATTTCACAGGCCCTTTTTTTCTGGCTGATATCAACACGAGGCGGAGAGCGGGCTCCCGCAAGTCTAGAGGAGCTTTGGGTTTGGAACGGGGATGTTGTGCTTGTTGTGCACCATCTGTGCTAGTAGGGCATCCTCGGTAGTCTAGGTGAAAAGCAAATTTCTACATCTTTGCTGGCGCAATATCAGTATGTAGAAAAAGTGAAGAAAAATTCATGCTTTCGTGGAGCAGTTTGTTTCGAGGAATCCACCGAACTCGCACGCAGGATGGGACGTTGGCCTTCCTGCTGCATGATCTGGCGTTGTTTCCTCCTTCGATTAATAAATTATCAGTGATCTTCTTCACGCGACACTTTATTGGCACTGCTTACAACTTTTGACTATTTTATAATACTTTTAGCAGAAATTTCATCTTTACCCCTCAGCAGAGAGATGTCTTCACACTGTACACAACCATTTTTTTAGTAAAGAGTCTGTCTTGCTTTCAAGAAGAACTTCGCAAACCACTGGTCCTATGTAAAAATGCAACTGAACATATGATAATGTTGAATCACCGTCCCACAGTACTTCTATCCTGTTGCGCAATGAAATTTGTATGTGATGAAGCAAGTCCACAGATGAAACCAATGGAGTTTCTACTTCTACCCATGTACTACGTCGTAATGGACAGACTGCAGCTCAGGTCCGGTTCGGGAAGAAGTATTAGGGAATCAATAAAGTTAGGAAAAGACTTCAGCCTGTCGCAGACAAAACGCGCCAGTTGATTCCACTTCATAGAGAAGAGGACTTCTGTTTGAACTACAAATGGAATGCTGGAATTTTAACCACCCGAGCATGGAAGGAAATGCAACAAAAGGGATAATATTTCCGGAATAAAATACTTCGGGATAAAAGAACCACGTTTCGATTGATAATCTCACTCGCACTAGACGAACCCTGTATCATTTCTACTTGTATCTCAACTTGTATCTGTTTCGCAGCCCCCGGCGGAGGTTCTGCGCTCCCAAAACTGGGTTGGAAGTTTCTGTGGGTACTATGGCGGGCCATTGGTCCAGACGGATGGTGCTGTTTGTTCGCGGAAAAAATAAAGTTCTTTCGTGTTGCACAACGCACTTTTTTTTTATAAGTAGTTCTTCCGATACATCAGATCACGATGAAGAAGTGTCGATCAAAGACGAGCTTTTGCAGTACAACTCACGACTAAATCCACAAGCTCGAGCAATCATCAGCTGGTAAAACCAAAGGGAACAAGATGGAAATAACTCGATACTGCCACGACTTCTCCCTGTTGTGATCAATAAAACCCCGACTCTTTCTACTTGTGCTGACCCGTAGATGCGAGTAAATCCTTCAGTGCAGCAAATCGAAGATCCTTTTGCTGCAGTTAGTCCTCCTTCACAGTTCATTTTTGAATGTTTGGTTTATTTATTTCGACGCAGAGCTCCAGAAAGATGATCAGATCCCGTTCAGCACCAGAGCCGAGCTTGGAATCAAAAACTTCTCGTCTTGGTTCTTCTAAAATTTTTGTAAAATAAAGATGCAATAGCTTATTTTTGCTCAAAAAGTTCATCCGGTGTGGTCCTTTTTACAATCACCGCGGTTCCTACTTTTGAAGAAATTAAACGCTCACCTAGAGCAGGGCCGCCTTTAATATTCTGTAGGCAGGCACGCTGCTAGGTCGTCGGCGCTCCATTTGGGATAGTTCTTCTAGTTCCAATAAATTTTGTGGTTTTAATATTTCCACGCAGCTTATTCGTACAAATTTGTTCTGTTCCTTATTTCCAGCGACACACATCAGAGGAGAAATGGAAATAGAAATGGACTCATATTTTCTCTTTCTACCTAGCCAGTAAAGAAGTTGTAGTCCACGGATAATGAATTACTAGCGGCATAGCATTCATCCCTGATAGAGAACTTCTACTTCGAGTTTCATTCATTTCTGGTAGCGCGCAAAACATGATGCACCGCTCGTGAAGATGAATGGGTTGCGATTTCATGTTCCCGCGACAGTATCCGTATTAATTCTAAAAAAAGCCTAATGCCACACGCATAGGAAAACAACCAATAATTTCCCGAGCATCTTTTGCCCCCCGAGCTGCTCCGAAGTAAGTTTCTCCTCCGCAACGACAAGTGGTGCAACAACGAACACCAACCATGGCGCCTCCCCCGCAGTCGGTTTTTGGTACGCTGCCGAACGGCGGCGCCAGCGGTTCCTCCCAACCGTCGAAGCCGCTGAAGAGAATGCAAACGACTTTGGAATATCAATTGCAAATATGTCTGGGTCTGGAAGGATGAAAGTGTGTCATGCTTGTCTGGCATGACTCGAGAATCTGCGTTGCATAGGCAGGAAATGGCCCTCTTACCTGTCATGCAAAAACGCAGTCTGCCATGCGGAAAACGTAAGACATGGCAGCCGAAAAATTTGTCATGTGCAGCTGCGTATTGCAGTGCGTCTATGATTCACTTTAAGCATTACAAGTTTCCGGACCCAGACATATTTGCATTTCATATGGAAGCGCTCTACGAACGGAACCAGCGCAATTCAAACGCTTCCTCCGGCCAGCAGTTTCTGTTCACGTTATGAACTGCAAATATGTCTGGGTCTGGAAGATTGCAACTTGTGATGCGGACTCCGGATTCTAAAAAAATCTGTATTGCATGACCGGCAAGAGGAGCCCAGTTTGTGCCACGCGGGGAAGGCATTTGTCACGCGGGATAGGCATCGATCAGTAAGGCCTTTAAGAATATGTGATGCTAGATCATGCATTACAGACATTCTGAGTCATGCAAAAGATGCATGACAAACCTGGTAACCTTCCCGACCCAGACGTTTTTGCATTTGATACACGTCCTCCGTCCACAAGTCCTCCTCTTCCAGGGGGAGGAACCCAGCTTCGCGGCAGCAGGGGAATAACACGTCCGTCCAGAGCAGCAACCCGAGCTGTTCTTTATCCCAACTTATCAAATGTAAAAATGTCTGGGTCTGGAAGGTTGGAACTTGTGATGCTGTCTTTGGAAGGTAAAAAAAAATCTGTATTGCATGACCAGCGAGAGGAGTCTAGTTTGTGCTACGCGGGGAGGGCATTTGTCATACGGAGTAGGCATCAGGAAGCCCACTAAAAATCTGTGATGCTAGGTCGTGCATTACAGACATCCTGGGCCATGCAAAATATGCATCACAAATCCGGCAACATTCCAGACACAGACATTTTTGCATTTCATACAACTGTTTCAGGACGGGCACGAGCGGCTGCGAAACCGCAACTACTTGGCAAACGATCTGTATGGAAGCGTCAGGACTGAAATCGTCAAAGTTGAAATAGTTTGTAATGCATAAAATGCAACCCACAAAATGCCTCTCTTGCAGAGTAGGCAAGGGAGGCAGTAAGCCTGTCGAGGGGTTGTAGACATAGAGCTGCTAAAGTAGCACGACAAAAGGCGTCTTCCTTACCGGAGCAGCATTACAAACTGGATTCCGGCGCTACCCAAATTTGTCATGCGCATCTTGGAAACTGGGTTACAACGGGCATCCTTTCTATGCATGACAAAGCATTTCAACTTTGTCGATTTCGATCCTGACAGCTCCATAGCCTGCACGTGCAGAATGTGATCGCGGAAGGGCTGGCGAAGTTTTCCCAAGATGTCCTTATGGATTGCAAAAGTGTCTGGGTCTGGAAGTTTGTCATGCACATTTTGCATCACCGGCGAGGTCTGTGATGCATGCGCGAGCATCACAGCTATTGTGACGGCTTTCTGATGCCGATACTGCATGAGAAATGCCCCCTCCGAGTAGCAAAAAACGCATATCTTTTGCTTCTCCTGCAATACAGATTTTTTCAGGATCCAAATGCAGCATTACAAGTAATACATCCTTCCAGACCCAGACATATTTGCTTTTGATAGTCCGCGACAGCACGCGACTGGGCGGTGGCGCCGGGAGCGGCGCTGGTTCGGTGCCGCTCGGGGTGGGCGCGGGAAGTGGCTTGGCCTCGAACAAGTCGAAGGTAGATTTTTGTACTGATTTCATGTTTGAAGTTGTACTCACGTAATATTATGCTTCTCCGTCGCATCGTTTGATTTTTCAAGTCGAGGCTCTTGTACTTGTAGGTAGCGATGTTGGAAAATTGGGTCGTTTCTCATCCACTTTTCAACCTGCACTGTCCTGCTGCATATGGGGCGTTTTTGACGTGGGGTAGTTCTCCTCATGAGAAAAAAAAATGATACAGTTGTGATTCGTGCACTTTTTTCAACAACCAGAATGCAAAAGGAAAAGCCTTCCTTTTCCTACTACTAAACAGCTGCACCGACTTCTGCAAGACTCCCGGACGGACTACCAGGACCGCGAGCTTTCGGGCCTGCAGCTGCTGCAGCAAATCGACTTCGATGCGCCTCACCAGTTGGAGCAAGACGGAACCTACCCGGGACAGGAACATGACGAGCTGCAGTTTCAAACCAAAGGGTCCGCTCGGGGTGGAACAGCTTCTTCCCGGTTTGACTTACTACACGACGACGTTTTAGAGGACGAAGCGACGGAGGGAACTGGGCGGGGGCCCGTGGTGGCGCAGTCTTTTTTGAACGAATTGCACAACACGCTGACTAGCAGCATCGAAGAATCGATGAAGGACAGCTTCTACAAGGCCAACGCAAAATCCTCCGCGAAGTTGAATTACCAGTGGAACACGATGAAAAAAAAGATCATCGAGCAGATCCGGGCCGGGAACGACCTGGGCACGGATTTTTTGCTGAACCTCTCCGGGGGAGCCCCCGCGGTGGGGAATCAGGCCAGCCGGCAGAAGGGCGTGGTCCTGTCGGGCGGGGGAACTAGTGCAAACGGCGGCGCAGGTAGGTCTTCGGCGTTACTGGTGCAGCCGAACACGACGGGGAATTTGCACCAGAACTTGCAGATCGAGCGCGATATCGCGGAACTGTTCAATCGGAGTTCCTTTATGACCATCGACCGCCTGGCCTTCGAGGTGTACTCGCTGTCGCTGCAAAGTTACAGCGGGAGCGAGTACTGCAGCGACCTGAAGTTTTTGTGGGAACTGGTGCTGGCATTGGTGGGACAAGATCCGATGACGATAAGTACTTTTTATCAGTGTCCTCTAGATAAAGATTTTTTAAATTCATGGTTTTATAATTGTGTTGCGATTGTTGTAAACAAGGTAAAAATCGTGGTAGTTGCAGGTGTCTTGTGGCAGGTCCTCACCTTGTATGTGTCGAGAGACCACGACTGCTAGTGTACTTTTGCTAGTATGATAGAAAAATTAGTTTTTCGCTCTACGCTCGTATACTTCTGAATTCCATTATGCACAATATTAAAAAACAGCCGCTCCCTTGTTAGTCGACCGGGGGATCGTATCCAAGAAAAAAACTGTGTTAGTGTAACTTTCTTTGGCTGACAGCATCACAAGTTTGCTCTACATGACAGAGAATGTCTGTCATGCAGGGTTTGTAAGGGAAAACACACATGAAATGAGGACTGCATGGCTGTCTGGCATGACAGATGTAACTCTGTTACATTTTCTGCATTACAGAGTTACACTTACACAGCTTTTTTCTTGCATAAGTCGAGTTTCTGCGGATGTGGAAAATCAGCGAGATTCGGGATTCCTGCAAACAGATGCCACGTATGAACTGCAAAAGTATCGTGCCCGTAGTAGTTGCGGCCATGCATCGCAAATTTTTTTCTTAAGGTAAGTCCGCATTACAAAATTTATTTCTCATGCTGAGGAAATTTGTAATGCATTTACATGAGTACGATTACGATACTTTTGCAATTCATACCACGAACGGCGGAGCAAGACATATGCAGTCTGCTGATCAATTACGGCATGATCATATGGGACGACGCCCACTTCCCCTCCACCGCTGGACACGCATGGTATAGCACTTGTTCTCTGTACTAGACTATGTTGAATGTGTAATTGCAGGAGGAGAGTACAACTAGCATCTGTCATGCACAAATACCGTAAACATTAACATCACAACAACATCAGGTTCCTCGTTTTCCACGCGCTGCGCGTAGATAGTCCGGAGATGCTGCGGTACCTGCAATCCGAAGCGAGGCTGCGGCAGTATCGACTGGGTAAAAACGAGTTCCCACAGGTGGAGAACGAGGACAACATCCGTAGTGTCATGCGACGAGTCATCTGCATAGAGCAGTTGAACAAGGCCCGCGCAGGAGCATTCTTGAGTGTGGTCCTTTCCACTTGATCGGATTTCTGGCACTGGCCAAGAACACCACCGCACAGTAGCTTTTTGCTCTGCGGATTCAACATGAGATTTGGCATTTCGAGTAGCAACAACCAAAGATACATCTCATCTGTAGTACTAGAGTTCTCAACACCTCCTCCTTGTTGATACCACGTTCTTCGTGGGTCCTGTTTTTACGCAGGATAGGCAGTGCTTTGCGAACGCAGCGGAATTCGATTTGTGTGTGCAAACCTGCATTCCGGTGCTGATCTCGCTGCTCCAGGGCACCTCGGTTTCATTGGAGCACTCCTATCAAATGCAAAAATGTTTGGGTCTGGAAGATTCTGACACTTGTCACGCACGGTTTGCATGAGCCATGATGTCTGTGATGCGTGCCCTAGCGTCACAGGTTTTTTGAGGGATTCGTGATGCCTCTTCCGCATGACAAATGCCCTCTCCGCGTAGCAAGATTGAGAATCCTTTTGCTGCTCATGCAACACAAATTTTTTAGACATCCAAATGCAGCATCACAAGTTGCATTCTTCCAGACCCAGACATTTTTGCATTTGATAACTCCGTCGTAGCTACCATCGAGTCCGCACTGGGATCTGGAATCCACATATCCAAGAAAAAAACGTTGTTACTGTAAATTTGTGATGCGCAAGATGCAAAGTGATTGCGTCTGTCATGCTTGGCAAGCGTCGTAGGGTCCATTAAAGGGCGTTTTCACGTACTATCTGCGCATGACAGGTTTTTGCCGTCATGCCAGACAAATTTGTAATGCTGTTCCTCCAAAAAAGTTACACCTGCAATGTTTTTTTCTTGGATATCACAGGATGTGGGGGAATGAGGCCGGGTATCATATACTTACAACTTGATGATAATGATGCTCACTTGATGAGGTGGGTGTTAGCATTCGGTTCTTTCACGTCGACAGTACCATACTGAGTTTGTTCTCTACTCGAGAGGCTCAAGAAGTTATTCTGCAAAGATTGGCATGCTTTACAAGGTAGGTCATCAAGGCGCGTGGTTCATTTCGAAAGCAAACCGCCTAGGAATTTGTATAATGAAGAAACTACAAAGCGCACAACCAGACTGACTTATTCTCGAAATATAAAAAACACAGCAACGCCACTTCCGGGCACCATCAGCAGCACTACGGTGCGGGTTACAACCCGGGTGGCCAGCCGCAGATGTCCACCACCAACCGGAGCCAGCAGAGCCAGAACGGGGCGGTGTTCCGGGAGTTGTATCCTGTGTAAAAACGTCCCCACACCATAGTTGTCATGCAGATTTGCCATGACAGGAACATTTGTGATGCGCAGCCCGATGACAGGCATTTCCAATCGTGTTTGGGAACTTGTAATGCTGTAAACAGGATCAGCAGATCGATTTGTGATGCGGCTTTCCTTGCTAACTGGCACTACCTTACGGACTGAAACTTGTCATGCGTGACCATCAAAACTTCTAGGTTTGTGTTGCAAAGTCCCCATCTTGACTCTGTGGTGGGGACGTTTTTACTCAGGATAAGTTGTGTCTGAAACTTATCCTGGGCGAGGATTTCCCTTTTGAAGACACTTCGCTCACTATGCAAGAAAAAAACTGTGTAAGTGTAAATCTGTGATGCAGAAAGTGCAAAACTGTTACACTTGTCATGCTGGATCTGCGTCATACGCTACTCTCATACGTGTTTCCACGTACTAGCTGCGCATGACAGATTTTCCCTGTAATGCAAAGCTAATTTGTGATGCTGCTCTTCCTACACAGTTACACTTACACAGTTTTTTTCCTGGATACTCACGCTCCAGGAGGAACAGTACCACATCCCGAATTTCTCGAATCACCCACGCGACATGTTCTCGGAGCGCATGCGGACCTCAGAGAACCTGGTGTGGCATAACCTGCTGTTGGTCAAGAACAAAAGGTGCTCGCTGGAAGAGTACCAAGAGAAAATCATGTATGGGAGTGTCAGGATTGAAATCGACAAAGTTGAAATGATTTGCTATGCATAAAAGCGATACCACTTGGAAGCCCAATTTGCAAGCGGTTGCGTGACAAGTTTTCGGAGCACCGGAATCCAATTTGTCATGCTGTTTGGGCACAGAAGACTGCTTTGGTCGTGCTCCTTTAGCAAGTCTATCCCAAACCCTAAAGAGGCTCACAATCTGCCTCGCTTGCCATCCCGGCAAGACAGGCACTTCATGCCTTGCATTTTATGCATGACAAATCATTTTAAGTTTGTCGATTTCAAACCTGACGCTTCCATATCATGTCCATCATTGAGTGGACGGACGCGCGCAAGTCCGGCGGCAGCATCCTGGGCGGTTTCGGCAGCAGCAACCTGAACATGATGTCCTTTTTCCAGCAGGGCAGCCGGTTCGGGGGGGCAAATATGGGTCTGCTGAGCGGGGGAACTTCGGGCGCGGACGTGGCAAACTTTTTGAATATCAAATGCAAAAATGTCCGGGTCTGGAAGATTGCCAGGTTTGTCATGCAGGTTTTCTATGGTTCATAGGGTTTAGAATGCAGCACCTGGCATGACAAATTCTGTGAGATCTCTATCATGCCTCTCCTGCATGAGAAGTTCCCTCTCAACTTGGTAAAAAAGGACGGCTGTTGGTAATCACGCAACACAGGTTCGTTGCATGATTCAGATTTAGCATGACAAGTTGCAACCTTCCAGACCCAGACATGTTTGCACCCGATATTGAACACGACGAAACAATCCCAGTTCCAGCTGGATGACATCAAATTACTGTTTCTTTCTATCGCAAGAAAAAACTGTTTCACTGTGAACTTGTGATGCAGAAAATGGAACACAAAACTCTTTGTCTTGCTACACCTGCAAGACATTGGATTTTGAAGCGTGTTTTCCCTTGGGAAGCGCGCATGGCAAGTTTTCCGCGTCATATGTAACAAACTTGTGATGCAGATATTGCAAAATCATCACAGTGAAACAGTTTTTTCGTGGGATACTCTCCTTACAGTACGCGAAGGGGCTCCGAGCGCTGAAAAACCGAAACCCGGCCTTGCTGTATTGTTTCTTTTTGTGTTATGATATAAATGATTTGCATTTTCTTTCGATGCCCTAGTCTAGTTGCCTTGACTTCAACAGTTCCACCACGATGGGCATGCAAATCCACGCGCATGATTGTTCTTTTTTGTAAATTGAGACACGACCACGAGGACGACAAAGTTGTATTGGTAATACTCACTTCTACAACCTCAGGTCCTCTATCACGATCCATCTGGCGGTGACACTGGCGAAAGCCCACGTGTTGGATTTTGACAAGGAAAAATACCTATCAAATGCAAATATGTCTGGGTCTGGAAACTTGTAATGCTGAGTGGCTTAGCATGTGGAGGCCACAAATGCTGGCTCCGCATGACAAGTTCCTAGGCTTCTAAGTGTTGCCTATTCTGCATGACAAACTGCGTTTCTCGATCACAGGAAAATAGGGCTTTTCGGTAACGAGCATGACAGACTTAAGAGTCTTGCTATGCTAGCATGACAAACCTTGCACTTTCCCAGACCCAGACATATTTGCATTCGATAAAACCCCTACGTCGACGAGATTGTGAACTACAGCAACCAGCTGTTTTATCCAAGAAAAAAACTGTGTTAGTGTAACTCTGTAATGCAAAACATGCAACAGAGTTACACCTGTCATGCCACACAGCCATGAAGTCCTTTTTTCATGTGTATTTTCCCTTACAAGCCAAGCATGACAGGTTTTCTCTGTCATGTAGAGCAAATTTGTGATGCTGTCAGCCAAAGAAAGTTACACTTACACAGTTTTTCTCTTGCATATGTTTGACGTGAGCGAGCAGTTGAATTACATCCAAATCCTGCAGTATCGCAAGAAAAAACTGTTTCATTGTGAACTTGTGATGCAGAAAATGGATCGCAGAAGTGTGTGTCATGCTACACATGCAAGACAATTGATTTCTAGCTGTTTTTTCCCTTGGGAACCCCGCATGACAGATTTTCAGTGTCATGCGTAACAAACTTGTGATGCAGATTTTGCAAAATCACCACAGTGAGACAGTTTTTTCGTACGATATGCAGCCCTTTGACCGAAAATACGCCTATCTGCGGATTTTAAAGTCCTTCACGCAGTCAAATGCGGAAGTGGTAACAAGTACCGCTCCGGGCTCGGGTGGAGTAGGAGCAGCTTCGACAGGGATTAGTAACATGCTAGTACCCGACCACGACAATAATTTTTCTCCCCTGGAGCTTCTGACCGGAAAAATCTTACTCGACGGCTCCCACACGAAGGGCCTGTTGCAGGAGTCTTTGGAAGCGAAAGTCGACCATTTGAACCGGAAAAGAGAGATGAAAATGAAGGGCAACAACTCGAGTGGTTCTTCCAGTAACGGCGCAGGAGAGCTGTTGATGAACAACAAGATTTCCTCCTCCAATGACACTACCAGCGAATTTCGGAGCATCATGGAGTCGCTGGGGCTCGACGCCCTTCGTCGCGGGAAGTACATCCTGGCGTTGCGGTTTCTCCACCTGTCCACCAACTACCGGAAAGTGTTGGAAACCATGCAGCGGATTCTGCGGCTCCCCGCTTTCACGGAGGTGGCCAGCTGCGGCAGCCGCAACTTGTCTTCCGGTGCCACCTTCACCCCCGGTCAGGAGCCGATTGGCGGGGGCGGGGCTGGTGGTGGAGCCACTAGTACTTCCATGTCGGGAGGTGCGGCTAGTACTACCGCGTGGACAAATAGTTTTAAACTGCGGCAATTAGAACAGGAGTGCCGCAAGTTCTTGAGCATGTACGCCGATTACGGGGCGTCGTTCGGAATCGATGTGAATTCCTCTAACAACTCCGGTATGGTTGTGACAAACGCGGCGGATCATGGCACCCGTGCGGCGCAACAGACCACGCGGAGTTCGGACGAAATCACGAGGGTGTGGAGGTTCGTCTGCAAGCTGTGGCGGTTGAAACACTTCCACGACTGCGTCCGGGACCAGGGAAGGTATAGAATTAGAAGTTTGTTCTATGATCATGTACTTAGTACGAACGGCTTTTGAAGAAGATGCTGCGAAGAGGTGTTGTCATGCAAAACTCACAACATCGCAATCGCAATGCATGCTTGGTCGTGCAGAACATTTCGACATAATGCAAATAATTATCAAAAAAGAACGACCTCTACAACGTGAACTCAGGTACGAAGAGGCTTTAGAGCTTTTCGATCGGGAGGAATTTCTTTCCAACCCGGATGAGCAAATGCTCCCCGGCTTTTTTTCCGTCGACTACACCAAAATCCTGGAGACGTACATCAGCCTACTGACGCGGTACTACGCGGCGGACCATTTCGGGAATACCGCGGGGGGCGGCATGCTGCAGGACCAGCTGCTGCCCGGGAGTTCGGGATCCCAAATCTTGCGGCAGAGGCTGCTGCAGGTTCAGAACTTTCTGTCGAAAAACGGACACATCTCTGTGTCACCGAACGCGCGGTACTTTATGCAGCAACTATCGCTGAAGTGAGGCGGGAGGTTTTTGATGTTGTTCTGAGCCAGCATGTAGTTGCGGCGAAGTCAAGGACAACGAGCAGTACGAATTTTCCAGAAGAAAAAAATGGAGAAGATTTATCACGCGCATTTAGTATTTTTCCATTGTTTATTTCCAAGAAATAATGATCTTCTTGTTCTGGAGCCGCTGCATCGAGGTTCAGTTCACCACGAGAAGAACACCAGATGATTTTTTTCGGTGGTCAGAAGTGGAGGAAAGTAACACGATGAAAATAAATACATGGTCAGCTACTTCAGAAGTTGTACGCGGCTTGTTTTAACAAGTAGAAAAGGCGACGCTGAAGGGTCGTGTCCGCATCTAGTCGACATCTTTGAATTTATACAATGAATCTTTCTTGCGACAAAATAAATACCTTGCGCTTGCCCACAGAAATATTGAAGAAGACGGGTGCAGCAGCTGCAGGGAAACATGTTTTCCAATTTGCTGGGTGAAGAAAGCTCCGACTCGTCTCTTCGGGCCCGGCTTGTTCTTTTTCTCGTTTACCGATTTCAGTAGCTAGTTCTTGTGTCTGGTTTGCCAGGTTCTTTCTTTCCAACACCAACACCAACTTCTGTACTATCCGGTCGTGGGGAACCTACTGTAAGTAAGTGATTGCAATTTTCGGTATTGATATGAATCGAATACACCGAGCAGCAATGTATTGAAGTCACTACGTAGTTTAAGTTTTCATTTTTCTTCGCCTCGGAAGAATCGGTGACCACTCGTAGTAGATTTTTCGGTACAATTTGTTTCTGGAGTTGTGCAGCTATCATGCGAAAAATAAAAATACGGCGTCACTCTTCGTTTTTGCAATCCGAAATAAAAAAATCGGCCTTTTGTTCCGCAGCAGCAGCGGCACGTCGTGTGATACTATCGGGACCAGAAGCTCCTGTTGCGGAAGTACCAGACGTGTCCGTGCTGTGTTCCCCAACCTTCTCTGCAGGAACTGACTCTGACACCGCGAGGAGGACATCTTTTCCGCCCAGTATTGCGAACGAGGTTTATGTTGACAACAATGGAGGTTCAGGTGGTTTCGGCACCACTGCTGCTGCGACATCATCATCCGGAGGACATGGTAGTTCATCATCTGCGTTGCTACAATCACAGGAAAGCACTCGGCGACCCCGCCTGCGGCGAAGATGGTGTTGGGTAGAGGAATCGCAGCCTGGACCGGCACTTCCCGAGGAAGGTGGTGTCCACCGCGACAGCGACTTCGTGAAGAAGAAAGAGCTCGCAACGACGACGAGGAGGACTTCCCAGGAACAAATTGTGTCACCAGGAGGTGGCTCTTCTACTGCGTCCCGGCAAGTAGAACATCAAGCCTCCTCTATCCTGAGTAAAAACGTCTCCACCCCATAGTCAAGATGAGAAATCTGCTACACAAATCAGCCAGCTTTGGGTGATGCGCATGACAAAATTGGTCTCGTAGTGTAATCCCGTTTAGCTCGTTCAGAAGCATTACAGATCCGGCCTATTGCTCTGGTTTGAGCATTACAAATTCCAAAACGCAACTAGAAAATGCTTCTCATGGGGCTCCGCATGACAAACATTTTGAGCATGCAGATCTGCATGACAACTATGGGGTGGCGACATTTTTGCATAGGATATCCTCCTCGAGCGACAAGTGGAGGCGATTGGACGAAGAATTTTTGACCGGGATGAATTTTCAACATCCTGGGAAGATCTTTGCCGGTCGGGTCGGAGCAGGGGGTAATGCTGCTGCTGGTTCGGGAGCAGGACTAAATTCTGCAGCAGCAGCGTCGTCTTTTTCTAGCCATGGCGGCGGCTCTACGCAGGGCGTCAGAAGGATTATTTCGGGGGAAGTAGAAGATCATCTTAAACTTAATCAGAAGGAGCTGCATGGAAGCAAAAGTTGTACTATACTACCTGCTTCCACCGTCGCGGCGCAGCAGCACGACCATGGCCACACGGAGCTGGGGACAAGAAATTTATTCGACGTGGTGTCCTCCGCGCCGCGTACTTCTTGCCCGCTCCGGCTGCTGCACTGGAATGTCTTGGCGGATTGCCTCGCGACCAAGGAAAGGTTTCCGAAGACCGTCATCGATCCGCAATTTCTTCGGAAAGAACACCGCGCAAAACTGATCGCGGAGGAGATTTTTCGCTTATCCTGTGTACTTAAAAGGGCCCCCACCCCATAGTCAAGTTGGGACTTTGGCAAGACAAATCGAGCATCTTTGGGACTCGCGCATGACAAGGTCATGGCTGAGCAGTGTAGTCGTGCCTAGCTGGTTCAAACGCATCACAGTTCCAGTCTGTCATCCTGATTAGCGCATGACAGATTTTTGCAAACTCCACTTCTAGGTAACGCCTCTTGACATGGAGAGCCACATGACACACATTCTGAGTATGCAGATCCGCATGAAAACTAGAGGGTAGGGACGTTTTTACTCAGGATACCGGTTCCCATCACATCACCTCCCAAAGGACGTCGCGTGTAGCACTGACAGACCGGGGGAACTACAACGTGGTCGTCGACCAAGAACTTCTCCGGGCGCTCGTCGCAGCCAGCGAGAAGATGATACGGCCAGGACTTCTACGCCTATAATTTCTGACCCTGGGTCAACATCATTCGACCTGATCTCCTTGGTGGAGATTGACCAGGCACTGCTCCGCGAAGTTCTCAACCAAATGCACAGGAGATCGAACAACCGCAAATACGACTACATCCTATCCAGTACAAAGGTAATGTACTCGTATAAATGCATTACAAATTTCCTCAGCATGAGAAAGACAATTTGCAATGCTGATTTACCTTAAGAAAAAGATTTGTAATGCATAATCGCAAGACGAGTGCGATGCTTTTGCAGTGCATACATCTACGCGAAAAAGAAGTCTCCGGCCAAGGACGGTGTGGCGATTTTCTACGACAAAACGAGGTTTCTCCTATAACAGTGCACAACTCCCCCTCGTTCTCATTTCTCATGCAAAATCCCAAATCCAGTCGCTACCTTGTATCACTATTATGCATAACAAATTCCGCAAGCCCAAACAGTACTGCATGGGGCACAGAAAGTTGTAATGCATAGGCTCTACGTGTGCTAGTGTTTGTATTGCTGTTCATGCTAGACTACTGAGGGGGAGGGGGAGTTGTGTACTCGCATATCTCCCCGCGGGCGCGGAGAAGGTCGTGCAGGTGGGCTCCCAGGTCGCGTTGGTGCAGGATTTCGTGGTCCGCATGGCAGACGAGAAGGTGTCGTTCAGGGCGGAGCACACTGCAAAAACTACAACCAGTGTAGTTGTACCAACGTCGTGCGAAAGTTTAAGTTGCAGTGACAGTGCAACAACTGCAAGCAGCACCAGCAATCAGAAAGTGGACCTGGAACAAGTTGTAGACACTGGTTTGTCTGCGGAAACAAGCCCCAGCGCAGTGAAGAAGATCCGGGTTTGCGCCACGCATTTGAAGGCAGACAGTATCTATTCCTCCGCAACCGGTAGTTGCGCAGCATCACAAATAAGCACTTACGAGGAGCAAACGCGGGTGGCGCAATTGTCCAGATTAGTGGAAGCGCTGTGGCCGGAAAAATTCAGGAAAACTTCAAGTACTTCACATGGTGCAGGAGGTTCTTCTTACCCGAGTGAAGATTCTTCGGAGCTGCTACCTGCTGGTAGTGCTATCCTGTGCAAAAGTATCGTACACGTACTAATTGCAATGCGGCATGACAAACTTACCTTTTTACCTGAATTAGCATTACAAATTCCATTTTTCTTTCTGATAAAATTTGTAATGCAATTTATACTAGTACGATACTTTTGCAATGCATAAGTGCACTGCAGGGCCAAATGCCAGTTTTGCTTTTCGGCGATTTGAATGCGACTTGTAAGGAAGATGAACACGACCGGGGCACGACCACAAGGGAACAAGGAACATCAAGTGCAGGAGCATCAAATGGCGCAGCAGCAGCTCCTTCGTTTGCTGCCAAGAACAGCCGTACGCTGGAGTACCTGAAAATTTGCGGACTGCACGGGAGTATCAACTGCAAAAATGTCTGGGTCTGGAAGAATGCCAGACGTGTCATGCAGGTTTTCCATGACCCATGAGGTCTGGTATGTAGGACATAGCATGACAGATACTGTGAGAGTGTTATCATGTCTATCCTGCATGAGAAACTGCCTCTCGGTTAGATCAAAACTGGATGGCTTTTGGTAAACATGCAACACAGATTTTTACATGATTCAGATTTAGCATGACAAGTTGCTTTGTTCCAGACCCAGACAAACTTGCATTTGATAGGGATTTCCTGTAAATGGACGCACATGTTCAAACCTTTATCAAATGTAAAAATGTCTGGGTCTGGAAAAATGCAAGTCTGTCATGCTTGTCTGGCATGACTCCTAAATCTGTCATGCACATCACCAAAGAGTTCCACTTTTCTGTCATGCAGAAACGTAGTTTGTCATGCAGAATAGGCAACACCTAGAAGCTCAGAAACTTGTCATGCTGAGCCAGCAACTGTGGCCTCCTCATGATATGCCACACAGCATCACAAATTTCCAGACCCAGACATTTTTACATTTGATAACCTTTGCCGATGTACAACTGTTCGGATATCAAAAGGAAAAATCCCCACTTCCCATATGAAAACGAAGACTCTGCTGGATTTGCGTACACAAATCAGATTTGTCTTGCTGGAGGGGATTGCAGGCCTATACTAAGACTGAGTGGAGACGTTTTGGGCTAGGCGCTGGGCATGGCAAACGTCTATTCCGTCGGGCCAACTGCATCACAAACCGCCTGCAGAATGCGGCGGCTGTCTGTGGAGTTGCGGCCTTGCAAGACAGAGACGCTCTGTGGTCACAAATCAGCACTACAAATTTTCTGCGATATACCTTCTCGATATGGGGAGGGGGGATTTTCCCTTACGATATCGGACGCTTCGTCTTCTGCGTTCTTCGCCGGGAATGTGAGAACAACTTCTGCACAATATCCTGAGCAAAAATGTAGTCCCCACCGCAGAGGCAAGATGGGCAATCTGCTAGACAAATCAGCCAGCTTTGGGTGTTGCGCATGACAAGCGTGCTTTCGTAGTGTCATCCTCGACTTCGCTAGTTCAGCAGCATCACAGATTTAGCCTAGTGCGCTTTTTGGAGCATGTTGGCAAATGCCAAAACACGACTAGAAAACGCTTCTCATTGCGCTCCGCATCACAAATGTTTTGAGCATGCGGATTTGCATGACAGCTATTTGGGGTGGTGACCTTTTCCCATAGGATAGAAAAAATTCAAACTTTTTTCAAGGATCTTCCTCCACCTCCGCTGCGACTAGAGTGCCGATCTACGAAAACAGCCCTTCGCAGGTGCATATCCTGAGTAAAAACGTCTCCACACCAGAGTCAAGATGGGAAATCCGCTAGACAAATCCATAAGCTTTGGCTGTTTCGCATGACAAATTTGGACGCGTATTGTAGTGCTGTTTGAGCCAGCTAAGCAGCATTACAGATCTAGTATCTCATGCTGATTGGCGCATTACAGATTTCCAAACCGCATTAGAAAATGCTNCAAATTTGTGATGCTGTCAGCCAAAGAAAGTTACACTTACACAGTTTTTCTCTTGCATATGTTTGACGTGAGCGAGCAGTTGAATTACATCCAAATCCTGCAGTATCGCAAGAAAAAACTGTTTCATTGTGAACTTGTGATGCAGAAAATGGATCGCAGAAGTGTGTGTCATGCTACACATGCAAGACAATTGATTTCTAGCTGTTTTTTCCCTTGGGAACCCCGCATGACAGATTTTCAGTGTCATGCGTAACAAACTTGTGATGCAGATTTTGCAAAATCACCACAGTGAGACAGTTTTTTCGTACGATATGCAGCCCTTTGACCGAAAATACGCCTATCTGCGGATTTTAAAGTCCTTCACGCAGTCAAATGCGGAAGTGGTAACAAGTACCGCTCCGGGCTCGGGTGGAGTAGGAGCAGCTTCGACAGGGATTAGTAACATGCTAGTACCCGACCACGACAATAATTTTTCTCCCCTGGAGCTTCTGACCGGAAAAATCTTACTCGACGGCTCCCACACGAAGGGCCTGTTGCAGGAGTCTTTGGAAGCGAAAGTCGACCATTTGAACCGGAAAAGAGAGATGAAAATGAAGGGCAACAACTCGAGTGGTTCTTCCAGTAACGGCGCAGGAGAGCTGTTGATGAACAACAAGATTTCCTCCTCCAATGACACTACCAGCGAATTTCGGAGCATCATGGAGTCGCTGGGGCTCGACGCCCTTCGTCGCGGGAAGTACATCCTGGCGTTGCGGTTTCTCCACCTGTCCACCAACTACCGGAAAGTGTTGGAAACCATGCAGCGGATTCTGCGGCTCCCCGCTTTCACGGAGGTGGCCAGCTGCGGCAGCCGCAACTTGTCTTCCGGTGCCACCTTCACCCCCGGTCAGGAGCCGATTGGCGGGGGCGGGGCTGGTGGTGGAGCCACTAGTACTTCCATGTCGGGAGGTGCGGCTAGTACTACCGCGTGGACAAATAGTTTTAAACTGCGGCAATTAGAACAGGAGTGCCGCAAGTTCTTGAGCATGTACGCCGATTACGGGGCGTCGTTCGGAATCGATGTGAATTCCTCTAACAACTCCGGTATGGTTGTGACAAACGCGGCGGATCATGGCACCCGTGCGGCGCAACAGACCACGCGGAGTTCGGACGAAATCACGAGGGTGTGGAGGTTCGTCTGCAAGCTGTGGCGGTTGAAACACTTCCACGACTGCGTCCGGGACCAGGGAAGGTATAGAATTAGAAGTTTGTTCTATGATCATGTACTTAGTACGAACGGCTTTTGAAGAAGATGCTGCGAAGAGGTGTTGTCATGCAAAACTCACAACATCGCAATCGCAATGCATGCTTGGTCGTGCAGAACATTTCGACATAATGCAAATAATTATCAAAAAAGAACGACCTCTACAACGTGAACTCAGGTACGAAGAGGCTTTAGAGCTTTTCGATCGGGAGGAATTTCTTTCCAACCCGGATGAGCAAATGCTCCCCGGCTTTTTTTCCGTCGACTACACCAAAATCCTGGAGACGTACATCAGCCTACTGACGCGGTACTACGCGGCGGACCATTTCGGGAATACCGCGGGGGGCGGCATGCTGCAGGACCAGCTGCTGCCCGGGAGTTCGGGATCCCAAATCTTGCGGCAGAGGCTGCTGCAGGTTCAGAACTTTCTGTCGAAAAACGGACACATCTCTGTGTCACCGAACGCGCGGTACTTTATGCAGCAACTATCGCTGAAGTGAGGCGGGAGGTTTTTGATGTTGTTCTGAGCCAGCATGTAGTTGCGGCGAAGTCAAGGACAACGAGCAGTACGAATTTTCCAGAAGAAAAAAATGGAGAAGATTTATCACGCGCATTTAGTATTTTTCCATTGTTTATTTCCAAGAAATAATGATCTTCTTGTTCTGGAGCCGCTGCATCGAGGTTCAGTTCACCACGAGAAGAACACCAGATGATTTTTTTCGGTGGTCAGAAGTGGAGGAAAGTAACACGATGAAAATAAATACATGGTCAGCTACTTCAGAAGTTGTACGCGGCTTGTTTTAACAAGTAGAAAAGGCGACGCTGAAGGGTCGTGTCCGCATCTAGTCGACATCTTTGAATTTATACAATGAATCTTTCTTGCGACAAAATAAATACCTTGCGCTTGCCCACAGAAATATTGAAGAAGACGGGTGCAGCAGCTGCAGGGAAACATGTTTTCCAATTTGCTGGGTGAAGAAAGCTCCGACTCGTCTCTTCGGGCCCGGCTTGTTCTTTTTCTCGTTTACCGATTTCAGTAGCTAGTTCTTGTGTCTGGTTTGCCAGGTTCTTTCTTTCCAACACCAACACCAACTTCTGTACTATCCGGTCGTGGGGAACCTACTGTAAGTAAGTGATTGCAATTTTCGGTATTGATATGAATCGAATACACCGAGCAGCAATGTATTGAAGTCACTACGTAGTTTAAGTTTTCATTTTTCTTCGCCTCGGAAGAATCGGTGACCACTCGTAGTAGATTTTTCGGTACAATTTGTTTCTGGAGTTGTGCAGCTATCATGCGAAAAATAAAAATACGGCGTCACTCTTCGTTTTTGCAATCCGAAATAAAAAAATCGGCCTTTTGTTCCGCAGCAGCAGCGGCACGTCGTGTGATACTATCGGGACCAGAAGCTCCTGTTGCGGAAGTACCAGACGTGTCCGTGCTGTGTTCCCCAACCTTCTCTGCAGGAACTGACTCTGACACCGCGAGGAGGACATCTTTTCCGCCCAGTATTGCGAACGAGGTTTATGTTGACAACAATGGAGGTTCAGGTGGTTTCGGCACCACTGCTGCTGCGACATCATCATCCGGAGGACATGGTAGTTCATCATCTGCGTTGCTACAATCACAGGAAAGCACTCGGCGACCCCGCCTGCGGCGAAGATGGTGTTGGGTAGAGGAATCGCAGCCTGGACCGGCACTTCCCGAGGAAGGTGGTGTCCACCGCGACAGCGACTTCGTGAAGAAGAAAGAGCTCGCAACGACGACGAGGAGGACTTCCCAGGAACAAATTGTGTCACCAGGAGGTGGCTCTTCTACTGCGTCCCGGCAAGTAGAACATCAAGCCTCCTCTATCCTGAGTAAAAACGTCTCCACCCCATAGTCAAGATGAGAAATCTGCTACACAAATCAGCCAGCTTTGGGTGATGCGCATGACAAAATTGGTCTCGTAGTGTAATCCCGTTTAGCTCGTTCAGAAGCATTACAGATCCGGCCTATTGCTCTGGTTTGAGCATTACAAATTCCAAAACGCAACTAGAAAATGCTTCTCATGGGGCTCCGCATGACAAACATTTTGAGCATGCAGATCTGCATGACAACTATGGGGTGGCGACATTTTTGCATAGGATATCCTCCTCGAGCGACAAGTGGAGGCGATTGGACGAAGAATTTTTGACCGGGATGAATTTTCAACATCCTGGGAAGATCTTTGCCGGTCGGGTCGGAGCAGGGGGTAATGCTGCTGCTGGTTCGGGAGCAGGACTAAATTCTGCAGCAGCAGCGTCGTCTTTTTCTAGCCATGGCGGCGGCTCTACGCAGGGCGTCAGAAGGATTATTTCGGGGGAAGTAGAAGATCATCTTAAACTTAATCAGAAGGAGCTGCATGGAAGCAAAAGTTGTACTATACTACCTGCTTCCACCGTCGCGGCGCAGCAGCACGACCATGGCCACACGGAGCTGGGGACAAGAAATTTATTCGACGTGGTGTCCTCCGCGCCGCGTACTTCTTGCCCGCTCCGGCTGCTGCACTGGAATGTCTTGGCGGATTGCCTCGCGACCAAGGAAAGGTTTCCGAAGACCGTCATCGATCCGCAATTTCTTCGGAAAGAACACCGCGCAAAACTGATCGCGGAGGAGATTTTTCGCTTATCCTGTGTACTTAAAAGGGCCCCCACCCCATAGTCAAGTTGGGACTTTGGCAAGACAAATCGAGCATCTTTGGGACTCGCGCATGACAAGGTCATGGCTGAGCAGTGTAGTCGTGCCTAGCTGGTTCAAACGCATCACAGTTCCAGTCTGTCATCCTGATTAGCGCATGACAGATTTTTGCAAACTCCACTTCTAGGTAACGCCTCTTGACATGGAGAGCCACATGACACACATTCTGAGTATGCAGATCCGCATGAAAACTAGAGGGTAGGGACGTTTTTACTCAGGATACCGGTTCCCATCACATCACCTCCCAAAGGACGTCGCGTGTAGCACTGACAGACCGGGGGAACTACAACGTGGTCGTCGACCAAGAACTTCTCCGGGCGCTCGTCGCAGCCAGCGAGAAGATGATACGGCCAGGACTTCTACGCCTATAATTTCTGACCCTGGGTCAACATCATTCGACCTGATCTCCTTGGTGGAGATTGACCAGGCACTGCTCCGCGAAGTTCTCAACCAAATGCACAGGAGATCGAACAACCGCAAATACGACTACATCCTATCCAGTACAAAGGTAATGTACTCGTATAAATGCATTACAAATTTCCTCAGCATGAGAAAGACAATTTGCAATGCTGATTTACCTTAAGAAAAAGATTTGTAATGCATAATCGCAAGACGAGTGCGATGCTTTTGCAGTGCATACATCTACGCGAAAAAGAAGTCTCCGGCCAAGGACGGTGTGGCGATTTTCTACGACAAAACGAGGTTTCTCCTATAACAGTGCACAACTCCCCCTCGTTCTCATTTCTCATGCAAAATCCCAAATCCAGTCGCTACCTTGTATCACTATTATGCATAACAAATTCCGCAAGCCCAAACAGTACTGCATGGGGCACAGAAAGTTGTAATGCATAGGCTCTACGTGTGCTAGTGTTTGTATTGCTGTTCATGCTAGACTACTGAGGGGGAGGGGGAGTTGTGTACTCGCATATCTCCCCGCGGGCGCGGAGAAGGTCGTGCAGGTGGGCTCCCAGGTCGCGTTGGTGCAGGATTTCGTGGTCCGCATGGCAGACGAGAAGGTGTCGTTCAGGGCGGAGCACACTGCAAAAACTACAACCAGTGTAGTTGTACCAACGTCGTGCGAAAGTTTAAGTTGCAGTGACAGTGCAACAACTGCAAGCAGCACCAGCAATCAGAAAGTGGACCTGGAACAAGTTGTAGACACTGGTTTGTCTGCGGAAACAAGCCCCAGCGCAGTGAAGAAGATCCGGGTTTGCGCCACGCATTTGAAGGCAGACAGTATCTATTCCTCCGCAACCGGTAGTTGCGCAGCATCACAAATAAGCACTTACGAGGAGCAAACGCGGGTGGCGCAATTGTCCAGATTAGTGGAAGCGCTGTGGCCGGAAAAATTCAGGAAAACTTCAAGTACTTCACATGGTGCAGGAGGTTCTTCTTACCCGAGTGAAGATTCTTCGGAGCTGCTACCTGCTGGTAGTGCTATCCTGTGCAAAAGTATCGTACACGTACTAATTGCAATGCGGCATGACAAACTTACCTTTTTACCTGAATTAGCATTACAAATTCCATTTTTCTTTCTGATAAAATTTGTAATGCAATTTATACTAGTACGATACTTTTGCAATGCATAAGTGCACTGCAGGGCCAAATGCCAGTTTTGCTTTTCGGCGATTTGAATGCGACTTGTAAGGAAGATGAACACGACCGGGGCACGACCACAAGGGAACAAGGAACATCAAGTGCAGGAGCATCAAATGGCGCAGCAGCAGCTCCTTCGTTTGCTGCCAAGAACAGCCGTACGCTGGAGTACCTGAAAATTTGCGGACTGCACGGGAGTATCAACTGCAAAAATGTCTGGGTCTGGAAGAATGCCAGACGTGTCATGCAGGTTTTCCATGACCCATGAGGTCTGGTATGTAGGACATAGCATGACAGATACTGTGAGAGTGTTATCATGTCTATCCTGCATGAGAAACTGCCTCTCGGTTAGATCAAAACTGGATGGCTTTTGGTAAACATGCAACACAGATTTTTACATGATTCAGATTTAGCATGACAAGTTGCTTTGTTCCAGACCCAGACAAACTTGCATTTGATAGGGATTTCCTGTAAATGGACGCACATGTTCAAACCTTTATCAAATGTAAAAATGTCTGGGTCTGGAAAAATGCAAGTCTGTCATGCTTGTCTGGCATGACTCCTAAATCTGTCATGCACATCACCAAAGAGTTCCACTTTTCTGTCATGCAGAAACGTAGTTTGTCATGCAGAATAGGCAACACCTAGAAGCTCAGAAACTTGTCATGCTGAGCCAGCAACTGTGGCCTCCTCATGATATGCCACACAGCATCACAAATTTCCAGACCCAGACATTTTTACATTTGATAACCTTTGCCGATGTACAACTGTTCGGATATCAAAAGGAAAAATCCCCACTTCCCATATGAAAACGAAGACTCTGCTGGATTTGCGTACACAAATCAGATTTGTCTTGCTGGAGGGGATTGCAGGCCTATACTAAGACTGAGTGGAGACGTTTTGGGCTAGGCGCTGGGCATGGCAAACGTCTATTCCGTCGGGCCAACTGCATCACAAACCGCCTGCAGAATGCGGCGGCTGTCTGTGGAGTTGCGGCCTTGCAAGACAGAGACGCTCTGTGGTCACAAATCAGCACTACAAATTTTCTGCGATATACCTTCTCGATATGGGGAGGGGGGATTTTCCCTTACGATATCGGACGCTTCGTCTTCTGCGTTCTTCGCCGGGAATGTGAGAACAACTTCTGCACAATATCCTGAGCAAAAATGTAGTCCCCACCGCAGAGGCAAGATGGGCAATCTGCTAGACAAATCAGCCAGCTTTGGGTGTTGCGCATGACAAGCGTGCTTTCGTAGTGTCATCCTCGACTTCGCTAGTTCAGCAGCATCACAGATTTAGCCTAGTGCGCTTTTTGGAGCATGTTGGCAAATGCCAAAACACGACTAGAAAACGCTTCTCATTGCGCTCCGCATCACAAATGTTTTGAGCATGCGGATTTGCATGACAGCTATTTGGGGTGGTGACCTTTTCCCATAGGATAGAAAAAATTCAAACTTTTTTCAAGGATCTTCCTCCACCTCCGCTGCGACTAGAGTGCCGATCTACGAAAACAGCCCTTCGCAGGTGCATATCCTGAGTAAAAACGTCTCCACACCAGAGTCAAGATGGGAAATCCGCTAGACAAATCCATAAGCTTTGGCTGTTTCGCATGACAAATTTGGACGCGTATTGTAGTGCTGTTTGAGCTAGCTAAGCAGCATTACAGATCTAGCATTTGATGCTGATTGGCGCATTACAGATTTCCAAACCGCATTAGAAAATGCTTCTCATGGGGCTCCGCATGAGAAACATTTTAAGCATGCAGAGTTGCATGACAACTATGGTGTGGGGACGTTTTTACACAGGATAGTGCATCTGGGTTCTTCAGGAGCAGCAGGCGGCAGTTCTTCCACAGCAATGTTGACCCCATTAACGTCCCACCGCTCGCTTTTGGGTAACAAGCGGCACCGGAAGAGGCCGCTGGACGGAAAGCGGGTGCGGCTAAATCCGGGCAACGCGGTGGTAGCGGAGGGGGGAGGTATAGGAAAGTCGAGGAGGAACATTTCGGAAAAGTTTTTGGAAAAAGCTTACCGGCGAACGGTGTCGGGGGAGCTGCTGCAAACTAGGATGGAAAAATATGCGCGGGAATTCAGGAGACAAGAACAGCAACAAGGGGTGAACTATTCATCGCCAGAACCTGTGAACAAGGGCGAGGAGGAGGAAAGTCGACGAGGGTTTGACAATCGACGTCAGCATGTTCACCCAATCGACGTCGCAACAGATGTATAAATTGCAAAAGTTTGTCGTACCAAAACTAATAGCAACAATTGCAATACAAATTGGCTCAGCACGAGACAGAGATTTTGTCATGCTGATTCTGCTTGGCAAGAAAGATTTGTCACGCATGACTGGCATAATTTCTACGACTGCGATGCTTTTGCAATCCAATGCATAAGAGGTCGTGAAGCAGGCGGTGGATTGGGTCTTCTACTCGCCGAAGGATTTTGCAGTCCGGAAAATTTTGCTGAGTCCGGAGGAACATGAAATTTGTCATGCGTTTTCTGACGATAAAATAAATGCGTCGCCAAAAATTATGTCCACAAAAATGATCCCGAATGAACACTTTCCGTCAGACCACATCCCTCTCGTGTTGGAACTTGATCTCATTTTGAGGAATGCAACGCAAGACAAATTCAGTTTCCACGGCGAAATAAATCACAGACCGCTTCCAGTTTTCGTTTTCTGTCCTCGGGGCCGGCGTGCGATGAGTAGAATTTCACCGACTTTAGTGTAGTGGGTTTAAGTTTCTGTGGCTGGAAGCTGAAATAAACAGGTCGGTGAGTAAACGCTTGCCATCCGGCTTTGATTTTCTTCGTATTAAGAAAGTCTACCACACGTTGTACCGCTGGTAAAGAGACATCACAATGTCGGTTATTATCTAGAACGGGCGGTCGCTCCGCGCCCGCCGGCCCGGCGACGAGGGGGCGCAAGGGGGGCGAGGGGAAAAGAGCGTGGCCGCGGCCAGTGACCATCCCTAGATGCTGAAACTTTGTTGGCGCGAGAAGCGAAAAAGAGAAACGGCAGCTCTCCCGCCCCTCCTCCCTTGGTGGGAGCGAAAGAAGCGTAGGTAGAGTCAAGGCCGCTAGGCGCGAGGGGCAGTAGGGGGCACAGAGCGCAGCCGCTGTCCAAGCCTCCAGAAACACGTCCGGCGAAGAGCGAGCGCAGACCCTTTGCGAAGGCTCGGGGGGCTAGCCACACGAAGCAGAACGAAAAGAGCGCGCCGACGGCCGAAAGACAAGAAACCCGGCGAGCACCAAGCAAAAATAAAGCACAACAGGCAAGGAGGGCTGCGATGGAAAGGCAGGGGGGGCGCTGGATTTGGCTCTTGCTAGAAGCCAGACAGATCAAAAAAAAAGAGCAAGCAGGCCAAAGCGAAGGCCCACCTATTGCCGAGGACGAGGCAACGCGGAAGCGTTGGAAGCGAAAGGAGAAGGAGGCGGGCCGCAAAGAAACCGAAAACACGCTCGGAAACCCAAAGCAAGGAAACAAAGCAAAATCAGGCTCCCCCGGCGCGCCCGAAGAGCCCCCTTGGTCGGCAGTGCGCACAGGACCAAGCCCGGCCTGCAGAGCAACAGGCGGCAGAGAAGGCGCAAACTTGCGCCAAATCGCTCGCAACAGAAGTGGAAGGGGACGGGGCGCCACAAAGCAGAGCGACTTCAGCCGTGGGCAGCCAAACGCGAACCGCCAGGCATCTAAGCCAAGGCCAAGGGCCCGGACCACGGCAGGCAGGTCCGAAGGCCACCTGGGGGCGGGGCAGCGGGCGCCTCGGCCCCTCCCAGCGAGTTTCCCAATTTGGCAGTTTTTCTCACTAGTGTTTCTCACTAGTGTTTCCGCTTTCCCCAAAATCGGTTTTTTTGTCACTAGTGGCTCCACTAGTGAGTGCCTTCACTAGTGGCGCCTGTCACTAGTACCTCTCGCGCTTTTTTGTCACGCTAAAAACACTAGCAGGATTTCTACTAGTAGCTGTTTTTCTACTAGCAGCTTTCCACTAGTAGGATTCCTACTAGTAGCTTGCACCCCCCCGCCCGCCAGAATTTTTCCAATAGTATTATAGATAGTTGTAGTCTGGTAAAGAGACATCACAATGTCGGTTATTAGTAGTAAATTTTTCTTATAGTCATTTCTATCCCTCGAATGTGTCTTCGGTTTTTATTACAATCTCTTCGGACAGAGACTGATTGAGCCTTGACGGAACCTCTCGCTGTCGGTCTCCTTATGAAAAAAGGTTGCTGTTGTTGCAACCTCTCCTTCGGTTTTTCGTTCGGATAGTGTGTTTATTACATCGTACATTGTTTGCTCGCGGTGCAGCTATCGGTTTGCTCGTTTAAATGTTCGCCCGTGACGTCAAAAAGTAAGCTTGCGCAACATCGCATCGGCTGGCAAAAGCGTAGCGTTGAGGATAACTGCACCTTCCCTCCTCGGTAGTAGAGCTTTCCTGCTGCTTTTCGGACCTGTGCGAAAGTTTTGCTTTTTGCTTCATTCACGTTTACGATCATTTTATTCGAAGAGTAAACGCCCGTTGCTCGTCACCCTGCTCGCATCAATAAAACAGGAACTACCTTTCGATGGATGTTTATCATCCTCGCCGGTTGTAGTTTCCCCACTTCACAACCTGTTTTCCAATTTTTACCAAACTGACACTTTGACTTTTACTTCTTGTTAAAAATAAAGCATACACCACGACGTCGAGAAGGACAATTGCCTTCTTGCATAGTACTGCTTCAACATCTTACTTGCCGCCCTCGAGTTTATTTTCTCTGATTTACTGGTAATTCTTTCAGTACTTAAACCTAAACGCAAACCTAAACGGTCGGAGTCCATCTTTCTCGAGCTTGTGACTGACAGAAAATTTGGAGGAGAAAAAAGGACGACCCAGTCCGCGCAAGCCATCCGATCTTTCGACGAGCTGCGGACGGATTTCGGTAAGTACGTTGTTATATTATTCACTTGATGTCATATTCGACGAGCTGTGGGCGGTTTTCATACTCACTTGATGCTGAAAATTATACGAAGAGGGCGAGCACTTTTTAGTTTGGGAATCGGAATTCGAAGCACCCCACGTCACTACAGCGAGATAAAATAAACACGATTGAATATTAGCTCAAGAGCCGCACTATATTGCAGGTTGCAATCGCGAACTTCAACTTTTGCGGGGAAAGAACTCTTGGTCGGTCCCGCCGGGGGGAATTCAGAACGAGATCAAAGTTGCAGGCAGCGGGACACTACAATTTTCTGGTCACAACGGGTGGTAGTTGCGGTGTGGAACCTCTACCTTGGAGGACCTCTTATTCGGTCAAACGAAAGGAGTGCAACAACTCGGTATAGAATTATTTACGGCAGTTTTCATCATCATCATCATGATCATGCTAGTAATGATTATGATGAGAACGACAACGAGTAGTAGTTTGTGAGCTGCCAGGGGTGGTGTTGTTGGGTAATATGGAAATGATGGGGGACGACGATCATTCCAACTACGAATGCCATGAATATCAAATACACCAATCTACCTTTTCTACAGCCCAACCGGCGCGCAGCACAACTTGTTGGTACCACAGGACCGGGGCCGGCGTTTTTACCCTTCCTGACCATGTCGTCTGCTCGGGCAGGGAAGGCAGCTTCCTGTCTGCTGCTTGTTGGTTATCCTGAGTAAAAAGGCTGCACTAGCGCCCGGAGTCGTCATGCGTATTTTATTCTCCATGCGCAGAAAAAATGTTATTTGCTTTTGCTCTTATGCAGCAGGTCACCATAGTTGAAAGCATTTAGTGCGAGGTGTGTTTGGAGAAAATTTCTCATGCACTAGAGGTGAGTATATCAGGTTCAGGACATCACGAGAGTGAGTCCTCAGGCTGTGCAGGCCAGGCACGACCTGACGTTGTGACCCTTGGCGCGCATGAAGAGTTCCAAAATAAGTTCTGGATTTGTACGTCATTCAGAATGCAGCGGGTTGTGCGTTTTTTTCCACAGGATGCAATTGGCGCGCCCGCTGCTATCGAAGCTGTCGAGCGGAAGTTTATCAAAGCGAAAAAAGCCCCCACCTCGTATCCAAGAGACAATTTGTGTTGCTGGATTTGTGTACACATCAAATGAGCTTTGTATTGCAGCAAGAGCTTGTCGGCTTATTCTAAGCCCATTTGGGTACGCATCCGGCTAGCAGCTGAGCATCAGATACAAATCGGACATAGGCGAAAATGCATGACAGACTCGCTGTAAAATGCGCCACATGGACGGTGCCGTTTGCCTTGTACGCAAGACAAAGCTGACTTGTGGTCACAAATCAGCATCACAAATTTTCTTGTCGATATGGGGAGGGGGGATTTTTCATTACGATAAAGTTCCTTGGTCCGCGCAACGACACCACGGCGATTGGGACCGACGCGGAAGTTATCCTGCGTAAAAACGTCTCCACCCAATAGAGTCAAGATGAGAAATTGTAATACCTGCTAGAAAAATCAACAAGCTTTGAGGGTTGCGCATGACAAATTTGGGCTCGCGGAGTAGTCGTCTTTAGCTAGTGCTGCAGCAGAATTACAGATCTCGCCTATCATGCTGGTTTGAGCATCACAAGTATCAAAACACCATTAGAAGAAAATGCTTCTCATGGGTCTCCGCATGAGAAATATTTTGGGAACGGAGATTTTTTGCAATACAGCTCAGGGATTTTGGGGACGTTTTCATACGGGATAGAAGTTGAGGGGCCGAACGGTGCGGTCGTCTCGTTCGGAGACGGCGGATTCGGATTTCTTCCCGAATTTTCCACCTCAATGGTGCAGGTTGCGGAAATGGTGCCGAATTTTGACGATCCGAGGGCTGTTGGACGCGCGCTAGAAAGCAACCTTGTTCAGCATTGGGCTGAGTTGCGAAAAATGTGTGAAGACGACCAGAAGCTGTTTATCGTAAGAGAAAATCCCCCGTCCCCGTATCAAAATGGAAATTTGTGATGCTGATTTGTGGCCACAGATCGCCTGTGTCTTGCCTATAGGGTAATGGGAGCCATTTGGCGCATTTCACAGCCAGTCTGTCATGCGCTTTCGACTACTGCAGAGCTGTTTGCCCTGCGTAATTGCTAGCCTTCTGCATACCCAAACAGGATTAGAAAATGCTGCCAAGCACTTTCTGCAAAACAAATCTGATTTGTCTACGCAAATCCAGCATCAGAAATTTCGTTTTGGTATGGGGAGGTGGGATATTTCCTTTTGATACTGTTTCCGTGGTGGACCAGTACCCCTAAGAAGAAAGTCCTGGAATTTCTGGACGTCCTGTAGCAAAAGGAAAAAACCCCCTCCCCATATCGAAAACGAAATTTGTGACGCTGCATTTGAGTACGCAAGTCGACTTGTATTGCTAGAAGGCCAAGAGCCGCACTTGTGGCCTCGTTTGCGGGCAATTTGTAATGCTGTGTCCCACTTCCAGCTGCTTCCTGTCATGCTGAAGATGCAGCGGCTTTCCCACGCAGCCCAATGCTAGAGTCCTCATTTTTCCCTTCTAGCATGACAAAGCTGACTTGTGACCGCAAATTTGTGCACAAATTTCCGGTTCGATATGGGGAGGGGGGATTTTTCTTCTTGATATCCTGTACCCGGAGACCTTTGGTGTTAAGTACGAGCTACCTCCTGGGTGGGAGAAAGACAAAGGCCATTCTGGAAGACGAGGGGGTAGTTATCATACGGTGGCGAGGTACTCGTTCAATGGAAAGTCACAGTACGCCATGAAGTGCCAAAGCGTCGATGCCAGTACGCCTGCAGAGCAGAAGGAAAGGATCGATGACATTTCCTCCGAAATTTTCGTGCACATGCTGCTGACGTTTTTCGAAAAAAGCAACATGCAAGATGTGTTCCACGACATGGATGTCACGACAAGCACGCTCACGCACTGCGTGCCGCACCTGGAGTTTTTCCTCGTGCAGGGTCGTGAAATTTGCATAATGATGGAACGCGTAATATCCTATCTAAAAGCCGCGTTTTCCCGCTTCCCCATAGGCAAGGTCAGAAAGGGGACACTGCTAGCATGCGAATTGTTGCGCATGACTACACGTCGGGGATACGGGGTTGTCGTGAGAATCCTCGTGCTGGCCAGAAATCGAACTTGTAGTTGCGGTCCTGAGGGATCATCTATTTGTAGCACCCAATAAACGTAAACGAAACTCCTGCTTCTGATCGTTTTTCTCACGAGACGCATTCATTTTCATTCGGCGCATGCAGATTTGCATGACAAAAATGGCGATCGCCAGACCTACCTCCCCTGTGCGTGCCATCTGCGGCCACGTTCAAATATGGGGCGGGGGGCGGGAAGTTTTTATTTGGATACCTGACGCCACTTGATGAAGACGGTGGGTGGCTCGGCCAAGCGCACATTCACAACAACGAGGACTTCGACCCAGCTGTGTTCGTGAAACACCTGCGACAGTGCCTCTTGCGCTTCGAGTCCTTGGGAATCCAGTATGCCAAGTTGACGCCGATGAGCCTGGGGGTGCCCTTGGTGCAACGCAATGACTGGGGAGTCCCGCCTGGGTATGCTTCGCAGCCCTTGGTGTTTGACTTTGGGTTGAGCGAGATCTTCTTTTTTGATTTTGACACGCACCCTGATATCATCATGATCAAGCCGATCTTGCACAAAGAGGAATCCGCTCATGGACTTGTTGAGGAACCATCTTCGGCCCACCCGCTCATTGACTTGCCGAGCTTCAGTTATACCATCTTTCATGTTTTTTCTACCAACTCTGAGTCTGCGCACGCTCACCTTCGCGACACGATTGCCCGTAATTTGCAGAAGGTAAGACGCGGTGAGTCCCCCGCTCTCTTTGACGTCCCGCAAATCATGCGGTCGATTGCTGAGAACGACGACAACAACAAATTCGCCAACGGCGCTATGGTCTACTCTGGAGACGTTTTCGCAAGGCGGGTTGCCGAGTTGGTCAAGTACGGCACGACGGCGGAACAAAAGGTGGACCGCCGAAACCAAGTGAAGGAAATCATGATGACCGTTTTTTCGCCCCTGCTCTTCGGGGAGTGGCGTTTTTATGCCCCTGGTGAAACGGACGAAACGGAGCTTCCCACCTGTCCCAACGCTTCCGAGGCTCTCAAGTCAAAGCCGAGCTACAACAGCGTGCAGCCCTTGCCCTACAGCGAGGAGCAAAAGGAGGCGATGGAGCTCTCGGAAGACGAAAAAAGCTTTCGGGAAAAAAAGCTCCTGGAGCTGTTTGCTGAAGTTTGTGCGGCAGTCGACCGCTCTGTCGCGGAGACAAGCTCCGTGGGAAAGCGTTCAAGAACGCTTCTGAGCGACACGCTTGCTGCGCAGTTCAAGAAGTTGAGCAAGATGTTTGAAAACGAAGTCGAACGGAAGAAGCTGTTTCCGTGGTGGACCTCGGCCGGCGCCGAGGCCGGCGCGACGGGTCGTGGTGAAGAAGAGGATGAGAATGGCAAACGCGGGGAGGATGTTGCGAGCAAGCTCGCGTTCCTGAAAAAACTGGGAGAGAAGCTCGCTGCGCCACCGGTCATGACGCTTGAGCAGTTCAACGAACAATACACCTATTCTGGTACTTCCATAAGAGGGGATATTGGGGAGGTGTTTTTCTACTCGAAAAATGGCGAACAGTACGCCCTGAAGCGCCAGCCTGTCCGCAACGAGAAGCAGATCGAAAATGCAGCCTCCGAAATTTTCGTGCACACTTTGCTGACGCTTTTTGAAACAGCAAAAATGCGCGATGTTTTCACATGGGAAGGGACCCCTGCTGCACCAGTGGCCGATGCAGCGGGTGCTGTTGCCGTTGCGGGACAAGGACAAAGCGCGGCAGTCTATCATTGCGTGCCGCATCTGAAGTTTTTCTTCGTGGAGGGGGGGTTTGCGTACATGATGATGGAGATCGTGATATCGTATATAAAAGCGCACCCACCTCCCCCTTTATAGATTTGTAAAAATGGGAATGGGGACTGCGACTGGCTTCGATGTCCATCATTAGAATTTATATAAATGCTTCTCATGGGACCGTCCGCGAGACACATCCTGGGCATGCAGATTTGCCCGACAAAGGTGGGGTGGGGTGACTTTGCCTCCGCATACGTGCAGCCGTTTTTTTTACAGGACCAGGGCTTGATGTCGAATCTCATTTCCAACAACGATGATTTCGACCCAGCTGTGTTCGTGAAACACCTGCGACAGTGCCTCTTGCGCTTCGAGTCCTTGGGAATCCAGCATGGCGATTTGACGCCGGCGAACATGGGGCTGCCATTCAAATTGTATCCGGGACATCGCAGCCCAGTCTTTCTGGGTGCTTCATCGCAGCCCTTGGTTTTTGACTTTGGGTGCAGCGAGATCTTCTTTTTTGACACGCCGTCGCTGACGATCAAGCCGTTCTTGCGCAAGGAAGTGTCGGGAGCAGGAGCTGCTCACTACATGGACCTCAGAAAGATGATCCTGTCCACCAACAAACTGCCGCACCACCCGCTTATGGACTTGTTCAGCTTTAGCTTCGCCACCTTTGCAGTTTTTTCCACCACCCTTCGGTCTGCGGGCTTTGTGAACTGCTATGGAGCAGTTGTTTCTAACACTCCGGCGGGCTGTCCACGTCAGCTTTTGAAGACCATTCAGCGTGCCGGAAAGAGAACGCACGATCGTCTGACGCCTCAACTCTTCCGCGTCCCGGAAATCATCCGCAATCAAGATTTGTGGTCGGGGTTTCTGGGAGATTATTCTGAGTCGCGGGACAACAAGAACAAATTCGCCAACGAGCGCGGTGCCATGGTCACAGGAGACGTTTTCGCGAGTCGGGTTTCCAAATTGGGCAAGTACGGGCGGAGAAAAATGGACGGAAACCAAGTGAAGGAAATCATGATGACCGTTTTTTCTCCGCTGCTCTTTTCGGATTGGCGTTTTCGTGCCCCTGGTGAAACGGACAAAAAGGAACTTCCTGCCTGCCCCAACGCTTCCGAGGCTCTCAAGTCAAAGCCGAGCTACAGCAGCGTGCAGCCTTTGCCCTACAGCGAGGAGCAAAAGGAGGTGATGACGCTCTCGAAAGACGAGCAAAGCTTTCGGGAAGAAAATCTCCTGGAGCTGTTCTCTGAAGTTTGCGCGGCAGTGGAAACTTCTGTGGAAACGCTTCTGAACGACAAGCTTGCTGCGCAGTTCAAGAAGTTGAGCAAGATGTTTGAAAACGAAGTCGAACGGAAGAAGCTGTTTCCGTGGTGGACCTCGGCCGGCGCCGAGGCCGGCGCGACGGGTCGTGGGGAAGAAGAGGATGAGAATCGCAAACGCGAGGAGGATGTTGCGAGCAAGCTCGCGTTCCTGAAAAAACTGGGAGAGAAGCTCGCTGCGCCACCGCTCATGACGCTTGAGCAGTTTGGCGAACAATACGTCTTCCTGGACGCCCACGCTACGTTGTTTTTCTACTCGAAAAATGGCGAACAGTACGCCCAGAAGAAGCAGCTTGTGCGCAACGAGCAAGAGATCGAAAATGTTGCCTCCGAAATTTTCGTGCACACTCTGCTGACGCTTTTTGAAACAGAAGGCATGCGCGACGTTTTTACTTGGGAAGGGAGCGCTCGTGCACCAGTGGCCGGGACAGCTGGTGCTGTCGCCGTTGCGGGACAGGGACAAAGCGCGGCAATCAATCGTTGCGTCCCGCACCTGAAGTTCTTCCTCTTGGAAAGGGGGTATGCGTTCATGATGATGGAAGACGTGATATCCTATGTAAAAGCGTTCCCACCTCCGCATTAAAGATTTGTAAAAATGGGAATGGAGACTTTGGCTGTGCTGCACAGCTGACAACACAAGCGTGGCCACCGTCCCTGAGGGCAATAATTTCATTTACCAAAAATTGGCTTTGATGTCCATCATATAGAATTAAATGCTTTCTCATGGGAGGACTGCCCGCGAGACACAATCTGGGCATGCAGATTTGTTCGACGAAGGTGGAGTGGGGTGACTTTTCTACCGCATACCTGCAGCCGTTTTCAGACCGCCCTTCCATCGAGGAGCTCATTCACAAAAACGCATACTTCGATCCAGCTGCTTTCGTGAAACACCTGCGACAGTGCCTCTTGCGCTTCGAGTCCTTGGGAATCGAGCATGGCAATTTGAAGCCGGGGGGCCTGGGGCTGCCGTTCAAATTGCAGACCTGGTATCCGGGACAAGGCCCAGTCCTTGTGGGCGCTTCGCAGCCCTTAGTTTTTGACTTTGGGTGCAGCGAGATCTTCTTTTTTGACACGCCGTCGCTGACGATCAAGCCGTTTTTGCGCAAGGAAGTGCTGAGTGCAGGAACTTCGCGGTACGTGGACCCTGGAAAGCAGTTCCTGCATCCATCCTCCCTGCCGCACCACCCGCTTATGGACTTGTTCAGCTTCAGCTTCACCATCTTTGAAGTTTTTTCTATCAACTCTCAGTCTGCACTCTTTGTGAGCTGCTATGGTGGAGCAGCTGTTGGCGGCAATCCGGACCGGCGGCACGACTGTGCAGGTCAGCAGAAGCTTTGGGACACCATTGTCCGTGCTAAAAAGGGAACGCAAGGTCCTTTTTTGCCCCAACTCTTCTTCGTTCCGGAAATCATCCAACGCCAAAATTTCTGGTCCCGGAGCGATATGATTTCTCAGAACGACAACGAATTCGCCAACAAGCTGGGTGCCATGGTCACAGGAGACGTTTTCGCGAGTCGGGTTTCCAAATTGGGCAAGCACGGCACGGGGGCAAAAATGGACAGAAAACAAGTGAAGGAAATCATGATGACCGTTTTTTCTCCGCTGCTCTTCTGGGATTGGCGGCTCCGCGCCCCTGGTGAAACGGACAAAAAGGAACTTCCTGCCTGCCCCAACGCTTTCGCGCCTCTGGAGTCACTTGCGAGCTACAGCAGCGTGCAGCCTTTGCCCTACAACACGCAGCCGCAAGTGGAGGTGATGAAGCTCTCGGACCACCACAAAAACTTTCGGAAAAAACAGCTTGTGGAGCTGTTTTCTGAAGTTTGCGCGGCAGTGGAGACTTCTGTGGGAACGCTTCTGAGCGACAAGCTTGCTGCGCAGTTCAAGAAGTTGAGCGAGATGCTTAAAAACGAAGTCGAACGGGAGAAGCTGTTTCCGTGGTGGACCTCGGCCGGCGCCGAGGCCGGCGCGACGGGTCGTGGTGAAGAAGGAGAGGATGTTGCGAGCAAGGTCGCTTTCCTGGAAAAACTGGGAGAGAAGCTCGCTGCGCAGCCGGTGACCACGCTGCAGCAGTTCAACGAGGACTACGCCCGCTCCTCCGATTCCCCCAGCCCGGGGGGATCTGCTGGGGTGTCTGTGTCTTTCTACTCGAAAGATGGCGGGCATTACGCCCTGAAGAGCCAGCCTGTGCGCAACGAGCAAGAGGTCGAAAATGCAGCCTCCGCAATCTTCGTGCACACTTTGCTGACGCTTTTTGAAACAGAAGGCATGCGCGATGTTTTCATTTGGGAAGGGAGCGCTGCTGCACCAGTGGCCGATGCAGCTGGTGCTAGCGCGGCAATCAGTCGCTGCGTGCCGCACCTGGAGTTTTTCTTCGCGAACGAGGAAGGGGTGGTGAGCATGATGATGGAAAGTGTGATATCCTATGTAAAAGCGCACCCACCTCCCCATCAAAGATTTGTAAAAATGGGAATGGGGACTTTGGCTGTGCTACACAGGTGACAACACAGGCGTGGCCACCGTCCCTGAGGGCAATAATTTCATTACCAAAAATTGGCTTTGATGTCCATCATTTAGAGTTAAATGTTTTCTCATGGGAGGACTGCACGCGAGACACAATCTGAGCATGCAGATTTGTTCGACGAAGGTGGGGTGGGGTGACTTTTCTACCGCATACCTGCAGCCGTTTTCAGACCGCCCTTCCATCGAGGAGCTCATTCACAAAAACGCAGACTTCGATCCAGCTGCTTTCGTGAAACACCTGCGACAGTGCCTCTTGCGCTTCGAGTCCTTGGGAATCGAGCATGGCAATTTGAGGCCGGGGAGCCTGGGGCTGCTCTTGCCGGGACGGTTCGCAGCCCCTGGGTATGCTTCGCAGCCCTTGGTTTCTGACTTTGGGTTCAGCGAGATGTTCTTTTTTGGCCCGTTTTCCACGCCGACCACGCCGATGCTGCGCGAAAACGTGGCGGCAACAGGAAGTCCCGCCTACATGGACACTGGAAAGCTGTTCCTGTTCGCCTCCGAACTGCCACATGACCCGCTCATGACCACGCCGATGCTGCGCGAAAAAGTGTTGACAACAGGAAGTCTGGCCTATATGGACACTGGAAAGCTAATCCTGCGCCCCTCCGAACTGCCTCGCCACCCGCTCATGGACTTGTTCAGCTTCAGTTTTACCATCTTTGAAGTTTTTTCTACCGACTCTGGGTCTTTGTGGTTTCAGGCCTGCTATGAAGAAAAACTTTTTCTAGAAGAAAAACTTTTTCTAGGCTCCGAGGCGCCGGAGCCCCGCTGTCCTCAACGCCTGGAGATGATTGGAGCTCCGCTTATTTGGAAGACCCTTGGCGATGCTCGGGAGAGGGTAGGAAAGAAACGCAAACGTGAGCCCGTTCTCTTCGACGTCCCGGAAATCATCCGCAAGCGAAATGCTGAAATGTCATTACCTCACCGAAATGTTTTCCCTCGAAAATCCGGAGGTATTTCGGAGAACGACAACAAATTCGCCAACGAACGCGGCGCGATGGTCTCTGGAGACGTTTTCGCGAGTCGGGTTTCCAAGTTGGGCAGGCATCGCAAGGGGGAAAAAATGGGCGGCGAACAAGTGAAGGAAATCATGATGACCGTTTTTTCGCCGCTGCTCTTCTGGGATTGGCGGCTCCGCGCCCCCGGTAAAACTGATGTAACGGCGCTTCCTACCTGCCCCAAGCCTTCCGAGGCTCTGGCGTCGCGCCCGAGCTACAGCAGCGTGGGGCCTTTGCCCTACAGTGGGCAGCAAAAGGAGGCGATGAAGCTCGGGGAACCGGAGGAGGAAATCCGGATCACCAAGCTCGGGGAGCTGTTTGCTAACGTTTGCGTGGCAGTCGGTGGGGAGTCTGGCCGGCCCACTGGTGATGCCCAGTCCACCGCCGGTTTGTGGCCTACTGCAGCCGGCCTTGGCGAGCGGCCACCTGATCTAATGCCTCAGTGATCCTGATCTACCGGTGCTCGAAGGCAAGAAACGTTCTGCGTGCTGTCTCTGGACCGAAGATCAGCAGCGCTTTATGTTTTTGGCAAATGGCGCGCGGCCATCTCTTGATGAGACTGGACGGTCGGAACCTTGTCTATTGGAAATTGAGTCCATGTTTGAAGATCATCTCCGTCATGAAAGTTGCGGAGATGAAGTGGGTGCAGACCCATGCTATAACAACGACAGTCGTCACCTTGTCGGCAACTCTCCTTTAAAAGCGTTTCATTTTGCTTGTGATGACAGCATGAAAAGTTTGTTAACCTACTGCTGCTATTTGCGCTTATTTCCGTGTTTTTCTGTTCACTTTCGCCACGCCATTTGCATTCGTCAGGAAGCAAAAGTGTTTGGATTTCACAAATTTTAATCTACAACTTGCTACAACAATCAAGCACTCTTCGTATCTTTTCCTTCAAAGCACCCTCAATCTTCTATCACATCTTACTAAGTATTCGAAGTCCCGTACTATCATGTCTAGTTTGTTTTCGTTTTACAGTGTTTTGACCAACATTTTCATCGCAGCATTGATTCTGACCTCACACATGATCCCGCAGCTCATAGACCCCGCAGTCGGGTACATTATCATCCAATTTGTTTTTCAACGCAAGGATGCCACTCTGGGTCTGGGTCTGGAAACGCCGCGACGTGAGATTTGGACTTCTGCGTCACGCAAAATTTTCGTTTGCACGGGCACCCACGAAAATCTGCCTGGTTTCTATTTTACACGCAAGAAACAAGACTTGTGGTAAAAGAGGCGCATTTACTCTATACATAGAAGCCTGGCGCGTAATGCTTTCGCATGCGTTACAAAATGGCTTGATGCGGATGTTGCACAAGCGACATAACAAAAGTCTGCAGCCTTCTTCCAGGCCCAGACTGACATATGATTATATTTGCAGTGGAAACGACAACTTCTTTATCTTTTACTTTCTCCAAGAACTCTATCGTGACTTTTTCGTTTTACAACTTCACCTGACTATACACTACATTCTTGATGTCTTCCTCGTGAATCTTGAATCAGATTTCCTCGTGACTATACACTACATTCTTGACTTGAATGTCCCCGTCCCCCCTGTAAGCATGATGATATTAAGCCCGGGGTATGTATGACACGAGGGAGGGGTGCAGGTTCATCGTTAGCCGCCTCTACTATAGCAGTAAGCGTGGTCAAGCTTAGCTCATGAAAGCACTCGCCGGAGCTCTTACAGCCCCGAGTTCGCCCCTCTCCATTGCGTCCATTGAATCAGATTTCCAATCCAATCCAATCGTGCTTTGTATTGAAAAAGGAAGTTTTCGCAGTGAGTTTTGAGTATCTGAGTATTATGGAGGCCGGACTTCCCGTCGGCAAAATTTTGTTTCGCTAGTGTCGCCACTTCTGTGGCCCTGAAATTTTCCGCGAAGATTTCGAGGCGACAGAACCGAGGCACAGGCTTTCTTTCTGTCTCATCATCGATCGTCACACTTTTGGCACTTATTTCGTTTCTGGGTAGGGCTCCACTTTCTAAGTATGTCTGTATCACTTTCGGCAAGTCGCTTTCTGTTTCTTGCTTATCAAAGAGCTTTTTGAAAAAACGAGAACGATTTACAGTTTTGGAAATCAGCCGCACCGAGCCACATTCACGGGAATCAGCAATACGAGGACGCACTAAGCACGCATGTGCAGCTGCGCCGTTCCTGTGGACAAACATCCTGGCCTGTGCGCGCAGAGGTAACGACTATGGACGCTGAACAAATAAAAACGCTTTTCTACGGAGGAGCTGCGCCCCTCGATCTGGTGCACGCCCGTGCGTAGCTAAAATGACGAGGATTCTGGCGTGTTCTCAATTTGCTCGGTAGATTGCTTCGTGTTCCGGGGCTTCGTATTCTTCCGGGAAGACCTTCAGAAGGTCTGGGAGGAACAAGCGCAAGTAGACGGACGGCTGTTGCTCGTGCCTGACGTGCTCGGAAGTAAAAATTCCTCGTACTGGGAGTGAGTTTATCATCCTATGTAACTTTTTTCTGTCTGTTTCTGCTATGTGGGTCGGTCGGTCGACTAAGTTTTTTTTTTGACAGCCGAGGTTTATTTTCAATCACCAACACGAACACTTGAAGCCCTCCTGCGTCCGTCAGGTTTTCCGTTTATTTCTTGTCTGTGAGCAGCTACATTCTCGGGCCAGGCGTCTCGTGAAACACAACCAATCGTTGCAGAAGATACAACGTCGTCAAGAAGCCTAGTGGGTGTTGGAGGTTGATCTGCTTTTTTACAGGAACGCGCAAGACAGGTTTTTTCCCCCACGATGACGAAGAATGGGACAGCTGAGAGTCAGAGCATAAGATCTGCACCTCCTGTGGGGCCCGGCATAAAGATTTATTTGACTGGCTGATAGAAGAATCGTTGTATGTTGAGAAGTTTACGGTGTGGTTGGTCGCGTTCAGGGCGTTTATCTTTTTGTTCGTTGTTCTTTTGAAAAAGATAAAGATCAGCGGGTGAGGAAGGGCTGGGTTTCTTGTCTAGCAGGCCGCTCTCTCCGTCCCACGCAGAATTAGGCGTCGTGCTCACTGTTTGTTGCTATCGACGCAGCTATACAAGAGCAGAGCGGCGCCGTTTTAGAAGCGAAAAGGAAATAAATATTTACACCTCCGAGCAGCGCAAAAGAGAAACCATGGCTGCCACAACGGCTCTATTAACCTCTCCCGCTCCAACGACTTCTTTCGTCTCTAGTGGTGACGCAGACGTGGACGAGCAGCTGAAGCGAATCGAGCGAAAACTGAAAGCCGGGATGAACTGTCTGACTGACACCCGCATGATGTTGAGAAAAAACTCACCTGGAGCATCAAGACTAGCACTTCCATCTGACTACAAAAGCGGACCTTCTTCATCCGCAGCCTCGCCGAATCATATCAAGTCCAAACGTGAGGCTGCGTCTGTAGCATCCCCTCCGACAGCACGGCACAAGAGCTCTACGTCTCCGTGTGGTCGCGGACCCCCGCGTGCGCAGGAGGAACGAAACGGGAAAAACAAGCAGCTTCTCGAGAAAGAAGAGCAGAATATGCATTGCATAAGTAATATCTTACTACGTAGAAACTGCATCACAAACTTGCAGCTCAGCATGACAAACGGAATTCGCCAGCATACTGATTTAGCTCAGGATCAAGATTTGTCTCGCACGATTGCAATTACGATGTGCGAGTTCGATGTTACTTTAGCACAGGATGGAGAAGTTTGACGAGCTAAAGGAGGAGTTTTTTGGGCCGCAGTGGAAACAGTACAAGAATATCAAATGCAAAAATGTCTGGGTCTGGAAGAATGCAAGTCTGTGATGCTTGTCTGGTATGACTCGAGATGAATCTGTGTTGCATAGCCACGAAAAGGGCCTCTTGTCTGTCATGCAGAAACGCAGTTTGCCATGCGGAAAACGAAACACAAGAGCAGCTCAAAAAGTTGTCATGCTTGGCTGCGTATTGCAGTGCGCCCACCAGTGACATTTTAGCATCACAAGTTTCCAGACCCAGACATTTTTGCATTTGATAAAGAACGACTTGAAGCAAAATTTTCCGCAACTCTCCGCGAAGATCAAGTACCCAATGTAAAAACTAATCCATCCCATAGTCAAGATGGGAAATCTGCTACACAAATCACGTAGCTTTGGCTGTTGCGCATGACAAATTCGGGCTTGTAATGTAGTCACGTTTAGCTAGTGCAGCAGCATCACAGATCCAGTTTGTCATGCTGATTTATGCATCACATACACATATCTCAAAACACCACTAGAAATGAAATTTTCTCATGCGTCTCCGCATGAGAAACAATTTAAGCATGCAGATCTGCATTACAACTCTGGGGGGGGGACGTTTTTACAAAGCATACTAAGCGCAGAATGATCGTCGCGCAGTGGAACCTGCGGACGCGGCGAGTGTATGCACCGCAAATATGTCTGGGTCCTCTGCCTGGAAACTTGTGATGCAAGGAAGGGAATAGCGGGCACACAACTTTAATGCGCTATCAAGCATGACAAGTTTTTCCGTGGTTCTGCGTTGTGTACTCCGCATAAGAAAGTGCGTTTTAGTTATAATTTGTATGACAAGCAAGAGTGAGCTCTTTGCGGTGCCGCAACATAGAGTTCAGAGTCATGATGCCAGATTAGCATGACAAATCTCGCAATCTCCCAGACCCAGACATAGTTGCATTTGATAGGGTGAAGCTGGAAATGCTGAAGTTTAGGAACTCGGAGGGACAGAATTGATTGATTTTTCGAGGACACTGCTTTGTACAGATTTATTTGGTTGCAAGAACATGGTCGTGTCGTACTTGAGTATAAGATTTGAGTTTCGTATAAGATTTGAGTTCATATTGTTGCCATTTCTTGGGATGACACGCACTACCTGCACTGTACAATATTGATGAATTGGAAGTAGAAATGATTGCGACTCGTGATGTAGTCGACGTTGCGATACAAGTACAACTACAAGAGAGTTTTACAGAAAAAAGAAAAACGCTTCATCTGATGATGACTCTGTTGTTTATTCAGAGCCAAGCCTCAATCTCCGGGATGAGGAGCTGTTTCTCCTGCGGAATGCATGAATTCTCATGTCGTTTTCGCTCAAACTCGCAGTCCCATCGACGTGCGCCGCACCAGCTTGGTGCCAGGAGGACGATGTGAGCACACGACTACTTACTTGAGAGTTCTTCTTGCACTCAGAGGGAGGAAGCTCGAAGCAATTGCTAGTGAGTGAGACGAGCAGAAGTCCTCAGGGTCCTCTCGTGACAGAAGTTTCAAAAAGGCTCATGTTTTTACTTATCTGGGAATAAAGGTTTGCGTAGCTCCGCACGAGCTCCGTGGTCAGACACGTAAAATAGAATATCTTCATTACAGCAGATCTTCGCGACTTGTTGTTGTTTCTGTCGATGAAGTCGACGATGGTGGAAAAATATAGTCCTCATAGCCGCGCTCCTTCACATCTTGCATTCCTGTAGTCGGCGACGCCGAGGACCCCCCGTACAAGTGCGTAGCTTTTGATGCTTTTCGGCCTACCGGCTGCACCCAGCGCTGCGCCATCATGAATTCCTACGGGACCACCACTTCTAATATGCCGGCACCGACGCAACACGCTTCGCCACAGGAGCTCACCGGGGAATTGCAGCAACCTTCCGGCTATCAACTGCAACAATGTCAGGGCGTGGAAAAATGCAACGTCTGTCATGCATATTTTGCATGACCCATGATTTTGTCTGTGATGCATGCTCTAGCATCACAGATTTTGCAAATGCTTTCTGATGCCCATACAGCATGAGAAATTCCCTCTCCGCGTAGCGAAAACTGGAACCCTTTTGCAGTTCATGCAATACAGATTTTTTTGGAATCCAAAAACAGCATCACAAGTCACCAACTTCCAGACCCAGACGTATTTGCAATGCATACCGGCCGCGGTCTCGGCTCCGGTTCGTCTTCATCCCTATCACATGCAAATATGTCTGGGTCTGGAAATTTGTGATGCTAAACTGTGGATGATGACAACGCCTCCACATGCAGCCAAGCATGACAAGTTTGCAGGACGCTTTCTCATGCGCAGCCCGCATGAGAAACTGCATTTATGCGTGACAGAAAAGGCTGCGACTTTTGTTGGTCATGCAAGACAGATTGCACAGGAGTGGAAGCTCAGCATTACAAGTTCCACCTTTCCAGACCCAGACATATTTGCACTGGATAATCCCGGGAGCTGATCAAAACGGCGATCTCCGAACCTTCCAACAATAACGTTTTCCAGTGGTTTCTCCTTTTCCCCTTCATCGTGTGGACGTGGGACTGGTACGAAGGGATTATGCTGAGTAAAAACGTTCCCACACCAGAGTCAAGATGGGAAATCTGCAACACCAATCTGCAAGTTTTCGGAGTTTTGCATGACAAGTTTCCATCTGCAGTTTAGTGCTGGGTAGCAAAGGCAACCTTAGGAGAAACCCAGCGTCTCATCCTCGATTTACAGCATGACAAAGTCCAAAGGACAATTGGAAATGCTCCTTATGGAGATGCGCATTACAAATGTTCCTGTCATATACGCATTTGCATGACAACTCTGCGGTGGGAAAGTTTTTGCTGAGGATAGGGATCGTGGAGGACATTCTCTTCCCCGACCACTTGCGGTTGCAACTGCTCACGTTCGGCTTCGTGGGGTTCTGTTCGCTACTCCTAGCCTGGTATCTGCAGCAGCACGCGGTCCTGGGTTTTGCAGGACAGCAGCAGGAATTTCAACACCACACCGCGCCGTCGGGCGGCGCACAGCTGTTGCAACAGCACCAGCAGCAGCACAAATTGGAGCAGGAGCAGTTAAACCGCACCTTGATGAGCACGGACGCACCCAGCTATCAAATGTAAATACGTCTGGGTCTGGGTCGCAGCCACTCCCACTTTTGTCATGCAAAAAGGCAGTTTCTCATGCGGATTGCGTATGGGAAAAGAGAAAGCGTGCTGGAAAGTTGTCATGCTGGGCTGCATCCGGAAGTAGTTCCGTCATCCACATTTTAGCATCACAGGTTTCCAGACCCAGACATATTTGCATTTGATACCAGCCAAAATCAGCAGATCCCGATGGAGGTTGAGGCAGTGGAGCCCCAGATTGGAGGCAGAACCGCGACGGGCGACACCAGTCTCTCGCATCAGTCACACCAGCGGCCCATCTGGAAGACCGCAGTGCAAGCTTTCAGCAGCATTTTGGTGGCCACCTCGGCCTGGGTGTTCATCGAGAAGTATGAACTGCAAAAGTATCGTACTCGTACTAATTGCGTATGCGTTTATGCATTACAAATCTTGTTTTTGTTATAGGCAAATGCGCATTACAAATTAAATTTGTAATGCTAAGTCAATTTGTAATGCATTTATACGAGTACGATACTTTTGCACAGCATAAGAAGTTGGTGGTGCTGATAGTCAAGTTTGGCTTCAAACACGGCGACGAATTTCTGAAGCACAACGAGACAGTGCTATCAAAAGGAAAAATCCTCCCACCCCATATCGGAAACGGAAGGCGCGCGAATTTGTGATGCTGTATTTGAGTACACAAATCAACTTGTATTGCTAGAAGGCTCACAGACGAAGCTGCGGCCTAAATTGCAGGTAGTCTGTCATGCTGTTTCCCACTTCCAGCTACCTCCTATCATCCTGGAGCCGCAAGGTTTTTTCCACGCTAGACAGCACTAGAGTCCGCAACTTTTGCCTTCTAGCATCACAAAGCTGATTTGTGACCACAGATCTGCATCACAAATTTCGTTTTCGATATGGGGAGGGGGGATTTTTCCTCTTAATAAGTGCTGTATTCCTTCCTGCTGGTGGGGAATTTCCTCGTAATTCTGCTGTACGAGATATCCTGAGTAAAAACGTACCCACACCAGAGTTGTAATGCAAATCTGCATGCTGACAATGTTTCTCATGCGGAGCCCCATGAGAAGCATTTTCTAGTCGTGTTTTGCAATTTGTCATGCTCCAATCAGCATGGTATGCTAGATCTGTGATGCTGCTGAGCTAGCTCAAACAGCACTACACTAAGAATCCAAATTTGTCATGCAAAACAGCCAAAACTTGTGGATTTGTCTAGCCGATTCCCCATCTTGACTATGGTGTGGGTACGTTTTTACTCAGGATACGAGAGGATGACCGGACGCATGCTGTTAGCAAAAGTGGCGGATATCGTTTAAGAATGAAGGTTGGCGAGGTTAGTACCATATAGGTTCAATAACTTCGTACTGACTCCTCATGGACCGAAATTTAAGTAGCTGAATGTCAATCCATCTATCCTTTTCGTGCGGTAATCGCAGGGAGAAGATTCGAATTTCGACACACGACGAATGATGTAGGCAGACGTCACAAGGAACAAAATAAAATACGTTTCTCGTCCCAAAGATGATGATAAATGAATGATGAACTGTGAACAAAAAAAACTTCAGCTCTAAAAGACAAAATTTGGTTTAACAGCCCTCTGGCACGAGTGCTTCCCTTCTTGGCTGCAGTATGAAAAAGGATTGAAGTTTTGAAAAAAAAAATTGTCACGAGTTCTTGTGCTAGACCTGGCCGGGTAGTTGTAGTTCTTGGCATGGTACGGAATAACAGCAGCTCCATCGTGATTGGCGTTTTTTCTCTACTTGAGCAAGAACTGCAACAACAACAAACAACACTCAACCGCTCAACTTCCGCAAAAGGAAGAACCTTCCTTACAACTCCTAAGAGGGGGCTTCTTGGTCTCGTGAAGGGATAAGAAAGTAGAAGGCTGAGACACATGAGAGGGAGTTTCTTGGTCTCCGGTCCTCGGTCCTCAGTCGCTCAAAAGGTAATACTTGAAGGGATAAGAAATTAGAAAGCTGAGACACATGAAAGGGAGTTTCTTGGTCTCCGGTCCTCGGTCCTCAGTCGCCCAAAGGGTCCCACTTGAAGGGGTAAGAAATTAGAAAGCTGAGACACATGAAAGGGAGTTTCTTGGTCTCCGGTCCTCGGTCCTCAGTCGCTCCAAGGGTAATACTTGAAGGGATAAGAAAGTAGAAGGCTGAGACACACGAAAGGGAGTCTCTTGGTCTCCGGTCCTCGGTCCTCAGTCGCTCAAAGGGTAATACTTGAAGGGATAAGAAAGTAGAAGGCTGAGACACACGAAGGGGAGTTTCTTGGTCTCCGGTCCTCGGTCCTCAGTCGCTCCAAAGGTAATACTTGAAGGGGTAAGAAATTAGAAAGCTGAGACACATGAAAGGGGGTTTCTTGGTCTCCGGTCCTCGGTCCTCAGTCGCTCACAAGGTAGTAGTTGGCGAGGTGAGGCGGTAGCTTGAAAGGTCGGGCACATAACAGGGAGCCTGCTGGTCTCCGGTCCTCGGTCCTCTGTCCCTCGCGAGATAATACACGGCGAGAGAAGAAAGGAGAAGGGGGACACACATGCGCAGGAGTCTGCCGGCCTCCGGTCTTCCTTCGCTTTTATGTTTTTCAGCAGCCTTGGGCATTTTTTTCGAATGTCTCCAGCTCCACTTTTGTACAGAGTCAGCCTGTGAAAAAATACAAAATCTATCTGCGAACGGCCAGCGTAGGCTTTATCTTTTCCGGAATTTCAACGCTGCGAGCCAGCTTGTGAAAAAATGAAAAATCTATCTGCGAACGGCCAGCGTAGGCTTTATCTTTTCCGAAATTTCAACGCTTCGACTGTCGTTTCTGTTATTTCTAGGAATCTAGTACGCTTCTCGTATTATATGCCTGCTCGATTTTCTTCTGTTGCACAATGCTACGCATATTCCTGATTTCTGATATACACGACCGGGGCGAAGCTTAAGCGCCCGGAGCCTGCCGACACGCCCGAACCCGGCAACAACTGCACGGAGAACGTACTGGCGGCGCTTGCGTAAATTGCTGAGTTTATTGGTGTTGCTGATATTTCGAGTCTTAACTGATATAGTTTCCGAAAGCAACGCTATCCCTCGGACGGCGACAGGTCGAAGAGCTCCTTGAGATCGGACTCCGGCTGCTCGTCTTCTTCGTCGGACCACTCTTCCTCGGAGAGGGCGTCCTGCTCTTCCTGTGACAGTCCCTCCGGGGGCACGCTCGGGCCAACGCTGTAGAGGGTTCGCGGCGATAAGAGCATCTGCATGATCTCGGACACTCGGCCGTCGATGGGGAGGGAAGAAACAAACAGATACGCCATAGCGTAGACCCAATTCGGCTTCTGCATCAGGTGGTCCTTCCGCATTGTCGCACACCGTTCTATGGGGGCGCCAGGATCGAAATCGACAAAATCGAGAAACTTGCAATGCAGAAAAGGTAGGGCAAGTGAGGCCTGTGCTGGGGAGCAGGCAAATGAGACCGATTCCAAGCCTGTTTAGAGGAAGGCGATGCCCTGCCGGAGCAGCACGGCAGGAGCAGTCTTCTTCGCCCAAACAGCATGACCGGCTTGCTCTTCGTGCTCCCGAAATTTGTCATGCGCCACTTCGAAACACACCGAGGCCCCAAGTGGTGCCGGCTTTATGCATCGCAAATTATTTCGATTTTGCCGATTTCGACTCTGACACTTCCATACGTTCCTTCAGCAACTTACGCAAGTGCCGCCAGACGTTCTCCGCGCAGTTGTTGCCGAGCTCCGGCGCGTCGGCAAGCTCCGGGTGCTTAAGCTTCGCCCAGAACTCCCGCTGGGAATGCACGACGGACAGAAGTACGTACTCCGACCGCTTTAATTTGTAGCAGCTGGCGGAGTCAACGGACAACCACATCAGGCACTCGCCACTATTTTCCGGCAGAACCCCCTCCCAGGCAGGGAGTATGAACTTGCGATAGACGAACCTCCACACGTTCTGTTTCAAAATGGGAAACCTAGACGATTCGCGACTTTCCGCGACACCCAAATCGAAAAGCTTTAACGATTTTGGGCAGCCCCTCTGCAGAACACACTGGAAGATCCTCGTCTGGTGCACCTTCTGCCGCGCGCGGAGGGCCGTCGTCGACCAGATCGAGTCCCAGTAGCCGAAAAAATAAAAAATCTATGGCGTTCATTGAAAAACCGAACTGCTTGGCTTTCATTTTTTTAAAATTTTGCCGCCGGGGGGTTTGTGGCGAAGCTTTGGCCCCATTCATGTTCCGGCGCCTTTCTGTGCCGGTTGGCGTCCGGCTCTTCGTTTTCGGGGCAGAGGCCTTGCGTGTTGCGCCGTGTGGTGTGTGTCGATGGCGCCCACCACATGGGGCGAAATGTTGCAGACCGGGAGGAGGTGTCTTGGCGATTGTCTTCACCAAGAGAGGGCCTCCCGGTTGGTCGGTGAAAGCCTCTCCGGTTGGTCGTTTTGCAGCGCAGGTTGCCGAGCCCAACGCGGGCCCATGGCAACTCGTGGCGCGACATGCGCGGCAAAAAAATCAGCAAAAAGGCGAAAAAAAGTCAGAAAAAAGTCAGAAAAAAATCATTAAAAAGTCAGAAAAAAGTCAGAAAAATGGGCGTGGGCAAAAAACCTGAGGGATTTTCCCTATACATGCAAAAGCGGCGACTTTTTTTGAACTTTTTGTTCCCATAAACTGCTCAAAAACTGACTTTTTTCTGCCCATTCGCTGACTTTTTTTCGCCCATTAGTTGATCCCAAGTCAGCCGGCGGTCGTGGTGTTGTGCATGGGACAGGCGGAAGTCTTTTTTGTGTGCCCTCATGATGTTGGGTCTCGCTGCCTCCCTTTCTTTGCTTTCCTCGGGAGTGCCTCGGGCCATAGGACTGGACTGCGCCTGATGTCTCTTGCTTGGCGGGTGTTGTTCGGCCAGGTGTCGAGGGCGGTGCCCCGGCTGTGTTGTTTCTCTTTGCCTCCCAGTGTCCGGCGTTGCCTTGCAATTAGTCCGGCATGTGGTGCGCCCCTTGGGGCTCCTGTTTGTTTTCGTTTCGTCATGTAGTGGCCGGGGCCGGAGTTTTTTTTTCTTTCGAAAAAAAAATTTTTCAGCAACGCCATAGATTTTTTATTTCGGGGCCCACTGGGCCTCGATGTGGTCGACCGTCGTCCTGCCGAAGCACGCCTCATCTGCCTCGACACAGGAGACTTTGGGGTAGGTTACCAGTTCGCTCTGCATGTGGTACAGCGAGGCGGCTGCGGCGACGATGCTGTCGTACATCAGCCCGACCGTACTAGAGTGGATGGCCAAATCGAGGGCGGTCTGCGAGGACGTTCGCCCCAAAACGAAACCGCGCACAACTTGGACCGCGGTGGCGATTGGGGTGGTTGACCGAGTCACCAGGCCTGCTTCACGAAAAAAATCGCACGGGGTGGCAGCGCCACACTTGCAGACCCACTCCGGCATACCCCAGCGGGTTTCGCCCAATTCGCAGCCCGCCCCGCAGGTGGCGCACTCGAATACCCCGGGGAAGAAGTTCTCGCGGAGGGCTGCGCCATCCATGCCGAGAATCTGGTCAATTCGCGCGGACGGGTCGTTCTTGGTGCCGGGCTTTCGGTCCTGGAGCGTTTTTTCGTCCACCATGTTTCCGCCCGATAGGGTGTATCTGTGCACCTTCTGGCGCAAGCTCGGCGCAAGTTGCTGCAGGGACATGTAGTATGATTCGTCTGGTTTTCCGAATTCTGCTTCGTACTTCGGAATCTCCTCGACCATGTCCGGCGGGGTATCCCCATGAAAGCGCCAGCTGCACAGGAGGTGCTTGTGGGTGGTGGAATTGTGTGGAACCGGGGAAACCCCACACATCCGGCAACGGTGGCACTCTCGGTCCCGGGAACACGTTGCAACCCGGAACCACCGGCGCGTCTTTACATGTTTCCACTGCAAGGGCTTAAATTTGTACGTCTTCGTCCGCTTCGCGGCCGTCTGGGGAAAATCATCCGGGTCCTTTCGCGCGTCCCCTTTCAGCTGAAAGTGCGCCAGGTTGTCCGCCATACCGAGCAGCCGAGCGGCAACCGCGTCGCCGGCTTCTCCCGGAGCGGTCTCCACATAGATGAAACACACCGGGCAAGCATCCAAAAACGCAAGCACCTCCGCGACGCTCGCTGGCGGAAGCACACGAACTCCGTCAACATCAACGAGCCTCACCGCGCCCGGGGAGAAATACCCGGCGCCGCTCTCGAGCGCCCACCAATGCCAGCGCGCCTCGCCGCCGAACTCGTCCGTCCCTTCCGCGATCGGTGGCGGCGCCGGGACACCAATAGACTCCGGGTCAACGCGCTGCAGCACGTAAGCTCTTACCCATGGCGCCTCCGGCTTGCCCTCTAAGGCGAGGAGGTCGGCGGCCTCGCCAGCCGGACAAAGAGCGAGCGCCTTCCCCGTGATTCCAGCAATGTCCTCCGCGGACAAACTTCCACAATGCTGCGGAACCGCCTCGCCAAGGCCCCGCAGCATTGCCGGTCCGCAGGCCTCGAAGGGCTGCCGCCCGCCCGGCGGGTCCAAGCGGGGCGCCTCACTTTGCGGAATGAGGTACCACCAACGCGGACCCCGGACCGCCTTCTGCACCAGACGAACCGGGTACCCCGTTTCCCGGGAAATGTTGGAAATGGCGTCCGCGACACCTCCGCCCGGCAAGTCGATACGGGCGAGAAAGGCGTCAAATATCTCCGCCCCGACTGCCTGCCTTCCGCAAACGTCCACAACCGCGCGGACA